AACCCTAACCCTAACCCTAACCCTAACCCTAACCCTAACCCTAACCCTAACCCTAACCCTAACCCTAACCCTAACCCTAACCCTAACCCTAACCCTAACCCTAACCCTAACCCTAACCCTAACCCTAACCCTAACCCTAACCCTAACCCTAACCCTAACCCTAACCCAGTCATCCCGTTAACAGGGTCAATGCTCTTCTGGTAGCGGCGCGTCAAAGGAGGGACGGGCGGGCTTAGCGACGGAGGGGAGAGGATGGTCGGATGCTCGCGAAGGGAACAAGGTCAATCGTAACCAGCAGCGCAAGGTGAGCAACACTTCACGTGCGTGGATAAGGAACAGCACACTAGTGTATTGCTTGCCCAGCGCACAGGCAGCAAACCTAGCCAATCCCGATGTCCGAAACAGCGCCTTCCCGCACGTTGCGCCATCTCTTCGCTCCCGGGACTGCAAACGCACCCCGCCCAGTTGCCCAACGACGTCACGCAGTAAGATGCCTCTGTAGCGGCAACGAAAAGGGGGAAGGAAAACGAGACGCTGACTTGCGGACTGCGGAACAAAATGCCACAACAAAGAAGGAAAGAGACGGACGCCGGTCCACAGCCCTGGTACGGGAATCCCACCATAAGGAGAAGAGCGCGTACATACCTGCTAGCGTAGGGCCTGCCTGAATCAATCCGGACTACAGCTTTGCCACTTTCGACATCATTTCACAGTATACCCATTGCGCGTAGTACTCGTACATAGGTGGTCCACAGAGGACCTTCAACCCCGCTATGACGAAGAGCAGCAACGTGGTATCTTCACGCGCACCGAGTACGAGGGTAGGGTGAATGGCATCGCGTCTTTCAATGGGCCATCGCCGTCTCTCCCCACCCGGAGTGCTGAAACCCCTGCATATGGGATGTATGCTCCGGGATTACAACTTGAAGGGCACAAGGGATGCCTAGAGGTATAGCCGCCGACGTTGAAGTGCTTTTCATTGAAGGTATTATCAGTTCTCAGAATCGCGCCGTCGAACAGTAAACTCGTCACTCACCGCGTCGTGTTCCCAGTACAGTGATGGAGCCCGAATATCCTCCCAAGAAACTGTCTTGAACCTATCGTCCCTGTATTAACCTCGTAGTCCGCGCAACGATGATAGTACAGGTGAAGTTTGGATAGCGACTGTAGGATGTAAGTATGGAGGTATAATATATCAGGTTGCGTGGAGTTTCTTGAGTCTACCCATCCATGCCTTGTTCTGTTTGAGAAGCGCATCCTTGAGCGCATACCTTACTCGAGCAAGAAATACACGCGCACTGTTGTATGATTACATCAACGACAACCCGGAGCTCACGCTCCTTGTGCCACGTAATGGCCGGATGATCAACGGAGGGAAAGCGAGAAGTTGGAGGCGACGAGTAGGAAGGTGACGCGACGAAGTTGGCCTCGTCGACCTCATTCGAAGTAAAGATGAAGACGCGAAGGATAATCGGCTTCTTAGCGACACATTTTGTCTATCCAGCAAATACTCGAGTTGGCTTCCATTCGAAAGACACGATCAGTGTCGCTCGTAATTTGTTAGCAAAGCAACGGTACCTTCTTGTACTACTATCGTAACGACAGCCAACAGCCAACTTCTCGCATCAGCGCTCATGAGCCTGATTAATGATGCAGTATGAATACCGTGTCGCATATAGTCAAAATAAATCGACATACTCAGCAGCTCAGGCCATTTTCGGCCGTGAACTGAAAATATCAAAGGCTGTCGAAGGGAGCACCGACGCATCACAAGAGTGGCTAAATACCTCCATCGTCTTCATGGCCATCCTGCAGATCCCTGGGCGGCCATAGCGACGGATCATTCCGACATGCCCATTGCTGCAAGTCCAGTTGTTTGGAATGGAGCACCCGGTGGACGATGTATTTGTTACGGGCTATGCAGAGATTTCGGTCGCTCTATAGGATGCTGGGAATTAGCCGAGACACTCTACGAAACAAACCCAGACTCCCGAATCAGACTTCGATTGGATTTCTAGCGAACATTGAATATCTTCGAGTACAATTTTTGCAGCAGCTTGAAGCTGAGAGAATTTGAACGGACTTGTGACTGCGGAAACGACCAGGTGATAGAATTAGCGCCGAGTGTAGTAGCATCGCCACTGGAAACCCATCAAAGTTGTTCTCACACTCTTTTCGCTCGACGACCGCCTTCCCTCCTCTTCAAAACGGCTCAACCTCAGCCATCACCTTTCCTCGCCGTTTCTTAATACTTGCTTTATTGAAACGGGGGGCCTCATGAACCCGCTCATTTTTCTAACTTTCCTCGTTTTCGCTTCTTCAAATGGACTACTACCAGTAGCGACAGCGATAGATGTGTCTGCGACACTGACACTGGCGCCGCGAGCGACGTTCTACCCCCGGCAGTCCATTATTCCAGGTGCAGGAGGAGGAGGAGGTGCGGGAGGTGCAGGCGGGGGTGCGGCGTCGCCAGCAAGTCCCGCAGTATCAACGCCTCCTACCCCGACTCCACCGACCACCCCAGCAACTCCACCGAGCACATCAGCGCCTCCAGTGGTCTCTCCACCGACACCAACCACGACGACGTCTGATACAACGACCACAACTCCTGTGAGCACGCCGACGACGACACCACCGGTCACCACACCTACGACAACGGAGGCGCCGCCCACTTCTGCACCGCCTCCGCCATCTTCTGTGGAGACCGTCGTTTCGTCTACCGACCTGGCTGGCTCTGTCGTGGAGGTCACCGTTACGATGCCCGCAAGTAGCACACCAACTTCTTCCTCTGTGTCTCCTTCACCCACGAGTGATGGTTCGAACGGAGGTGATGGCGGAGGACTCGGCACGGGATCTATTATCGGGTTATCCGTGGCAGGAGGTGTGGCAGTCATTGGCATCGTCGCCTTCATCATTTGGAAGGTCACCAGGAAGAGAGGATTTAGCGATTTCGACGACAGTGAGTATTCCGCTTGTTTAGAAATTACGCCCCAGCTAACGTGAAACAGACGAAGCTATCAAATGGCCCGAACTCAACGCCCACAAGGAAGGCGCAGATACCCACCCTCTCCCTACCCACAACACTGGCCGCGCAGGTTTTGAAACCGGCGGCGCTGGCCTCTCTCGCGCACCATCAACATCATCCGCTGCGCCGACAACATTCTCGTCGGCTCCTTCCCAATACTCAAACGTCTATAACACCTCCACGCCAGACCTTTATCAAGACCCTTACGCCGTTCCGCCGTTACCTCACTTGAACCCTAATCAACCATATCACGATGATCCTGCTCACTCTGGAGCGTTTTACGACCCATATCGCGGACCCGTACCCCAGGCTCTGCATGACCCTGATGGGCCGCCAACCGCCACAGTCGCTCCTGGTGGAGGACCATGGGAGGGCGGTGAAGCTATTCCGATGACCCAGATGGCTGGTGCTGGCCGAGCACGGAGTCCCGCCCCTGGCATGGGTATGGCGTATAACAACACCGGGCGGGCGTCACCCGCGCCCGGCGTAGCTGCAGGTCGCCTGAGCCCAGGGCCTGGCGTCGCCTATGGCGGTGATCCATTTGGCAGACGGTCACCAGGCCCCGCCCAGGCTTACGGCGGCGCTGCTTACAATGGCTACGGTGGACAGTGATCACCATCACCTTCACTTTCCCTTGTAGTACGCGTTCTCCGCTCTGCTTTCTTCGTGGTGTATACATGCTCCGTATAGAATGGAACGTGGTTGATTTTGCTCGCTGCCGCGCGCATCAAGATGGACGGACGACGGATTGATATGGGTTCTGATGATTATGACTGTGTCGGTGATGGCGCTGTCGCCGAGGTTTCGTGGTCACCGCTGGATGTGTGCTGTCGCGAACACTTTTTAGCCATTCTGGAGCGTACCTGCGTTTTGTGCATGTAGGTTTTCGCATTATTCTGCCTTCTCCCTTTCCTTCTTTCTTTCTGTCGCCTCGCTATCTTCGTCTTCATGTAACCCAATAATCCATCGGCCTGCGCTTCCTCAACCACCTTTTCTTTCTTTATCCAGTTTGACCATGCCCGCGCCTTTCTTGTTAACTACATACAAACCGTTATCATCGAACACCGAACACCTGGCCGTAGTCATTGTCGTCGTCATCGTTTTCCTATCGCTACCACTTCGCATCGTTCATTATATCCAGTACCCATATATATTCATAATTCCACACCAACAAGAAACAAGTTCCCGCCGTTCGTACGCAGCGCTCGGTGTTTTCCCTCACGTATAAGGAGCAATGAAGCGGCGGGACGACCGCATAGTTCCGCCTCCGGCCATCGGTGCCTGGGCACGTACCCTGACCCTATAACTCCGGGTCGTCTGCAAAGTTCGAACCGTTACATGCTCCGCAACCTTCACCGCAGATTCTTGTCGCTGCACCGATTGACTCACACATTTGCCCAACCAGCGCGAGTGGACGCCGTTTCACCGCTAAAACTCACTATGACTATCCTAGCCCAAACGACAATACCTACTATTATTCCTGGGCCGAATAAGGAGCGAGAGACGGAATTGCAGCTCTCGTTGAAAAACGTTCGACAGCGGATCCTCCGATCACAGACTTCCAGTACCAAGAATCAGCCACAGCCAGTCCTGGTCGCCGTCTCGAAATACAAGCCCGCAGAAGATATCGCTGGTTGCTATAACGCAGGTCAGCGAGATTTCGGGGAGAACTACGTGCAGGAGTTAGCGGAGAAAGCGAAGAAAGTGAGTTTTCTTCCTCGTAGCGGCGGCTTTTGTGCTTTTTTTGCTTTTCCACCGTTGTTAGTGGTAAATGGATGGCACGAGACTGGATTTAGGTGTGATGTTATGATTGTTTGCGTCCACGATCAATCCTCTTCACTTCTATTTCACACACATACAAAGTTCAAACCACACTTGTCATGGGATTGGTTTACTAACGCCCGACGGCCGCGCTATTCTAGTTACCGCTGGACATTCGATGGCACTTCATTGGCACGCTGCAGTCGAATAAAGCGAAGATTCTCGCAGGTGAGTTTTCGGTATTCCGGTCGTGCGGACTTCTGATCAATGTCGTTATCCAGCAATCCCGAATCTATATTGCCTACAGACCCTCTCCTCGATAAGATGCGCGACGATGCTTAGCACCAATCGACCTGAGGAACTCCCTCTACTCAATGTGATGCTACAAGTCAACACGTCGGGAGAGGATTCCAAGTCGGGATTATCCCCTCTCGTCGCTTCAGCGCCACCCGCAATTCAACCTGCGGAACTCTACAAACTTGCTTCGCACGTCATTAGGAACTGCCCGAGGCTCAATCTGATTGGGCTCATGACAATCGGCTCGATCACCGAGTCGTCAAAGGACGATGAAGGCAACAATGACTTCGAACGGCTGAAGGAGACAAGGGATGTCTTAGAGCGATTGTTGGTGGCTGAATTCAGTCGTGAGGAAGAGGGTGCACAATGGGGCTCCGGGGGCAAGTTGCTGCTGAGCATGGGGATGTCGAGCGACTTCGAAGTGGCCATTCGGGCAGGAAGCGATGTTGTCAGAGTCGGAACCGGGATTTTCGGGTCGAGACCGACGAAGGCTTGATAGGTTATGAACACTTGAACGGTTATAATTGCTAGTTTATTCCTTAATTTCTAGGACCCCTCCAAAGACATCCCCAGCTATTCTACCATCGAGCTTTCCGTATATTTTCGCTGTGTTCGGCCGCGGGAGTATAGGAGTAGGCACGTTGAACATCGCGCGCTCAACAGGCTGTTTGCTGCGTTAATCGAGGACTCTCAAAGTGTCTCTCCGTCGATCATCAATCATTCAGACTACTGCGGCTAGAATGTGCACGATCTCGTTTCATTTCCGAGACATATTCCAACGTTTCCTGACTGAAACACCTCTCCTCGACAAGATAAATAACGTTTTAGGGTAATAAAGCATGCGCACGACTAGACATACAGTTGCTGCTGTTATTCAATGTTTGACATACATCACGACGTATCTCGGGATGATGGCATCAGCCGAAGTCACGAAAATGGATTCCTCGTTCGGACTCTGGGATGTTTTACGAATCAATTGGCTATCTCGCAGCAAGGGGAAACGAAAGACTCACCAACTGCGAACCACCGGGAGACTGTCCTGGCTCGATAACCACGTCGCAAGCGATCATCACGCGGTATGGAGACGTCGTGCAACTTGTGGAAAAATGGTCCGCTAAACTCGAATTTCTGTAGGAGTATATCCCGTCACCGAACCTGCGAAAAACGCTTAGGGCCAGCAGACAGAAGCGCGAGGTGTAATTTGGACATACCTGCCATTATTGCAAGCGACACCGAAAGCCAACGTCTTGAAGGACGATTTGATGATGTTGCATATTCCACACGACCGGAAATCGCAGAGTACAGGACCCTTCGTACCAAGGTCGCAGATACACTGGCTACTATGATAGACTCGGATCTGTTCGGAGACAGGATGCGAAGTTCTTTTGCCCCCGATGTTATCAGTCGTTCATCTCACTCTCTACTGGCCGCTCACCGATAAGTGTCATGCCTGGTGCGTACATCCCTACTAGCGGTGATTTCGTACACCTTCTCAACGGACAGCGACGCCGCTTCTCTAGACGACCACGACCCGGTGAAATGGTCTCTCACTATGAATCGTCAGCTAGCCGTCGAGACCAATGTCAGACTATGGACAACTCACGAGTCTTGAAGGCCTGACTATCTAACGCCAGTTCCTTCATTCGCGGGCCCGAGCGAGAATGTCTTTCACATCCAATGCACAGACTGCTTGCAGCGCTCCTCGGTTGTATCTGACACGAATCACACGCTTTCACTTGACCCGCACGTACACCATCCCTTCAACGGAGACACCCTCAGTATAAACAAAAGTTGGCTTTCGAAGGCTTCGCTCACCTAGCATGCTTTTCTGAACAGAAACCCATGAAGGCCGGCTTGCCTGTCGCACGGCAAGAATGAAGGGCACATGCACTCAAGCTCGGACCTTGCCCCCCATTCCGTGCGCAGCTCCTGCTGCAATACGGATGTTTGACTTCCCCTTCCACGAACTTGGGCTTAATTCCACATATCTACTCTCAAGCACGTTAGCGTTCATCGTCCAATATCAGGCGATAATCGAAGCGCAGATACATACTTCACATAGGTCGTCGGGCGGTTGGATAGGCATCTGGACTTTCTGGATATTCCAGTGGACGAGGTTCTTTACGAAAGAAGGCATGAAGAGAAAGGCAAGGATGGGGCCGCTATAAAGGTCAAGGTGTAAATACCGAAAGGCAGGCAAGTGTTTCGTCTCCACGTTTATAGCCTCCGCCTCGCGGTAAATGGTCACCATCACTCAAAGCTCTACCCTAGACGTGATGAGCACGAGGCCAACACGCCTACCCCTGCCCCACAAGAACGGGGTTCTCGCCACCGATATAAGAATTGAATTCCAGTGCAGGCTGTGATATTCGTTCCTCCAGTCCATAACTATTATCATTTTCTATACCCCCCACGAGGATCGAGGGCTTTTTGTCCGAATCTTAATGGCCTCAGCAATCCCTCTGGCCGTGTCACTGTTGTCTACGATGGCCTCTACCCACCCCGGCTTGCATAGTCTTCAGCAGTCTCTTCCGTCGTTCACATCCATGGCGTCCAGTGGCACTCAGACTTCCGCCCCTAGCTCCACGCCCTCTGCTCCCGTCAATATCCCAGCGCCACCGGCCTCGACAAACGGCAATACTGGAATCGCCACTACGCCACCTCACAATAGTACATCTAACTTTTGCGAAGTAAGTCGATCTATGTGCTGATGGAGGCTTCTCGTAATCCCCCCGTCTAGACGTGTCATATCAAACCGAAGTATAACGACGGCACGAAGACACATCCTTACTGCAGCAAAGGGTGCGCCAACAAATCCAAGAACAATCGCAGCACGAACAATGGGACGAATGGCCAAAACAACGGAAACAACGGAAACCACGCAGGCTCTGCGAACTGTGACGTACGTCGCTGAAAGACCTTGTCTGATGTTCTGTACATTGATTCATGAGCAATTCATCAGGTGTGCCATATTCGACCGAAGTACAACGACGGGACCAAGACGCACCCGTTCTGCGGCAAAGCCTGTGCGAAGAAGGCCAATGGTGGTGGCGGTAAAAGTCCGTTTGTTCGTTGAGGAAGACCATGCTTATTCAATCACTTTCCCAGGTATTTGTCGGGCGCCAGGCTGTCAGAAGCCTACTTATACTACTTCGAATGGTACTCAGAGCGAGTTCTGCTCTCTAGCGCATAAGACGTACGCAGTACCTCCTGTCTGAACGATACGAATCGCGAATTGATCGGTTATTTCAGGCTAGTGGAGACGATATGCATTCTTTGCCTCCAAGCTCCGAAACAACCTGGGTCTCACTTCTGCAGCAAGACCTGTAGTGATGATGCTGAGTCGCAAGGACCTATCATTCTCGAGGTACCTCAAGGACACGTCACCTTCAAGAGCGGTACGTTTTACCTCAGGCCGGATTGAATTGTATACTGATGAGATCGTGATATAGTCGCTGAGCAATTCAAAACATCGTGGCGACATGCTGGCACTTCCTGCCCACCTGTCAAACATGTGTATAAGATCATGTCGACCCCCGCGTCCCTTGCGAACTACAACGCTTATCGGTATGGATAACCGTCTTTCCTTGTCTAATTTGTGCCCTCAAACCTGTGCTTCCATTTCGCAGTGCAGGTGTGGAGACTCGTGGACAATTCGTGGCCTCGGGAAGATCCGCTGGTAATGAGAACCGCCGCTGGCACGGGACGCGTCGAGAGTGCAATCTTGGCGACCCGGGACAGACTGCTTTTTGCTCGTCGACTACCTGTTCTTTGTGCTGCATCGTTAGGACCTCGTATGAATTGCGCTTGTTTGGCAAGAAGACGGGATGGGGAAGGTATACTCCTGTTTACTGGATTGTTTACTCGTTTCTGAACGAGTTTATTAAGGTTCGGAAGGGGAATTTATACATCTTCGACGTCTTCTAAGTATGGTGGAGCTTGCCGATTTCTTCTTTTCATCTAATGGATTATATCATAGGTCCAACGACTACTCTTCTAACGATTGCAAGTCAAGCTTGAAAGCCATGCTTTTGAACAAAGTTGTCGTCGGGAAAGGCTGCAAGATGCTGCATGACAACACATCCTTGCAAGCACCTCCAGCTGGCTTCGATTCGGTGCGTCGTTCCATCCTCTCCTGCTCTTTATTCTTATCTATACGACAGGTATTGGCGGAGAAGGGTGGTAGTCTGAACTACGACGAACTGGTCGTCTATACGAATGATGCCATCCGTCCGTCTTTCCTCGTCATGTACGAGCCCTAAACTATTGTATTTATATCCTGAATGAATCCCCATATATTTACTCCCGCCGACTACGGATCTTGGGAGCCTTGATTATTTATCCGTCCTTTCAAAGACATGTAGGATCGTATTGTAGAAGGGAGTGCATAGTAGAAGATTGTCAATGGAAGGCATGTTGCTACAAACACTCAATGTTCGAAAGCAAGGGCCATGAAAACGATGAACCTCATCAACTAACAGGAGCCGAAAGTAAAATCTGGCGGGTAGAATGCCAGGCTAACCACATGACGACAACCATACCGGACGCCAGCACGAGGCTAACACATTTCGTTAACTCGTGTTGAACAGGTGAAACGCGTCACTTACAGCTCCAAGACAGATAACGCTACAAAGCTGTCAACTAGATTGGATGGCACATACATGCTGAGCCACTCACCGAAAAGTGTTTGAATGTGCTTACAATACACGAGGCCGTAGCAAATACCCCGAGAAAAGAGGGCGGGGAAGGACGTGTTGGTTATGGCGGCCCCGGCAACCCAAAACGCCCAAGTTGTTATGACCCAGAGGCCTTGTACTCCTAGAGAGGCCCACGGAGTCGTGGACCAGACTGGGTGTATGAACAGCACCGTAAAGGCGGCTCCGGTGATGGCTGTCCAGCAGGAGCAGAATCTGCGGAAATGGTAGAATCAGAACGTGGTATGTTAGGATGAGTCTGGCGTACATTAAGAGACCGAGGCCTGTCACTATGGTATCGTTTGGTGCGTTGTTGTTGAACTTGTATTGCGACAAGAGCCAGCTTGACACGCCTAGCTAAAGAGGATTCGCTTGGGCTTCGCACTCAATCATTTCAAATAATACGGTCGGAATACCTCCGCTAGACTGGAGAATACCAGAAATCCGTACGCCACTATTTGAGCATTGTCAGCTATAGGCACTACAAGGCAATAATACCGCGATGGGAGGACTCGCCTGGCGCATAACGTTGTAATTTCACTCCGATAGCCTTGTTCAAAGGTCTTGGAGCCCGAAGCAGCAGCCTGTACGACCAGTATACTGCACAGAGATATAAAATTGCCAGGATGGCGATAATACAGGCGGTGGCCCCAGAAGCGGCTTTTGAAAAGCGTGCGCTTCGAGTTGCGGTCATTGCGAAACGACAGATATGAGAGCAAAAGACGATAGATGGAGCTGGGGATGAAATGGAGAGATACGTACGTATCCCTTACTTCTATCTTGCTTACCTGCGTTGTAACATCATGTCGCACTGCGAGCAACGAGCATGGTAAGCGTGGATGCTGGCAGCACTTGTAGCACGCGCCCTGGACAAGCTGCCGGTCATTTCGCTAGGCTTTCGTCTTCAAGAAGCGTCGAGAAGCACGTAGTTCCGAAATTAAAGTGAATATACAGCGTGAGGCCAGTTGTCACAACAAAACATCTCGAGCGACTGCAAATTAGAGTGAAGAGTTCTTGCGAAGGTTGCAAATAAGCGCCTGCGTGCCTCTCCTCAAACAACGGCTGAGGGAATTCATAAATAAGTTCGTTTACATCGTAAGGAGTCTACGGAGTTGTGAGATATGAGTTACGGGTATATCAGGTGCTCAGTCCGGCAGCCTTGTTCATCGCCTCTTCCTTGCAAGCCCTGCTACAAAAATAGTCGGCGCCACTCTGGGGCTTCGTAAGACACATGATACATCCTGGGACGAGACCATCAGCTACCGCCTCCCTGTGAAATGGGTTAGCCGCTGTAGAAATCTCGACGAAGCACAGTAACTCACTCCCTGTGCTTCTTTGAACAGTATTCACTTGCTTTCGCACCGTTGGCATCCACGTGAACGGGCTTCTCGCATCCCGGTAGAAGGCATTCAGGAAGGTCATCCATCTCATCCGGATCCATATCAGAGTCAGAGTCTTCATCATCTGGATCGAGAGCAGGCATGGTAGGCATAGCTGAAGCTTTGGTGTTGGGATTGTTGATAAAAGGATTGTTGACAGAGGCTTTGGCCGGAGCGCGAGGTGCCGCAGCTGCAGGCACAGAAGGGATCGGTTGGTTGCCTTGAGGCTGAGATTGCGCTACCGGAACGTTGCTTGGTCGCGGGGCGGGTCTAGGCCCCGGTCCACCGCCAACACCAACAGCAGAGGCTAAAGCAGCGCCAGCAGCTCCAGCAGCGGCAGTAGCCAACAAAGCTTGAACCTGGGGCATCTGCTGCGCGACAAGTTCTAGTAGGGGGAGAAGGAGGGTAAGGAGTCTGATCCCAACAGCCTGGAGATAGGACGTACGGGCGATTTGGGCGGGGTTGATGGTGATAGCTGCATTCGACGAGTTCGGTGGGCCCTTCGCAGAAGGCTTCCCTCCCTTCGACGGAAAGCTTCCAGGACCGGCAGTAGTGAGAGTGTTGCGAGTAGGAACGGGCCCGTTGGTGGCGGCGGCAGCGGCGCAATTCTTTCCACAATACTCGAAGTTCGCGAACTTGGGTTTCTTATGGCATTGCTATAGACCAGGATCAGCGACGATAAGAGTAAGATGAGCGATACATATTACATTGCATAGCGTCGCGATTTGCTTAGCGCAAGTCTTGGAGCAATATTGATATCCTCCGAACTTGGGCTTCTGGCGGCAATACTAGTTGGCGGTGGGATCAGGTGGAATCGTAGCAGAGGCAAACATAAAACGTACATCGCACAGAGAATTTGCTGCGTTGGTCGTGTTCGGGGCAGGCTTAGTGGTGTTCATGCGGGTAGCCATTCTTGTCGACGAGAAATATTGTATCTGCGATTCGGTGATAAGCTAACGAAAGGAGGGCCTTTATAGGTGAGCATCGTGTTAGGGTTTCACGATCCAACATGAGGCTGGATGGATACAATGACCGGCCTCACGTCAAGTTCATGGTACGCCTCACACATGGCCGGCGTGAGAGGCCTATTAAGGATCAAACTTTGAAAGATACCCTAGGAAAGCATGACATCAATCAACAATCCTCGAGGCGACGAAACGATGATAGATTATCAAAACAAAGGTGTACAATACAACTGGTGCAACCGTGTGATCCTTTCCGGACGATCAGATACTGGGATGGATGGATGGATGGATGGCGATGCTCAACACGCCTTCATCGAGCGGAGTTTGTCTCGTAGCCTCTCCAACGCCTTACCGAGCTCATTGCGGCCTCGACCATCTGCGCCCACTCCCCAGAAAGCATCTTTATCGGAGTCCTATATCAAAGACATCAAACTTGAAGAAAGGGTATTGAGATCGATTGAGGCTTACCTCGACAAGCTCAGCATCGCCTGTTGAAAGAAGTTCCTGCTTCAGATCCTCATGTTGCATGAATTTGTGGAAGATAGCCCTGTCCATCTAATCAACCGCCGGAACTTAGCTTGGGGTGGAGGAGAAGGGGGGGAAGAAAAGTTACCATCTCGATGTTGACCTTCAGCCAGTCGCGTCTAGCTTCTGGTTGAAATCTACGGGCTTCAGAGAATGCAACGCTCGGTCGCTCGGAGCACGTCCGGATATGCTCAGCAAGTCCAGGTCTATGGCCTTGGAACTGAGGCCAAATCAGTCGGGGCGTAGGATGGAAAAGAAATGAGACGTACTTTGAAAGACTGGAAGAGGTGCTCGCTCGTGGGGTACTTCTTTCCCTCGTACATCACCGGATGGGCAGAGAAATTCGTGAACCCGTAATGAGGGTCTTGCTTGTGATAGAAGAGGATGCGAGGACGCGATCTTCTCTTGGACGAGTTGCTGGATGGGCTATCCGACCGCATGAAGACTGAACCGCGCAACGCCGACTCACTCTTCGGCCCCGGGCGTCTAAGATACGTCGACTTCCGAACGTCCTTTTCACCTTCACTCCGAGTTTGCTGTGGGCTTGCTTCCTCTTCGTATATCAAATACTCCTTATCTGTCATGCTCTGGGTGCGTCGTGATGGATTTGGGGGTGAAAGCCGGCCCTGCTGCTGTTCTTGGACGTGTACCGCCTCCCCTTCCTGAATATCGGCTAGTTTGATGATCTCTTGAACGGTTCCGGCGTCCCACTGACTGGGTGGCGTATCGCTCTTGATGAACACGGTCCTTCTGCGCTCCTCAACGCGATATTGGAATGTTTGATTTGATTTGGATGAAGTTGGCGACAAGATCGTTTGCATCTGGGGCAGAGCCGCTGTGGCGCCAGCGGGCGAGGTGATGATGGCGATAGGCATTTTCACCGAATGGGACATAGCGCAAGGGTCAGGTATCGGGAGATATTTGGAACGCTGTGCAGGTCGGAAAGACGATTCTACTGGATGCTGGGCGAAGCGAGGAGAATGTTATACTGCTGTCAAAACGAACACGAGGCTGATGGGGCGATCTGGGGTGAGTCGTCCTCGTGCACAATGCATTTCTAATCAGGAGACGAGACGGTGTATCAGATACAGGAATCCTTTTCGACCTCCTGCAAGCGGAGAGGACATGAAGTTTGGGCTTGGATATGTTGTGATCGTTACTCGGAAGCCTATTGGGCGCTAATCTATTCCTGCTTCCACGACTCAGGAGATCGAGGGTCTGATGTTGTTGAGGGCATGTGTATGCGAACGTACCCTCCAAAGTGCAATGCACATAACGCTCAATGTATCCCCATGTCATTCAGGGCGATAAGACTTCGCCTTTATCTTCAGACCGATAAATAAATTGCTAATGCCTGCTTGCTAGATCACCACGCCTCGCCATGGGCGACTTATCTAAAGCGAAAGCAAATCATACGGGCACCAAACGCGCTTGTTGTTTGCCTTAGGAAAGGGAGACTACTGCTACGATGACGGTAGGTCCTGCCATTCCCAGCGGTTACCCACTTTTGCGCCGGCTGTAAACAAGCGGTAAGTACGGCCTATGCTTCCCATTGACCGCAGGTTGGGACCGCCATCACTCAAGAGTCTTGTGCTTCACGAAGCTACTGTGTCGAATCGGGGACGACTAGTACAACCCTGTACTCTGTCCGTTTCGTACATGTTTCTTGTGTCGTATCCCAAGAGGAATCCTTCTATATTGGAAAATACAGTACGTTGATCCAGCGTGTACTACCGACTGCTTACAGACCCCTGCACTAACAACAGCTTTACGAGGTACTTGCGCTGCGCATTTTGGCGGAGCGTGCACATCATGACCACGTTGTGTCTACGGCTCATGTGGAATGATTCCGTAAGTCTCATCCCTTGTACGATTTAGAGGACGCTGAGTTCTCCAATTGGAATTCTATAGCTGGCTGCAGTGCCTAGTGTTGATCTGAACTACGAAGAGGTCGTTACATATGAATCGACGCAATATGGCTTTTTTTTGCTTATTGTTCGCAACAAAGAGCTACCTGGACAACGGATGAAGGCCGTTCAATTCGAATGCCACGAAGAATATCCCATACTTATAAATGTACTTCTTCCGATACGACACCCATATCCCTCGTTGGGAGGAAAGTTACTAAACATTACAACATCTCCATTGTTAAGCCATGCATCATTCATGCCGACTTGGTACTGAGGAGAGGCAGGGGCATTAGGAGTCATGCGCGTGACTTCGGACTTCAAGCGTTCACAGCTTCATCGCTTCACACTGCAACAAGCTGGTCGTCTAATGGCCCCGCCTGTCTTTGAAACGTTCGTTTCGACGGTTCATTTACTAGTATGTGCCCTTTGCGATCACAACGCTTTTGCCGCGAGGCTGAATTACACGTTACAGGGCCAACCCTGTTACTCATCAAGCCGGCTGGTGCTACACAGCGCACTGCAGGTCGCGCCATGCCCGACAACATGAGGCCCGCTATATATCTTCATAGCGCTGGACAAATGTCTCTTCTCACCAATATTCCACTCTCGCGATCATCACTACTACGACCGTGATCCATCATCATCCCCATGTTCGATGAACTCTTCGACGAAGTTGACGAATTCTTCAATGCATTCGACGAACTCAAAGCGAACCGCGCTTTCATGGGTTCGTCGAACAAACGAACTCGCTTGGTTGCCATGAAGGAGGGGGATCATACATACGCCCATTGTAAGTTGTATACATTTGTACCGTATATGAGATTCTCATTGCCACCGAATCTCTGTAGTGGAGCGGTATTTCCATACGGGCTGGAAACATCCCAATAAGCCAAAGCCGGAGGTCCACCGCATATTCAAAGTCGTCTTCCCAGAGCAATCTCTCCAGCCCTTCCGGGAATACCGGTGAGCACCTTCTCGTCGTCTCTTCTTCCTCCAAGCAATCCCGCGTGTAATTACCTCGCTGACGGACGGATAATATCACTGCAGTACACTTATCGATTCGCAGCTGACAAGTACTACCCTCAAGCCTCTACCAGGGAATGAGAGTCTTATGTTCCACGGAACGAATAGACGGTGTCAGATCGGGGATGAGAAGGGGAATATCATGTTATGCTCGTTGCCGGAATGCTTTCTTTGTTCCGTCCTGAGAGGATCTTACGACATCGCGAAGTGTGGTATGTCGGCATCTCTTCTGCGCTCGTACTTACCACTAACTCGCGTTGCCAGGCTCGAAGAACAGGTTCAAGAGGTATATACGTCGACCTTCCCTCCGTGACTCCCTTCTCATAGGTCGTCTAGATTCGGTACTGGGATCTACACGTCCTCGTGTTCATCTAGTACGTACAACTCCTCGTTCCCTGTGCTTAGCGGACGTCTTTGACACATCCCTCAGAAGCGGATGACTACGTCTCTAACATCGCGAGCAACTCGCACTACCGCGTCATGCTGGTCAACCGTGTCATCCTTGGGAACCCATGTATACGCAAAACGAACGCAATACATCTCACCGAACCTCCCCCTGGTTACCATTCCGTGAGTACTCTATCTCCTCCCTATTCATCGGTACTACGTTCTTACTGACCGATGGGATGGCCCAGGTGGTTGGACTCCCAGGGGCAGATCTGAATTACGAAGAGACAGTCGTTTATGACAATGATGCCATTCGACCTGCGTTCCTCATTGTGTATAGCCACGAGCCTGAAGTGAAGCCAGAGATTCATTCGAAGGCGATGGCATTTTGGACTACGCTCTTCAGTACGCCGCTAGCTACTTAGTGATTGGTCTCAGTCGATATTTTTCTTTTAACTTGCGCTAGCCACATATCCTTTGACTGTCCTTTCAAAGCTTTTGTGCTATTAATATCTGGCTCACTGGCCGATGTTATGTTGGTCGTCGAATTATATTATAAAAATGTATATGATAGAACATGAACGACATAGAGGCAAGGCGTGAAATGCTGAAAATAAATGTGGTACATTCAGAGGCATCATGAAGTAAAAAATTGGCGTGTTTGAGTGTGCTGCATCGTTATGTGACGTCTACAGGCATTTAAACGACTGGCTGGGTTTGGGTCATTGGAGGAGCACCAGTGGTGGGTGCCGTCGTGGCGACGTTGCCGCGTTGACGACCATCGAACTCGGAAGTGTATGGAAGACCACGCGAGGCGGATTGCCAAACACCGCGATGTCCGCGAGAGTGCGAGGTAATGGCGGAGACGAAGACGGCGAAGGTATAAAGCATGACTGGAGAGAAATGATTAGATGAATTTGTCACTTGTGTGACGGAAGGAAGACTCACGCAAAATCCAACTGGCGTACGAAAGGCCTTCGATGGCTCGCAACTCTCTGCAGATCGTCGAGCCAGAGAAAGCTGGGGGAACATGAGTCGCTGGAGATCATATCAATATACAAAACTTACCGAGGAAGCGGCAACTTCCTGAGAAGCGGTCAAGACGGTTGTGGGTGGCAAGGGCGGCGGATGACAACCACAGAGCCCATAGGACAACTACGGGCGGAATGAGGCCGTGTGATACAGGGCGAGATATGGTGAAAGCTTACACAACCACAAGAGGTCCCAATTGACTCGAGAAAAGAAGGCCCGTCGTGCAATCAAGTCAGAAAGGAGCCTGGGGTGCGTGAGTTTGGAAACGTTGGCGCATGAGGAGCACAACTTACATGATGGGCAGCGTCAAAACCGTAAGCGCGGCGGTAGCGAGTGCTAATCCCTCAAGAGGAATGTACCCGCCGCTTCGATGGAAAAGATGGGTGAAGTGCCCAGCCACTCCGAGCGTCGAGATGGCCAACATGAGGACGAGGGCTGTGGCATAATAAGTATCGCATGCATGAGCGCGAAATGAAACACATACTGAGGATAAACCATCTGAAAACGCCAAAGAATGCCATTGCGATTGGATGAAGTATGTGAAGTGGAGGATTTCTGGATGAAGGAGGTCAGTTGACTGTACACCTTATATAGGATTCGACCTACGGATATCCGATGGGAGGCTGGCAGAGCTGGGGATGCTGACGCTATCCGAAGGTTGGGAGCCTCCTTAAATATGGTCAGGGGCCTACAGGCAGAGCCAGCCGAAGCGGAATCACGTCACGCGAGAATCGCGGAACTCTTCTCGATCCTTCTCTTCATCGCTCCGTAATCCAGGATGCAACCAAGGGTAACCACGGTCTTGATAGGACATTAGGCGGCTGCAGGAATTCATAAGTTGGCCTCGATGCAGTCTGGGGGGCTGGAGCACCTACACGACGGGATATCATCAAGACTCCAAGCGAACGAACCTACAATGAATCATTCATGTCCCATAGTAGCACTTATTCTTGGCTGAACCTTGAGCTAAACCGCCCCGCGTGCCAGTACCCGCGTCAACATGACGCGGAACGCTGTAAACTTGTTCCAGAAAGTGCCGCATGATGATGATGACCAGTGTTTGCGGAGGAAGACGCGCAATGTGTACAGGGAATAGGGGACTTCGGAATCGCGGAGTGGGTCATACTATATTTATGTTCCGAGTGTGTACACGCTAGTGGTGCGGCTGAACCTACTTGCTGACTACCCATCACAACTTGGGCAACACTATCGCCGATGAAATTAGCGTGCTGGGTCCGGAACCGGCATCGAGTTCTGTCTGTGGTCGTCCTAGTCATGTCTAAAAACAATAGAAGCCTTCTAATTGAATAGACCCGGCAAGAACGTGTTCTCCATTCATTCTAGAACCCACATGATTAAGAGCAGATAAGTATAGCACAATAGAGTATTTCCTAGCCGTGGGGGGTCGGGACGGGAACGAGGAGGAGATAGAGATACTCGGTGACCTCCTTCACCTGCGCCGCAGGAATCGGTCCGCGGGTTCACATTCCCCACCGACCCTTGGAACTCGCCCCAGGCTGTTTGCGTGCATTAAACGCTGGCGCTTGATGGAAGTTCGTGCTTGTAAGCCGTGCTACCGGAAGTCGAGTCGGCATTTGAGCGCGTCGAATATGGGAATTCGCTGGCTGAGGCCGACCATACGTTGGGATGACCACCGTTGCGTGCCATGAACAAAAATACGCAGAGGGCGACGGTGTAGAACATGACTAAGGGATGCCATTAGATAGGATCATAACGGAATGAGGCGGATATGTCATCGAACTCTGGGTTCGGGCGCGTGACCGCTTCTCTGCAAGAAGGCGGTAGTGGAAGGTGGGATGTGGGAGGATTTGAGGTGAAGGGAATATACGCACGCAAGAGCCAGTTTACATAGGAGATGCCTTCGATTGCTGGGAGTTCCATACATACAGCCAAGCCATCATCTGGAAGGAAAAGGCGTGTTGGATGCAGATATCAGTAGTTGGGAGGTCTACATACCACGGAGTTGACTACACCCCTTCGGACCGAGCTCCTTCATGACCGTGATCCGCAGGTTGGATGCGAGCGCGGCGGTGGTGAGCCAAAAGACCCAGAGGATAACTTATGAAAAGCGATGAGAGAAGGATATTGGGGGTTGCATAGACATACAGAGCCATATACTCTCGAACAAAACTGTCGTTGGGAAAGATCCTTTCGGAGAGAATACGCTAACAGTTTATTAGATAGAGATAGAGAAAATAAAGTTAATAAGATAGGAAGGCGCACATAGCTGGGAGGGACAAGATGGTGAACAGGGCAGTGGCCAGGCCCATGCCCTCAATGGGGATCGTGGTCCCGGATTTTGCGAAGATGCTGGTGACATGCGCGTCTACACCGAGCACGGCAAACGCAAATATGGTGACCAGACCTGATTGACCGTCAGTTACCTTGGGCGTGAAATTGAAGTTATGAACGAACCGAAGATAACAAGCCGTGGAATCGCGAAACCGGCCATAGTAGTGCAAGATGAGTGGGGTTGAGCGGAAAAATGTGGCAATGGATGAATGCGAAATAAACGTGTCGTTGCTCGCAACGACGGAAGAAGTGAGACACTAGGCCTGCCAAAAAAAATGGATGGATGAAATGAAGGATGGGACGCGCTGCTTGCTCAAGTGGGTCGCGATTTCGTTCTGTAGTAGATGCTTTATATCATGTCAGAAAAAATCTATGATATGTCAATATCGCTAGAGCATCGCCTGGTTTGATGCGCCCGAGTTCTCAACTACGACGCGGTCATCACTAAGAAGCAACCTGACAGTGCCTCGAGTTTGGTGAACGAACGAATAGAGAACGGGTGCATGTCTGATAGGCGCTCAAGAATTTGAATCAGGTTGAGACGGTTCAAGGCGGAAAACAATTCCCACAATGTCAAGGGTTGCGACTTGCGCACAGGTATAGATGGTACTTGTCGCAATCAATTGCGACAAAGGGGCGCGTAATTTGTACCCATGGTTTCTCCCCGGTGGTCATAGTCCCGTACTTCTTGATTGGATTTGACCAACTAAAAATTGGACGAACGCCTTGCAAAAGTCACTTACATTCAGCGGAAAGAACCTAATGTCAGAGCATCAGGGGTGATTAGGGTGTGAGCCATGTTGGCAACGATTTCGAGAATTAATCCCATTTCTCCTCAACCGCTAGGTTCCAAACAAGTGGTAAGCAATTTATAGGGTGTTGCTGAGCGTTTCGAGCTGGGAGTCTGATTTGAAGACTACGGGAAGACGACGAAGAAGATATCAAAAGAAGATATTACAGATGGATGAAATGATCAAAGGACAATGAACCGCCGGGAGATACACACACACGGCCATGGCATCACCTGATGGGTTGTATTGAGGATTTATATCATTGTTCAACGCCAAAGTCAAGGACATCGGCATATGACGAATTTCGGTGCACTTCCTGCAGCCAATAGAGGTCCCGACTCCCGATTAGAGCCTGTATACTCGACGAGAGTGCTGCGGTGAAAAGCTAAAGTATACAGAGAACAGTTAGCGAAGAGCAGTGAGAGGAAACCGGGAGGATATCGTCGACAGCGCGGGTAGAGGCAGATAATTGCAAACAGACCAGTCCGCACATGACGACGACGGACAAGGGCAAGGCAGTAAGTCGGTCAGAGGAAAGACTAGTTATTTTTGGATTTCCCGTAACCTAGATCAATAGGCCGTCACCGCGCCGAGCACGATTTGGAGATCCATGAATCATATACACTTCTTAAGCTTTGATACGCATAGGACGACAGCCCGGCGGCAACGGCGTCGCGTACAGTGCCAGAGTTGGCCACAACATCGAGGGCACGGACTCCCGACGCGATGACGATCTGCATAGTCCCAAAGAGAGCGAGTACATGAACGAAAGAACAATTGCATATTCGTCAGTTATCCCCGCACCAAAGAAAATGTGCCATACAGATTCCATCTACAACGATTATATTGTTCGCGATTGGGGGAGGAGCCGGTTTCGAATAGTCATCAACGCCCAAGACGTACGGATGGATAGCCTTCTGGGGGTTATATTTTGAAGGCAGTGGCGTTGGCAAAAGAATGAGGTATCAGATGAATTAAGTATGCAAGAATACAAAGGGAATAAGTCGTGAACGAACACCTCATATGGTGCCGGAACACAATACGCAACGGAGTAGCCTCATCTGCTGCAGCAATGCGTTCGAAGATACTAAGAACGTTAATCACGCACGGTCTGAACTCACTGAGCCGTGTCTCAGAATATTAAAAACTATGGGAGCTTGTTGCTGTACATTGGACCGTCGGAAGTCAGATCGATGTTATAGCGCCTGGTATAGGGGAATTGGCTAGCTGAAGCTGACCAAATGCTGGGGTGTCCTCCGCTGATTGCCTTGTACGAGAACGTGTACAGTGCTACGCTGTATGCCATCACTAATGGATGCAATCAGAAAAGATCACAACGGAAACAAAACAACCGAGGAAGGTGTGAATATATCGAACGCCGTGATTGGGTGGGATCATGGCACGGGAGTTGTAGAAAAGTGGGGAATGGGAAGAATTGAGGCCGAAAGAACATACGCACTCAAGACCCAGACTGCATAGGCGAGGCCCTCTATGGCTGGAAGTTCCACACATAAAGTGAACAGTTCCCCTGGAGGAATTTATCGCGACTGGATATTGGGACTGAGAATGGCATACCGTTGAGTTGGGAACATCCCCTCGAGCCAAGCGGCTCCATGAATGATGCTCGGGTACTAGATGCGATCGCTGCCGTAAGGAGCCAAAACACCCACAGGTTAGCTAACGAAGACCATCAATAAGAACTCGCAAGATATTGCTGTATGATACGTACAGAGCCAGACAGTCTCAAACAAAACCGACGCCGGGAAGGATCCCGCTGGCGAGAATATGCTGAAAGACCACAACTTAGCGCGATCGAGTCGACATCATGGTTGCTGAGTGGACAACGCACATAATGGGCATAGAGACAATGGTGAGAAAGGCGCCAGCGAGGCCTAATCCCTCAATAAAGGTCATACCCTGTACTTTGATCAGGACATGAGTGTAATGCGCATCAACGCTTAGCATGGCGAGCGCGAGTACGGTGATTAGAACTGAATCAGCTGAATATAAGCCAATGTGTAGGATACGATTTCAATATAGATAGCGTACCGAAGACGATCAATCGCGGGGCGGCAAAACGGGCCATTTTGAGGGGGAGTTATGAGTGCAAAATCAACAAATCGATGGGCGTGAATATCCACGCGTCGTCGCTTGCAATGACAACAAAAATGGTATTGTCAGGCCTGCTGAAAGAACTTTGAACGAAAGGAGGAGGGGAAACAGCTGCTTGCTGCAGTGTCCGTCCCTCGCCTACTAAAGAGCTATATATTCCTTCAAGGAATACGCGATACGCCGATATTGCTGCAATATGCCTTGATGCGCCCAACTCTTCAACATCGACACGTTCATCTCTAGGAAGGAACGTTACAATCCCTTGAGTTTCTTGAGTCAATTACCTAGCTAAAAAAAGGTTCGTCGATGATAAGCACCCCACGACGTAGATTTCAATCAACTCCCACGACGATAAAGTGGCGATTACAGCACGGGAAAGTATGGCTGTGAATGGGTGGTGGTTCCATACCTATGGTATTTCGCCCGGTGGTATCAGTCCCGGGCTCTGAGTTCAATCCATTCGCGTAGACGTCGGTACGGAATCCTACAAAGTTGCCGAAGTTTCACTGAAACATTGCAACTGGAGTTGAGAATGATAGTGGTGTTAGAGTTTTGATTGGACGTGTATATGGGCGCGTGCCCATTCGTGCTACAGTTGTGGGATTGGATTGGACGACGGACCGTGGAATGATGGGATACAGGATCATTAGGACGCGAAACAAGGTGGCTTAACCGTCGCCAGGACCAGTTCGCTATCCCCCGAACGGACCGGAACCTAGAGTAGGCCATCAGCGCGCAACATGTCATTTGAGCTACTACATGTATCACAGCGTCTTGGATGATTGGACCCCAAAGGGAAAAAATCTTGGTCGAGGTGCCGGTAAACGTCCATGTCTTCAACTTTGGAGCGAGGAACATCCCTAAAGTCGTCTAAGCACGCGCCCCGCTGTCCTTTTTCAATGGCCTTCGACGCGAATGTGGAGAGAATTACGATATAAAGCATGACTAAGGAAAGATATTAGGTTCGATCATAACGGAAACAGAGAGGACAGGTTGAAATTGCCCGTCGTCATGAAGGTATATGTGATGGGATACATACGAAGGAGGGCGGTGATATAAGCGAGCGCCTTAATGGCCAGCAAGTCCAAGCACACGCTCTGGAAATCGCCTGCAAAGATAACTTGGGAGCTGATACTACGACAAAAAAGAGAGGCTACGAACCGTTGAGTGCGTAACATCCGTCTGCGCCCAGTGTTTGCTGAAGTAGTAGCAATCGGTTGGACGTAAGTGCCGCGGCGGCAAGCCAGAGCATCGAAAGGATAGCTAGATGAAGAACGAAAGATACTATTAGCTTTGCGATGAACGTGCTGATATGTTTATGGAACGAACCAAGCCAGATAATCTCGAAAAGTATAGAGTTCAGGAAAGAACCCGTCGATGAAAATGCCCTGTCGAGATGGTGTCAACGAAGCACGCAAGCTTGAAGGAGTCTTTTTACATACATAGCTGAGATGGACACAACAGTTAACTGTGACGTGGCGAGGCCGATCCGCGATATCACTGCTCCTTCGGTGTTGGCTAAAACGTTGGCAGCGTATCCTTCCGCTTCAATAAGGACGAGAGTAATCCCGATGACTCCGCCTAAGCAAGTAGAGTGAAAATCCATATTCAACTCGAGCCGATAATGTACACACCGAAAACAAAACATCGTGCTAGCAGAAGCGTAACGGAATTGTGCATCGTGATACGATTTGGGTTCAATATTAAAGTTTTCAAGGATGGTTTTACGAAGCAGCTAGACAGCGAGATAATCGACCTGCGAAAAGAAAAGGGAGAGGTGAAGAAGAAACCGCACCAGAGGAAGCTTTAAATTCCGTTAGCGCGATATACTTATTGGCATTAGGACTTGGCAATTTGAAGTTCATTTGATGCGCGCGACGTCTCAGAATGGCTATCCTAGTGATCTCCAGCAGATACATTATTTCCTGGCTGTTCGTTGACAAGTAGATATCGTCGAAAGCCGGCTCTGCCTTAATTGATACCCTCGTAGCCAAATTGTGCCGGCGCGTGAAGGACCGGTAATCGTTGGCGTGGTTGTAGCAAAGAGACCCTTCCTTCCTTTTCTTATGGTTGGTGTATAGCAATTGAAAGTCGTACTCATCTAGAGGAAACCGTAGACACTGGAAGAGGACAGAGAGACGAGGGAAATAAACGCTCGGCGCTAGATTACACAGGGGCACCAAGTGCCCCCGCACTGGCCAGAGCTTTGGTTAACAATCGATGTGAAACCAGTCATACTACAGGGATTCGGCAATCTAGTATATACCTGGGATCAAGCGGAAAGGAACCCTTTGCGCAAATTCGTCCCATTCCTTCCCGAATCTGCGCCGGAGACCTTCGTCCTCCGCTCCCATGCGTGTTCCCAGGCCATAAAAACATATCGCGAAGTTCAAACCCCACAGGACGCTCACCGCCATCCCTACGGTGCTGGACGACCCGCATGCTCTGAGCCAATGTCCTGGCGAGTACATATAGATCGTGGCGCCGATGAACGACGCGAAGATTCCCGTATAGCTAGGGTGGCGCACGAATGAGTACGGGCCGCTGGTGACGAGCTGGTGGTCGGGCTTGATGTTGAATTGGAAGTCGAAGAGGCGTCCGAGCTCGGAGAAGCACCACCATCGGAGCAGCCCCGCGAGGACGGTGACGGAGGCGCCAAGGACGGCCATGGTAGGCGGTGTGGTGGGCAGCACGATGGTTGCAGCGCAGGAACCGTGGTCTCCAAATAGACGGAACGAGGTCGCGATGACCATCAGGGACATGGTGCATACTATGCCCTGTACGGTCTGTTAGCACGGATTCGCAGCGGCGAGATGATGATGATGCAGCCTTACCTTGGATATGATTGTGCGAATCTGTATCGTCCTCTCGAACCAGTTGCTGTCTATCCATTCCTTACGTGGGAGGGGGGTATTGGGCTGCGTCAGTGATTTGTAGAAGAACGCCGCAGTTGCGATAGCGAGTGCATTGTTCAGATTGAGGACGCGGTCCATGGCTTGGACGTCGTGTCGTGGATAGGAACCGAAATCCTGATGCGAAGCTTTAAAGCGATTCATGAACCTCGCACAAGGCCGACATTACGGCCGATTCATGGTCTGTCTTCTGCGCAGGCTTGGTAGGCAGAACATCGGAGAGAAACATACGGCGTAAATTGCACCTGTCATCGGTGGGATAAAATCGAGTTGAACGCATGCTGGACTCATTTTGCGAAGGCTTCTTTGCTCTCTATGTGCAATCTTTCTCATCGAAAGATGTAGCATTGGAAGGAAGAGATGCATTCGCCTGTCATTGGGAGCACTGTCGGTTGTAAAGCGGGAGCTCAAGATCAGAAGCTGCTGTAGGTATACCACGGACGTGGGATCGTCGACGAATTTGGTCTGGAGTCGCTGTACCGAGTACCAAGGACAATGGGGATCGCATCTAGGCCAGTGATGAGAGGGAGGTTGTAGTGTTTTCCATATCGGTGTTGATTGCCTTCGCATTAGAGTCGCGTTCGCCGCAGAATTGTCGCGAGCAGTGGCGTCGCCCACCTTCTTCTAGCTAGTTACCGGCTATCTACGAGGTATTCTTGTCGCTGTGAGAGAACGACAGAGTTCCATCAGTACGACTACAAGATTGCAATGATAATCCATATCAGTGTTCGAAGATGTTTATAGCCCACAGACAAGCTTCTAGCTGACCATGGCGGGCATTGACATGCAGTAGGCGAACATGTATTCTCCAACGTTCGCAGGGCAGTGATATGGGGGATTGTACTAGATAGGAGTCGTGGTGGGTAGGGGTCCCAAACAAGCCCCAAGAGACACATCTCGAAGGGCGCAGAACCGCACGCAACCTGATCGCAGAAGTTACAGTGCGCCTTATATATATCAAGGCGAGTTCTAGAAGGAATGTATCACACCGTGTTATGCTACCGCGCTTCATAGAGTTCGTTTGGTCGTTGAACTGCCATCGAGATTTCCTGCCGTCGGGTGCCAGCCACACATTGGATGTCCTGCATGGAGAGCTTTGACCGAGGGTACGGAAAAGGTGACGACGTAGAGTATGACTGAGAGAAAACGAGAGGACGGCGTAGATGCTCTAATAATGTACCTTGTACGTAGCGATTTGAGGTTCCATTGCCATTTGATGGGCCTGACTTCTTGAATCCGCAAGGTTACGTGGCAGGCGCGAGATGCGAGATTCTAGCGCGATCGTAATGGATGGGAATTCTTTGAGTATTTCATGACGCCTGTGCGGAGCACCTGGAAGGCCGGTTTAGTTGGTAAAGCCGCGAGTTCTGCGAGTGCTGAAACGAGACCAAGGAGAGAGGGTGAAAAGTACATTTCCGATGCATTGGCGCTGCATTACATGTGAGGGAAACTCGTTTCAGGCGCTCGAGAGCCCAGTGCCAGGTATCAGTATATACCTGGGATCAAGCGGCGAGGAACTCTCTGCGCAAACTCGTCCCACTCCTTCCCGAACCGGCGCCTGAGTCCCTCATCCTCCGCCCCCATGCGTCTTCCCAGCCCGTAAAAGCAAACCACAAGGTTCCAAAACCACACACAGCTCACTGCCAACCCTACGACACTCCCTGACCCGCATTCCGACAGCCACTGCCCCGGGGCGTACATGAAGATCGTGGCGCCGATGTACGCTGCGAAGCATCCCGTGTAGCTCGGGTGGCGAACGTACGCGTACGGACCGGTAGTCACTAGGCGGTGATCAGCCTTGATGTTGAAGGCGAAGTCGAAGAGGGTTCCGAGCTCGGCGAAGCACCAGACACGGAGGAGCCCGGCGACTATAGTCGTCGCAGCGCCGATGATGGCAACGACTGGTGTGGTGGAGAAACCGAGAGATGCGGTGCAGGAATCGGGGTCCCTGGAGAGGCGGAGGGCACTTGCGACGTCCAGGAAGGACATGGCGCATACAACGCCCTAAACGTTGAGTTAGTAGGTATTCGTAGAAGAACAAGGATATAGTGCGGACGTACCTTAGAGGAGGTCGTGCGGAACCATATCGACCGCTCGAACCAACTCTTGTTCATGAGTTGCACATTCGGGATGGGTGCATTTGGCAGAGTGAGGGATTTGTAGTAGAACACCGCGGTCAGAATGGCGAGTGCGTTGGTCTGGGTAAAATTTTCGAGAGGGTACATTGTATGATGGATGGAGAGCGTGGATGCCATCCTACGAGCCAAGGCGGCTATGATTCATATAAGCTACTGCTGTCCACGGCCGAGTGTGGCACCGCGGCGAAGCCATTGTCTTCCGGGTGAGCATGAGCAAGTATGTGGCAAGTTATCGATGAGCGAAGCATATAGGCATATTGGAAACTGATACTGACATGTATAGCGATACGATATCGTCGCGTTGAACACATTCTGGAATCGCTTCGATTATTCTTCGAAATTGCAAAGAAGAGCTGCACCTGTCTGTAAATTCGAGCAAGCGTAAGTGAGAAGGTGGAAGCAATAAATCGCCGCGGACGTGTGAGAGGGTCGCAACATCTCTTTCAGCCGCAAAAAAGTGCGCGCAGCCGCGATGTGTTTGCTCTGAGGGAATGATACAGACTTCCATCTGTACAATCGGCATGGTGGGAACAATGATTACGCACCAGGATTCGGCCTTTGATAGGCGTTGTGGTAGCGGGACGTAAGAACCCTGTCACAGAAAGCGCCACGCTCCCCGCAGATGCCGCTGCGTCCATCAGGCAGTCAGGCAGGGAAAATGACAAACAACGCGAGGATAGCGAGCGCAAACCTGCCGCGGAGAGCCTTTACGATTAACAGCAAGATCGTGGTGAGACGAAGAAAGTCGTCGTGATAATGAAGATCCAAGAAAACGAGCAGGAAATGGTCTGAGAAGTCGACGCTTGGGTGATTGCTTAATGTAGCGGCCGTGGTACCTTGGCGCGCAATTGCTAGAACAGAATCGCTCTCAACGGAGTGAGACGAGGGGGAGGTAGGAGGCATCAAATGCACCTTCATCGCCGAAAATCAATGGATATGCTTGTTCTACGACGGAATCACGCACAGACCAGCTTTTCAAGGCCTCGCAGCGCAGCTAGTAGCAAGCACAGATGTGGGTAGAACCCCACGAGGCCATATCGCGTCTTATGACCTGAAGGTTAACTGTGCCGTTGTTGCATTGCTAGCCTATGGTGGTGACGATGGTCATCGGTGCTAAAGCAGGCAGATTCTTCGTTGCGCAGGGAAGGAATGTACATCGCTCATCACGCGATGCCAGGCCAGGCCTTCCCAGCGTCCTATCCCAAACTTGCGGAAAATCGAGATCAGAGTAAGTCAGGAAGAGAGAGGATGGGATGGAGACTCAGACATTGACTTAACGCCGTTTGTTTGGTAAAGAGCTCTTGAGCTAGTGGCCAAACATTGTCGAACCATTCATTGTAAATCACGAATCACCACCAACCACGTCCTCGTCTAGCGCTCCGTCAGGCGATGTGGTACTTCAAAGCTTCTCTAGTAGCTGGGGTTGTCAACTCAGGACGACCCCGACAAATCGCAATGGCCTCGTAAGCGAACATACACAGGGGGATTCTAATCTGGTAATCAGACAACGAGGGTATACGCGGCTATGATTAGATTCATGAGGTCTACTAACGCTGATAAAGCGACCGCATGCACGCACGATGGGGTAGGGACGGACGACATCGATCGATGCTGCGATTTACATTGCGCTAGAGTCACAGGCGGGAGGCGGTATCGGGGCTGTTGGCGCAGTATGCACACCATGGGGGCCATTGAGATTTGAGTTGTCTGCATGGACAATCGGGGTGGGGAAGCTCCCACGTCGATGCCATCCACACGTTGGGGTGTCGCGCGTCGAGGGTCTTCACCGTGAGCATGGATAGAGGAATAATATAAACCACAACTGAAGAAAAGCGAGATCGGATCGATCGTATGTTGGGGGCGCAGGCGGAAGCAACACGTACGGAAAATGGAGTTCAGGTAGGCGACCAGCTGGAGAAATCCGATGCGGTCGCACGCGTTGTGCAGATGGACTACACCCGTGGAATATGAGTACAAGGCGAGTACTCGCTTCGAACCCGTAGTACGTACCGGTGAATCCGTCAGGCAAGGTATCGCATCCGCCCGGGGCCAGGGTCGTCCACAGGCTGTGTTGCGACGCGGCGGTAATGAGCCAGAGCACCAATAGAATATCTGGGGGTAGAGTAAGGGAGAGAAAGGGAGAGATCAGAGGAGGTCTACGGATGATAGGACAGGGAGCATACACGACCAGATGGTCTGGAACACCACCGTCTTCATGAACGAATCCGGGAGCGAGGACTGCCTACGACACAATGAGGGTATAAACAAAAAGCGAATGGTTGATTGAATAGGAGGCGCGATGGGCGCACTTACATAGGTTGAACAGAGACGACGGTGAAGAGGGCGGTGAGGAGGCCCATGCTGGGGATTGCCGCGTCAGCTCCGACGTACACGAAGACGGCGGTGGTATACAGCTCTATGAGGAAGAACACGCACGACGATCCGACGAGCGAACCTACATACGCAGCTTTGTGGTGAGATCCTCGTACTCCACCAAAGCCGATTGTATACGCACCGAAAACGGAAGATTGCAGATGCATAAATCGGTGATTGTAGAATTTTAAGTATCGCATCGTGTTGGGTTATGTGTTTGAAAGGGGATGGGAGTGAATGAGTGGATGTGGCGCTGCCTGCAACGGCGAAGAAAACTGAGCAGAGGGTTGACAAACGAGAGCAAAATGGAGACGAGGGGGGAGACGGGTTTACTCTTCATTTTAGATAACCGTCAGATGTCTTTATAATCTGTGGACGAACGCACAATGTCATGCAGTTGTCCTTGGTCGGCGTTTATCAATTATGACCTAGCGTTTCGTTTGAGGGACCTTATCGGACAAAAAGCAATGCATAAGCGCTCTGAACCCTGAATCACCCGAGTTCACGAAGGATTCTGAACTATCCTCAGGTATCATTGCTTTTCACGCAATGGGTATGATTTTCTTTACAGATATACATATGTACCGGCATTGTGCACAATGAATCACTGTTTATCATGATGAATCACTACGGTCAAATCATATGCAGCAGTAAATACCACTTTGCCTAAACATGCAAATTCACAACAAATCCTCATGGATCACGGAATGGTGAGTAGTTAGGCATATGCATAAGCTGTACCACTGGTGACGGCCTAAGCCTATGTTATGCAGAGCAGGATTCCATAAACATAAGCCTTTCTAGGAAAACTGTGATTCACTGTCTGTCAACGTTCGGCTTGAAGTCATTGCTCAAAGTTCAGTCAAAGTCGTCTTACCATGACCACCCCTGTTGACCAATTTCGTGCTAGTTATGCCGTCCTTGAACAACGTGTCACCACTGCACTTCGCACACAGGTAGGGGCAGTCCAACAGCTGTCTGAGGTGCGAGACCAAGTTCTCAGTCTCTCCTCAGCTGCAGAGCAGGTACGTCATGTGTCATATACCAAAGCTGTTCTCAATGCCTCTGTCCAGCACCTGCAATCATTTTCTGCCGCTGAATATGCAACACTGCAAGCCAATTGCACGGTGATGGCTAACGACCTTGATGCTGCCTGCCATCGCTCTTTGGATCCGCCCCATGGACCGACATTGGTCGTTGCTCAGCGTGTTCATACCGGAGGAAGAGGACGTCCACGAGTACACATTGACCCAACATTCTTGGAGTCTGCTCTAGAGCTTCGTGGCACTACCCATCTTGCTGAGGTCTTCAATTGTTCTGCAAGATCTGTTCGTCGACGCGCTCTGGAGCTCGGCATTGCCCTACCTGCTGCGCCCGTTCGCAACATCGTTGAGGTCGACGGTGAGCAAGTCGCCCAGTACACATCTACGTCGGCTCCTGTCTCCACTCTGAATGACGAAGAGCTTGACCAACATATCCGCTCCATTTTGGAAAGCTTTCCAAATGCTGGACGCCGTATGATTGATGGACATCTCCGTGCCTCTGGCCATCGTCTCCCACGTGAACGTGTCACCATGTCCTACCTCCGTGTTCACGGCACACCTGCAATCTTTGGAAACCGACATATTGCTCGCCGCCGCTATTCTGTTCCCGGCCCAAACTCTTTGTGGCATCATGATGGACAGCATGGTCGGCTCTGTTTCATTCTCCTTCTCAACAAATCTTCTGAACACTCTCAGGTCTTATATGTTACAAGATTGTCATCCATTGCTTCATTGATGGATTCTCCCGCTTCATCACCGGTTTGCGAGCCCATAACAACAACCGTGCATTGACTGTGCTGGAACTCTTCCATGATGCTCGTGAGATGCATGGTGACCCAAGCCGTGTTCGAGGGGACCATGGTGTGGAGAACCTAGCTGTGGCAGCTTGGATGGAGGAGTATTTTGGAATAGAACGGGGATCATACATCTGGGGACGGTTTGTTGTTAACTTTTCTCCTTTGCCTCAAGCTCATGATGATTCTCAGAAGTGTTCACAACACCCGAATTGAACGGCTATGGTACGACCTAACTCATGGGTTTGGCCTCAAGTGGAAGGACTTCTTCCATGATCTTGAGTGCAACCATGGCCTCGACCCTCAGCGCCCTGGCCACATTTGGCTTCTCCATTACCTGTTCCTTGAGGCCATTAACGAGGATGCCCAGGAGTGGGTCGAGGCTTGGAATTCCCACAAGATCAGCATCCGTGGTGAGCGTGCCCGCAGTCCCCGTGACATGTATATCTTTGGAATGCTTCAGGAAGGCGCACGAGGAATTGAGCGGTTTCTGGAACCTGTTGCAGAAGATCTGGCAGCGGAGGACATCATTGGATATGGTGTTGACTGGGAGGTCCTTGATGACACACAGCTCATGACCCACCTTCTTGAAAACAATCCAGAGGACTGGGACAACGACAATCCCTTTGCTCCAGCAACCACACCATCAAATCTGAATAAGGTAGACTGCGAGCCGCCGGTGATGCCGCTCTCACAGTTTCGAGCACTCACCCAGGAGCTTCATTCCCGGCATGATGTTATGTCACGTAATATGAACACTCGCAGACTTCTTTGGGTAGATGCTTTGGCCACTTGTTATAGAATGTATGATGGCTTTTAATTTAACACTCTCTTGTTTACATAATAGTACTATTACAACTGCTAGTTCCAGTATCTCTGAACTGCTGGGAGTTGTCTGCGAACTCTTTGATAGTGTGAAGCCCGGGCCACATCTATGCTTCGCACTGAGTTATGGTACCCAGTTGAGGCTTCACCTGGACCAACCACAACCCACATCAGACCACCTGGATAGGCAAGAGGTGGCGCGTTAGCATGATTCCCCAAGTGGACTTGGTCTCCTGCTGCTCCACCAGCAACAACATTATGTCCACCAGTACTACCTCCACTCCTTTGGCCTTGAGCCTCTGCCATGGTTGATTTGCTAGGCATGGTGCTGCCATGCATGTCATTTCCATTGAAAAGCCTGAAGAGAATCAGCTTCTACAAATACAAATTTTAAATCAACTCACCACAATGTGTTGGGCCCATTGTCAAGGTAAACCCCCCATCTGAGAAACACAATGTTCCACTCCCCTTCCTTGCACCGCTTTCCAAGCTGCATGCACGTTGACATTGTCTTATCACGGTCCAAATGCATGGGGCTGCAGTAGTTATGACAGATGAACAGGTTGCCACCTGCACTGCCAAGGGGGTCCACACCATGAGCAACAAAGTGCTTTCCAAGAGCCTTGGTGACTGGGGAGTAAACAGACTGCCCTGTTGTCACCAAGGTGTCAGCAACCTATCATGATTCATCAACACAAATTCATCTAGATTTAAAGGACTGTTACCTTTGCGTGGCCAAACAAGGCATGGATCTCCTCTACCTCCTTGGCCATCATGTCCTTGTAGGGGCCATATCCACTGGCGGGATTGCCTCCCTGGGGCAGGCGTGATCCGAGGGCCTTCATGCTCCCCCATGCAAAAGCTCGAAAACCCGCACCTCGTTTGACACTGCTGAGCTTATCAGTCATCTTCTTATGCTGTGACATTTCATCAAGTGTTTCTTGAGTAAATGCCTGGTATTGCACCGCACCAACCTACAGCAATGTCAGAGTATGGCCTTCATAATATAATGACACTTACCAGAAGGCCATCATTAACCAGAAGGGTGACATCTTTGGTACATCGCTTGTACACCTCTGAGCGAGCCTTGATTTGGCGGAGTTTGAGGTCATCAGGGTGGTAGTAATGGGGCTCTTCACTCTTCTTGCTCCCCTTGACCAGCTGATCATCTTTATGTTATTTGGCATATCAATGACACATGTAGGGGACTCACCATAGGGGGCAAACGATCCTCTGGAGGAGCAGTGGTGATGACACATCCCTCATACTGCTCATACCCCTCCAACTCATCCACCGCAAACCTACGAATGCACCACTCATCCTCTGTCAGAGTATTGCAATTCACACAACTGTTGGTGAATTCATCAGGCATCCTGAACTCCTCAGAATCGAACAACGGAGCATTGGGCAGGTCGACCAGTGGCTGAGTAGGAATATTGGAAGAGTTGACAATACGATGGGGCTGAAGGTTGGGTGCTGATACACTAGGATCCACTGGGCTTTCTGGATGTGGGGTAGGAGAAGGGGAAGGGGAAGGGGAAGGGGCAACTGATGAAGCAGGGGAAGGGGCAGCCGATGAAGCAGGGGAAGGGGCAGCCAAGGGTAAAGGAGACAAGGAAGTTGCACCATCTAATTCCAGATGCTTTCGACGTCTCTTTGGTGTCTTCTTCTTTGGCCGTGGCACTGCCTTCTCTTCCAAGTTTCGTTTCTTCAATCGGAAGTTACTGTACTCGGTGTCCTTGTTCTTGGAAACAAGAGCTTGAGTTTCCTCGAGAATCACCCTCAACACCTCTGGTATCTCATGGGTCCTTTCAAAAGCTTTAAGATTCATCCCCCTCAGATGGCGGTGCAACATTGAGAGGTTGACATTCCTGGTCTAGCAGTGAATCACCAGTCAAACAACAATATCTGAGAGTTATTTCCTAGACATACCTGAATACCACGGTGCTTGAGAGCACCCTCCAGCCAGACTTCCCATGCATGGATAAAGTTCTCCTGGCTAACCAGAAAGAACACCGAGCAAGGATGAGATACCCGTGGAATGGTCTCCACATGCTCACACATCACCTTGAGCACATTTTCAGCAGTGCAAGGTAAGTTGTTAGGGGATTCATCAGCCTGGGTCTAGTCACGTTAGTCCCCCCCTCTCATAATTCTGCCACTGTACTTACCTTCTCTGTGGCATCCTCTTCAGCATCAATAGCCCCTGGTGGCATCCAGCGAAGCAGGATTTCACCCAAGGTTTCACGCCAAACATTGTAGCGGTAGGTCTCAAGAACATGTGGGGACTCAACACTGAATAAGTATCCACTATCACAGATGGTGGTCATAGCCTTGGCCAATCCTGACTCCTGTGCTATTTTAGAGAACACTCCCATCAAAATACACCAATAACATACCTTAACTGCAGTCCGCCAGGTCTCCTGTCTCCATGTAGTGACAGTAATCTTCCGCATCTGTTGAAGAGCCTGAATGGCTCCCCGACGGATGCTGGTAGTTAGTTTCTGTCCATTGTGTGAGTATATTAAATATCTCGCAGAGAGTGGTAACTCACATCAGGTGTATCAAAGAAGTGCTGCAAAGCTTCAGCCCAAAGCTGGCAGACCTGGAGCTGTAGACTAGGGTCTGTACATATCATGGCCTTCCACTCGACTGGAAGCTTGGCCTCCCAAAATGTCTCCAAAACCCTCATCCCATCCACTTCTTCATCACTGTCTCCCTCTTCGTCATCTTCATCATCACTAGCACCTCCCACCAGCATGTTGGACTTTGACAGCTGATAGAGAACATCAACAAGCAGAACTAGAAAATGGCAGATGGACACTCACAGGGAAGGACATGCACTCCCTCAGTGCTTCATTGAGCCTACCTCGGGCCTCAGTATCTTTCTCCAGGGCCAGAAGGACAAAAATGTCAATGAAAGCATTCACTGAATGCTCAGTCGGCATAGAGCTGCCATTCAGGCAGAAGGAGAGCCAGTCTGTGATACGCTCAGCCTGGATGAATTATTTGAGCTTCAAAATACACGGTCTGAAGATTGCTCACTCACCAACTGCTGATGTTTGCTCAAAATCTTGGCAGCTACGGAGATCTTCCAGTCAGCATAACCTTGAGCCCGCTCTTCCTCATCCACTTCATGGATCCATCGGAATAAGCTTAACAGCGGTTCTTGTCTAATCCATGAGCGATCTGCGAGATCTAGCTCAGGATCCTCATTTGTGACAACAAAAAGAGGTTCAGAGGGCATTGGTCTACTATATTGAATGAGTTCTTTGCAACAGATGGAGTAGATCTCTCTTACAGGTGTTCAATGCCTTGAAAGTGGCGGTAGAAGTGAGAGTTCAACCAACTGCCAGTTTAGGTACGTGCTACTTCCTGGTTCTCACAGCACTGCCACCCTTCCTAGACGACGGTGAGTGGGACAGGCCTCTGAATTACCAAATTGCCAACTACTGTAATACCCCTTTGAGTGACACAGAATCCTCCTCAGATGATAACCGGCAGAATGAATCACATTATTATTCTCACTTTTCTAGCGCTGTTCACAAGCCACCTACCATCGAACACAGGTGCTCCAATGTGTGTGCGGCTGGGTGAGTGTCGCAGAACTCAACAGCTATGTGGGAAAGGGTAGGCTGACGATGGGTCTTGCACCCTGCCCCCATCCTCCCACTTTCATCATCACCTTACTTTTCCAACACTGAGCAAGAACTAGAGAAGCAACATTCAGCACGACCCACACGGAGGAGATAGCGTCCCCCAAGCACCTAGTTATGCGAGATACATTTCATCGGGAACACGTCTCGGACCTGTACATCACTTTATCAACCCGCGATGGTACAAGGCGTCAGTGGACCGAGCCTAAAGACAGTGCACCACTAGGTTACGAGCACCACCTCGCTTTCTTCTACCCCCGCAATGCCGAGGCTAATCTGCACAAAGACGGAACCGACGCAGAATTCTGCCCACCCGAGCTGTTCACGCGGAGGATGTGGGCTGGAGGGAAGATCACTTGGAACACGGAGAAGCCATTGCTCATTGGTCGGGCAGCCACGGCAACGTCCACAATAGGCTCCATCGAAAAGAAGGGATTTGAGAAGTATCGAGGCCGCGAGAGGAGCTGAGCGACGTCCTGCGTTGGGGAGGTAAGCGTGTCTTTGTGTGTACGTGTGGAGGGACTTACCTGCATTGCTCGTCGTTCCAGATAACCGTCGTTAGCAGCAACGGCGTTGATCGTGACAAGGGTGGAGCTAGAGGGAGAACGAGTTAGAGCGAACGATGAAGAGAGACGAAGTGGGGATTCAAAGAAGAAACCAGCGCTCGACACGGAGCGCGGCACAAAAGAATGCAGGGATGGGAAAACAAGGACGATCAATACATGGTACGCACCTTTGGTTGGTTGGTTGGACACGGTAACGACGTCCTCGTAGATGCAATCAATGCGTTCGAGTTGGCTCCATCAGGCCTGATAGGCATGCAGTTATTTGCGAGAATGATTATGCCAAGATGAACAATGTTAGTTCACGTTCGTTCGATTGAGGGGGACACCCAGAATGCAGTGATGGCATTCACAAGGAAGACGGGACAGGATGGCACAGCGAGCGAACACTGACGCGCGCACAGACAGCAAGACGGGGATGCCAGACGGCGGGGGGGGTGCGCGCATGCGTTTATCATCGTGAATCCACTGTCGAAGAGGCTGGCGGCGCGGCACAGACAGGCGCTTATTTGATGCTCGCGAGATGACGATGTTCGAGAGGCGTGCTGGTGGTGATATTCAAAGCTCGAGGATCGAAAACGTCGGGCACGGGGGCGTGAGTTTGGGACTGGTTGAGTCGACCTGTAATTCGGAGCAGCTCGTACGATGCTCGACGAAAGGAAAGGAGGCTGGGAGACGTACCACAAGGGGTGATAGCAAGCTGCGGCGCTAGAGTTCGTCCGTTGGCTGCACGCCATCTCATCTCCCGGCGGCGGCCATTCGAGCGTAGGCAGGAGTTGTCTACAGTCTCGCCAGGAAGCAGCGTATAGGCGCGATGGGCTGCACGAGAGCTTTGTCGTGGAGGCGTCGAACATAATCAACGGCGTACGCAACCCTCCGTCCCTCTCTTGCACTCCCCTTCTTGTCATTGAATGCACGAGATGGCACCTAATAGTCGAGCTGAACGTCAAGCTGGACGTGGGGATGCAGACGAAGGTGTGTCTGCGCGTGCGCGTGGTGAATGTGACGGGATATGGATCCACGATGGCACAGCGCGCGAACACTGACGCACACGCAGACAGCAAGACGGGGATGCCAGACGTCGGGGCGCCGTTCGCGCTAACGTTTACCATTGTGAATCAATCCACTGTCGAAGAGGCCGGCGGCACAGCACAGACACATGACAACGGGGCGTGATGGTGCAACTGAGAAATCTTGGTCGTGATGGTCGTGAGCGGCGAGATATGCATCGGCATGCCGCCACCGGGAGGCATACCTACCATCCCCATCCCACCACCCATGCCGCCATGCATACCTGAGTGCTGCTGCATCGGATTCACACCTGGCACTCCAGGATGAACGCCGACCTGGTCCATCCCTACAGCACCCATGCCCCCACCCATGCCCATGCCCATGCCACGCATGGGCGACGGGTTGTAGAACTGGCCCGCCTGAACAGGGTTGAAGGGCCCAACACCGCCGGGAGGCGGGCCAGAAGCGTACTGCTGCTGCTGTGGTTGGCGCCCGCTGGAGACATCCCCACACCGACGCCGTACGGAGGGTACGCCTGTACGCCGGGGTGTCGCTGGTGTCGCTGGTGCTGAGGGGTACCCACGACGCCACCATCATGCGGCATCCCATGAGGATGCTGGGGCGCAAATTCTCGGCCTCCCGGGTCCCCTCGCATGGGTTGAGGCGTTCCGCGTCCGACGGGTTTATGTGATTCGTGGGGTTTGGGAGCCTCGTCTTCGGTGAGTTTCTTGACAGCTTCGAGAATTGGTGTCGGGTCATAGTAAAGGTCTGAGCCGTCGTCTACGAGGAATCTATGAAGAACCCGTTGATTTAAGGATATTCTGCCCAAGGTAAGCTGTATATGAACGAACGTACTGTTGTGTACCGATATCCCACTGAGGCCCTCTTTGCGCTCGAGCTGTTATAAGCATTGAGTTCCATTCCGATGCGCTTTCCTTCGGCCATCTCATTTCAGAATACCACAAACCAGTCCAGAGAGAAGAGACATACGACAGCCTGTGCGAGAGCCACTGAATCATCGCGCGATGAGTTTCGCTACATGATCTCGAACTCCGTGCTCCCAGTCATCCCAGCAGACGGCGAGCAGCGTGCTATGCCGCCCCTTCCCGCCGCCCCTCTCAGCCGGGACGACGATCCCCTGCTTCTCCTCCTGCAGACAAAAACTCCATTGCATCGCCGCCGCCTCGACCTTCATCCCCATTCTCTCCGTTCTCTCCGCACTCCGCACTGATGCTGCGTTGCTCGTATTCGCCGTCTACTGCATGCGCCTCCAGCCCAGCCCGCCTTGCGCAGGCACCTCCAGGATATACCGCATCGCCGCCTCGATAGCGTGCGTCGACACATGCGTGCGCTGGTACTCAGGCAATACGATTACCGGCCCCAGCTCCAAAGATCTCCTCATAGTCGACAACCCAAGGTACCCAATCACGCCGGCGATGCAATCCTTTTCCTCCGCCCCCTGCTCGAGCTTGAGCTTGTCGATGATGGTGAGAAGAGGGTAGTCCGGGCTCGCTTGGAAGGGCCCCACGACATTCACCAGGAAATCATCGAGCTTGGTGAAATGGAAGGGGATGAAGTGCATCGTCTCGGGGGTTTTGGTCGCGGCGGCGTAGAAGGGGACGGCATGGACGGAGGGGATGAAAGGGACGAGCTTGATTTTGGGGGTTTGCAGAATGTCGAGGTTGAGGGGGTATGCAAAGTTGATATCGTACGGTTCGTCTGTGGGTTCTGTGCCCACCGTTGGATGGTATTATCCTTGGGTTCGCGATGGTAGAAGTAGACCTCGCCCAATGTGGTGGAAGCAACGGCGACTGTATGGAAGCCCAGTGCTTGATGGGCGGAGATAGAGTCGCATTTTCATGGACTTGAGTTCTCGGCGAAACGGGAGGTAGGCCATCGATAGACGGCATTTGACTTGACGGGTAAATTTAGGCAGGGAGGCGGACATGGAGCGAGACGACACGTAGACGGATTGAGGAAGGAGGGAAGCAAGGGAGGCGGGCGAGGGAAGCAGAGGGATGAAGGGAGATTGAGGTAGAGAGGGAGGGACGCGGGTTGGCGCAGTATATCCGTTGGGGGAGAATGCATCTCGAGTCTGGAGCAACTAGAGGCGAGTGGACGACTACCTAGCATCTTGTCACCTGTTTGACTAGGCGTCGTGCACGTCGCCTGCGATGGATCCCCTCGATGCTTCCCGTTCGCCTTTTTGTTTCGCCTTGTTTCCCATCTCGTCTTCTCTCGTCTCGAAGCCTGCACGAGATGGCACTTGATAGACGAGCTGAACGTCGAGCTGAATGGGGGATGCAGATTAATCGAGTGGAGATGAACGTGTGTCTGTGCGTGTGCGGCGTGAATGTGATCCAGCGTAGATTGAAGGTAGAACAAGCAAGGAAGCTCGTAAAACTAGAACGATAACAACGGGGACTGCGGCGGGAATGGGAACGGTAAGCGGAAGGCACGAGGGAAGACCGAGTGGTAAGGTGGGAAAAACGCGAAGACAGAGACAGTGGAATGGAATGCGAAGACGATGATGAAGATGGGAGACGGAGATAGGAGATGCAATCCAAGTGCGCAACGCGAAACGAGTAAACGGCGGAACAATGCACGCAAACGAAAATCAAAGCGCTAGAAAGAGAACGGGGCCTGGACAGCGCGTTATGTGTGATCAGGTAATGGAAGGTTCAAGATTGAAGGGAGGAGAAAGGCGTCGTCAACACGAGGGCGGGAGGGGGGACACAATCGTAAGTGAGGACGCAATCGTCAAACAAGGCCATAATGAAAACGGAGAGCGCAAGAGGAGGGGGAGGCAAACGAAAACGAAATAGAAAGCGAACGATGGCGGGGAAATATAGCAAGAATAGGCAGCAGGAAGCGAAAAGAAAGATACAAGCAGGGATGCGTACCAAAGAGCAAGGAGCGCCGCATGTGTCGTCCACGACGTTGACGAAACTAGGAAGGGAAGTAAGCTATCTCTTCGCATTCCATTCAAATAAACAGCCACTTACCAGTTTTCTTGGGCAGTTGATCATTGATTCCAGGCATTGGCTCAAGTCGTAATTCACGTTGATACGCAAACGACGATCTCGGTGATCTAGAACCGATGTGAATATGTTAGTGTTACATTTCTGTGTCCACTGTACAATGAAACAACATGAGGGAAACTTGTACCATGGGGGAGATAGCAGCCAGCGTCAAAGGTGAAGGTCATTGACAATGAGGGAGAGAAGAGCGCTACTCGGCATCAGAACTCGAAGACCCTGCCGGAATCAGAAGCGGAATCAAAATTCCTTTCAGTAAGGACTTAGGCTTGGGGTGTCCCTGGTTTGCCAGCTCATCGCTGGGCTCATTCTTCACTACGCGACGCGTCTTTGCTTTCAACAAAATCAGGTGATCGTTTGCTATATAACTAAAGCCCCAAAACTGATGACACCACTCACTCCGTGGTGAGTACCCCGGTCGCTCGGCCTCTACAGTCTGAGCTCCCGTCGTAACTGGGGGAAAACTTGGATAAATTATTCTTTCCCTTTCGTACCTTCACACCTCCACTCTCCCCATTGCCAAAGTCCCTCGCTCCCCTTGTTTCTCCCTTTGAATCCTCATACTCTCGCAACACGTTCGACAAATCTGAGATCTTACATGGACTTGAAGTCATGACCCAGCATACTTCACTCACACAATCCAAGGAACTTGAATCTAGGTTCCACCAAACTCAAGCCGGCCAACTCAAGTCTACGGTACTCTGGATGACTGTAACGAAAGCCTTGATCTTCTCATCTGCATGTTGCGTAAGTGATTGGCCCACCTATAGTGTCATTGGTCCTTGTCTCACCTTAGGCACAGATTGCAGCTTGAGCCAAGTCCCCTTCTTCCTCTCACTTCGGGATTTCCACTGGCTTCGTAACTTGTTTGCGTGATCGACAAGGAGGCTGTGCTGCTACCTTTGAATCTGCACTGGTACAGTCTTCGTCTGCCCGACACCTATTATCAGCCCCTTGATATCCTCCCTTCGGCATGACATCCAATGATAGGGAAAGTAGATTGCTTAATAGGACTCAGCGAAGAGAAGACATTGCTGCCGGAGTCATACAACCACGCCGCCAGCGTCGACCTCAGATGCTCACTATCGAAGAGAACAACACCACTGTGGGGTCTATGGTAACAGATGACATTCTTGCCACAGACTTGCCTACCATGCAGTCCTCCGTCCTCAGCTTAGTTGAATCCCCCCTGTCTTCTGGTACGTCTCAACCCTTCACGGTCAACAAGGGCTTCTGGCTCAAACACGTCCAGTTCCCCCTAGCCCAAGCCCTGAAGCCAATGATACCACTGCCAATGTTGTAGATGTGGGCGCCATCACTCCAGAGATCAATGAAGGTCTTGCGGAACTTCTTGAAACCATCATGGGTATGCCAGAAAAATGATTCCGGAATACGTTAATACTTATGCATTTGTATATAGCGCATCTTGAGTCTAACCCTTCCACTGAGGAAGCGCCACCACTTTCAATTCCTACTGAGCCTGAGCCTTGCATGGATGAAGGCCCCAGCCAGTCGTTGGTCCCTATCTCAACTCATCCCTTCGCCAATGTAACAGTCTATTTGACGGTCATGTTACCTCCGAATCGGCTCGACAACTTTTTCTGTCCCAACCTCTTGTCATCTGTCACTGACAACATCCCACTGGATCTGGTACTCCAGGCGGTGCGACATCAGCATCCCGGCATCTTTCAGGAACTTCAAGGCAATGTTCCCGACATCAATCTACACCTCGCCACGTCCCACATACCTATTCCTCTGGTTGGAGATGACACCTTGAGACTTCGACAAGGTGTTCAGCCATTAGGCCGTTTGGCTGAGGCATTCTCCTCCTCCTATCCTCTTCGCTTTGCGGCCATGGATGCACCAGAAACGTCCATGCTTTATACCACCAATTTCTGTGTCATGGACCCAGAATCAAAACTGGTGGTTCTGCATATTTACTTTCGGACGGTATATGTAAGTGCTTATATGCTATTTCAGTTATACCCTCTGAGGCGTCCACTAGATGCCTTCCCTCTCAGATCAACTTCAGCGAAACTGGCTGGCTGGGCCGTCTATCATCCCTGTGACAACGGAACCTTTTGAGGATGCAAGCCATGCAATCACTGAACGTCTCAATTCCTTGTACCCATCGGGGAAGGCTAGCCTCCTACAACTCAACGCCAAAGTCTTTGGCACAGCATACACAAAAATACGTACAGTGCGGATCATTGACACCATCATGGATCAGCTCAACATGTCTCTGTCTTCCCGACATGAAGGTCACCTGGCTGATGGCACGCCAGTCTCTGAAGAACTTCTTTATGAGTGGGCTGGTTTGCAATCCGGGACTTACCAGAACAGTCGAACGTTCGCCAAGAAAGCATATTGCTTGTGGAAGACGTTAGAAGCTCGTACCGTCACTCTTTCTCTCGCTACGGAGCAAATAAGCCATTTGGCTATTCTGAAACGTCTATTCGCATCGCAGGAGATATCTGCAAGGTGGAAGCGGGAGTCTGGGATAGACAATGTAACGAAACAAACGGCTGGCTTAAAAAAGTCTGCTGTTGAAAAGATGATAGATGCTTGGACTCGTACTGAGGCTCTGGATGAGTACGGTACAATCTCATGGGAGTAAGAGTCAGCGGTTGAAAATCTAAATATTCTGTTTTTACTTCTGTTGGCCTGTAAGTAAATCTTGAAGTACGCTTCACATGTAAATATAAGAACCGTTGTAAACAAATAGATTGTCCAAGGAACAGATAATACGTGTCGGAGAACTGGTCCTTACAGATCTGCCCACGTCACAGGCTTTATATATGTATATATATGAGAAGTCCAAGGGACATGAGAAACGTTCGGAAGGGTGGCCCTTACACCGTCCAAACCAACTGCTTTGCATCCCACTCCTATACCATCTCAAAGGTGTCTGGACCAATGAGCTGCAAATGGAGCCATGCATCAAACGCTGTTGCCTGCCTTGGGTTGGAAGGTAAGGCATCTAGAAGGATTTTGCGAAAGGAGGAGTCGACGATAACATCTGCTGAATGGAAGCAAGCATGAATGCTCATAAGAGGTGGCTAAAACGTGAAAATGTCAGTCATTCTCAGAAGAGGAAAGTAGAAGATACCGCACCATTTTGACCTCCAATGTGTCCAGAAAAGGCTTATAGGAAATGTTAAACTGGAAAGAACGGATGAGCCCATAAACGAACATGACACAAGTCTGAGGCTCACTGTCAAGCTCCAATTATCTGCTGTTGGGATCTTGTTTGAACCGGTGAGCGTGGCTAGCAAAAGATGACTGCGCAAAAGTAGATCATGTTTTTTGGCTGCAACGTCGGTCACATCAAGGAAAGGTTGTGTCCAGTCATGCTCAACATGACCAACACCCAAGAGGTAACGTCGGAGGTGTTCTATGAACCTCTTTCCAATATTGCACTGATCAGAGGTAGCTGCTGTATGGGAGTCTATGCATGTTTGGCGTCCAAGTTCAAGGTGTTCAGAGAGCGTGTCAGGTGAGATGAGACGTCGGTTATACAAATAGGCCAAAAGGCCCTTGGAGGACCAAATAAAAGTCTGGCGTTCACGTCAAAGTCAGTAGCTGGCAGGAAATATGACTATTAATCGACACTTACATCGAGGAGAACATGACACTGACCCACGGGTTAAGGATGGACTCTAGTTGGAGTCCAGTCAGAGTTCTGGACTCAGATGAGAGTCAAGTCAGAGTCAGGTCAGAGTCAGGTCAGAGTTGACATGTTTCACAGGCCAAAACCATCTGGAGTGGAATGGACTCTATATAGACTCTACCTGGAGTTTCAGAGTTGATCCAGACTCAGACTGCACTCAAGTTGGACTCCATCCAAATCCAGGTTCACTCTGGCTACCAGAGTTACTCAGAGTGGAGCTGGAGTGGAGCTGGAGTTTAACCATAGTCTAGTGAGAGCCAGGTCAGAGTTCAGCCATATAAAATGTGGCAATCTTGGCAAGCTGGGCTAAGAGTCTGGGTTGAATTTATACTGATTTTGATTCTCATATTACTTGGCAATGGAGCCTTCTAATATCAAATCAATCACAGATATTGTTATTTTTTTTTCTATGGAGTAAGTTAGAGGTTATTACACAACTGTTGACTCTCTTCTAAAGCATGTGTACATTAGTAGATTCCTATTGTTCAAATCACAAGTTCAATTGCATTTGTAATGACTCTTATCTGAGTCTATCTGAGTCTCAGTGTTCTTTGGAATGGGTACATAATATTATCAGATTATAAGATTAAGAGTTTATATAACTTACTCCCATGTGACTAATCCAATCTGAGTCTATTTAGTGTACTACTCTGAGTAGCATTTAAATTTATTAATAATTTACCAGAACTTCAAATCACCACATCATACATGACTTATTGAACTATTTGATTGTGAATTAACACACAGAGTCATTCTGTAAGGGGACACCTCTATTTTCTCCTATTCCCCTGTCCCTCTCCCTTCCTCCTCATTCCTTTCTCCCTTCCTTCATCCCACGGACTCTTACTTACATCCCTTTCATCCCCTTTCGTTCCTGTAACGACCGTGTAGAAGATGTCGAGCCGCTCAAGTGGGGGAGCTTGTATCCCTAGCGAGAGGGTCCCGTGGCCTCGGGAAAGGGGATTGCCTGTGACCCAGGCTATGGGGAGGATGACCCACTCGGGGGATGGGCAAGGTCAGTTCACGCGCGGGGTAACGTAGGAGTAAGAGTAAAGTGTTACATTGTTGGGTTTTTAATATCTAGTGATAACTACCATGATGACTACTTCTATGTAAGGTAGGTACACCGTTGTCACAGCTCCCCTTTGCTCCCTTTCCTTTCCCCATGGAGAATCCTTATCCTATTCTCTTTGGATTCTCCCTCTGCTAGGCCTGCACTGTTGGCCATCTTGAGGTTGCCCTTACACATTCAGGACAAGTGTAATCTATCTGAATTCTTGATAGAGTTTTGGGTTCAATCTAGATAGAGTCTAAACTGACTCTGGATGAGTGGAGTCCAACCGTAGTCTGAGTGGACTCTCACTCAACTCAGATAGACTCTGCTTGGAGTGTAGTCAGAGTCCCAGAGTCCAGTCAGAGTCCAGTCAGACTCATACAGACTCTACTTAGACTCTACTCAGACTCTCAGAGTTCAGTCAGAGTTGAGTCAGACTCAACCTAGACTCAGCTCAGACCCGTGGGTCAGTGTCATGTACGCACATCGAGGACAGACACGTCTCTAGAAATCTTGAGATTGAAGCCATGGCAGAAAGCGAGGTAGTCAGGATGATGGCTGATATCTTTCGAGCCAAAGAGAAGATAGCTAAGCATGCTACGCTCAATGCCATCAAGCTCAGAGTCACCCATGTTGTCTGTTAGACAGTTGGTCTGAGTGCTGATGATGAGCGCAAAACCAGACTTGAGTGGCAATGACACGTACCGGTATCTCACATGCTGCCAAAAGGCCATGGAGCTCAGTAGTCTGCCCATGCAAAGGCTGGCTCGAACGGCGATCCCACGACGTCCAAGGACGCAAAGTCTTGACAAGATCTTCATCAATTTCTTGGAGAAAGGGAAGGTCGATCGTGAAGGCCATGCGTCCGTCAATCACAAGATAAAGCAATAAGGGATGTATGGGAAATGGAGCGGCAGGAATGTTCAACATATGGATAAGACAAAGGAATCCATGGGTGGCGAACGTTGTGCGCCTTGTTTGGATACTATCGGTCGAAGGGAAAAGAAGCATTGATTGGTACAATGAGCTGTGTCCGACACCTTGCTGCCAGTACGCAACATCTGATGAAGCAATCTCAATGGCACGAGACAATACTGCACGCTCGGGACCAGAACCAATACCTTCGCCACTGATGATATAATGTCCGGTGAATGAAATGACATGAATACATGGGCAAGAAAACGTACACGCAGAAAGAACGACGATGGTTTAGAAAGGCAGACAATGACACCAGCTCACACTGCACTCCTGGACAATTTTGAGCAAGTATGTCGTCCCACTGTGAATCTAAAAGTGGAGGATGCCGGAAATGCCACGTCACAAGAAACACCAACACCTTGGCACATGCATCCACATCAGGTCCTGAAATGCGCACTTCTTGTCCACTAGGTCTTGGTGGCAAAACATCGCGCACACGCTCAATCCATCCTTCAACAAACAACCCATCAACACGGTTAAACGGGACGGGCGCAGGGAGGCGGCTCGCTATGCTGGCTAAGCTCTAGGAGTCTAGTTAGTCAACATTTGAGGTGCTTCAATGATAACGGCTTACTTGAGGATACGGGACAAGCACTGCTCCTGCAGAATTTGAGAGGGTCCCTATCCTTGGACGCCTTGCAGGTCGGCATATTGCCTCAACAAGCTGCATTAATGCAAAATGAATACATCTGATACTGGTGACGAACTTGAGATGCTAACCTCTAGAGATGGAGACCTTGAATGAACTAGTAATGGCCGTGTCGATGAGGTACCCGCATTAGGTGAGGCTGTGACAACTGACGTTGAAGAAGGAATAGTGAAGTGATCGGGGGTAGTAGTACGGTGTATGGGGAACAGCTCTGAGGGTGAAGGCGGCTATAACGTTAGATGTACATGAGCATGAGTGGTAGATTGAGTGAAAAATAGTAACCGACCACAGAGTCTGAGTCTGAGTGATAAAGATCAACATTGAGACTCGATGTAGAGGCAATAGCATTTTCAAGGGGGATCTCTCCTCTAGGGCAACCTTGAAGGCAAACAGGCTCGTGGTCGTCATCCCGGAAAGGGGGCAAAAACGCCATGACCGTTTTGTAAAAACAACGATGCAGAACTGGGTCATGGGCACCCGGTAGAGGACCCCAAAGGTGGTCGAAGTTGGGTCCTGTAAAGAAGGTAAAGCTGGGAAACAATACATGATAACCAGCACTTACCTATGAAAGCAAACACCCGTGGCGAAGTGTGGTTTGCAACATTTTTGCCGAAAGGAGCACGGCGTAAAGTGTCTGCGGTGAAAGTGTCTGCTGTTAGAATCTTTGCACCGAAGTTGCGTGTATGATTGGCTGCTCGGCGTAGAGGTACATAAAAGGTCCAGTTGAAGTTGGCGACTGAAGCGGAAGATGAGTTGGGGTTGGCGCTAGACCTAGGTTTCAACGCAAATTGGTTCGTGACACAGAAATCTTCAATTTGTTTGTTGACTGCTGCATGGACAAGTCCATTTGGCGGTACCTCTACCGTCAGAACTAGGTTATGCTCCCTAAGTTTCTCCTGCAGTGTAGCAATTTGATGGTCGTTAAGATTCAGTGTGGGAGGTGGCTCTAGTTTCGTTTCGTCAGACCACATGGGCGCTTGTGGGAGCTGTGGTGCACAACCAGGTCAGGTAATGCAGCTTCTAAAGGCAAAGATGAAAAACTTACTGCGACAGGCAATAGACCAAGATCAATGGAGAATTTTGCAGGATCGTTAGGCTGGGAGGAGGGCTGGGACGTCACTGCAGGTGCACTGCCTGAAGCTGGACCAGTTGGATAGCCGTGTCTGGGGCGTCGACGAGTGTCGACCGCTTGCCGAGAGGATTAGTGATTAATCCTGTTATGTGAGAGCAGGCTCTGTACTCACCGTGCCGTTGGTATGCATTGACCCTTCGATCATTGGTACTTCCTGCACCAGCCGCCCGGATACCGCTATAGGCAGCAATAGGGGCCGGCATTGGCGTGTTCCGTGGTGCAACTGGATGTGCTGCTTCCACAGGGCTGGTAAGGGATGTGACAGTGGGCAGGTGAGGAGGTAATGGGGGAGGCCCTAACACGCCTGTAGCTTGAGTACTAACGCAGAAAGGTGTCAAAGAAGGGATTGTATATAGAACTTAGCCTACGTAGGACGTGGTGGAGTATCTGCATGCTCGTGCTGTTGCCACTGCTGACCACAAAGACAACTGGCCCCCATGCTCCATGGCCCAATCTTGAGTGACTTTGGTGGTCAGATCATGGGTATAAACAACAGAGAAGGTGCGCACCGGATGGAATCCACCACAGGTGGTGTCTGGAACTCCTCCACGAAAGAGTGGTGCATTTGGGTCATCTGGCGATGGACGACGCGCGGCATGCTCAATGTAAAGACATCCACATATACAAGTAGAAGATACTGATAATGCGTCCTAATCAAGGTATTAGTGTGGTCAAGCATTAACGCCAGGAGAATGACTTGCATATACAGGAAATCCATTAGGTCCCCGCATGCAGTAGGCGAGACATGCTCTGCAACGGACGCAGGCTTCACGTCGAGGCAAGGCAGAGGTCATGATGGTGGGGGCACATAGTAATAATGTGACAACAGCCTTTTAAGTTTTCCTATAGGGAAATGATGAATCACCGTGAATCTACGTTTCAAATAACAAATACATGTGCTCAATGTTCATGACAGATGCTTAAACATATTGGGGATCTTTGCTAAAACATATGTGATCATGAGGATTAACGTTGTTTCACAATGACGCTAAAGTTTGTGTATATTCCATGGCAGAGATCTACTATGCTCAAGCAAAATGACAATAATGATGGTTCACGGTGGATTATGGTGATTCCCAATTAACTTGGATGAGATGCCGTGATTGTGAGTGATCGACAGTGATATTGTGGGAACAACATACGTTTTGATTTTTGTCCAATAAGGGCCCGGTCTGCTCGTCGAGATGTTAGTCCCTACCTGCCAAATTTGGCTCCCACGGTTGGACCAAACCTGGCCCAAACCTACTCCAAACCGACAGTTTGGTCTGCTGTACCAGGGGGTTTGCGGGTGGGTTAGGACCTTCCTGTCACATTATTATGTCAGCGTTAATATACCTGGTGGCACCTTGTATCAACTGCATTATCTATTCCCTCCAATAAACAGTACTACAGCTTGTGGTGTTTATTTATTAATGAATGTTAGTGGTGAGATAGCAGGACGAAGAAGTGAAAAAAGGACAATCCGTGGCTCGAACCCGCAACCTTTCCGTGCTAAAAAGTAGTACTCAAGCGCGCAAACCGCTAAACCAACGTACCACATGTTAAACTCTTTTGGACTAGTATATCACCTACTGAGCCGGGATACTTCAGGTCGCCGACAAGAAATACAAGAAATACCGAAAGCAGAAGTTTGCATGTATTTACTTTGTATCTATTGCCGCTTTCCCACCATGATGTCTGTGACTTATTTGTGACGATTCCCAAGCGCCCTGAGCAGACTCCAGCGCTAGGTTTTGTCAAGTTCAATCTCCGCCAACCCCAGGCCCGAGGGACTGACATCTCGACGAGCAGACCGGGCCCTAAGGACCTTCATAGTTTCGCTGATGCGCCCAACTTTCCCCGCCGATCGTGATGTATTGTAGGGAGCACAGTCAAAGAGCCAAGATGGAAACGAGTGTATGTGATTGACGCGGGACGAGTCAATGGGATCCTCGAGTTCAATCAATCTCCATGGTGGCGACACAACGTAGGATTGGGTTGGAGGCGACTCCATATATCGGGTCCCTGGCAATGAGGCTGAGGGCGCGCATATACGAGCCGTTGCGGTCATAAAATGAGATGCAGAGCGTCCGTCGTCTCAGTGCTGTGGTCAAGCTCTCCAGCAGAGTAATACCAAGCGTACATTCCTCCAGCCGCTCACAAGCTCAACTTAGTCAACAGTGTTCAGCAACAGTAGCCAACGTAGAATATTTGCATCGTTACTTACCTATATACTCTACAGAGCGTGGCCGTGTACAAGGAGAAACCAAGACCATCAGCAATTTCGTCCACCTCTATTCAGGATAGCCTCCACTTTGTCTCCGTTGCTACCAGTGCATTCAAACGGGCACTCCCCGGGTTAACCCCACAAATCCAGGAATCAGTGCCGTTTTCCTATTCGAAGGCAGATGCGAGGTCGACCGCCAGCTCCGCTAGCCCTTATTATTTGCAAAGAATGTCGCTATCGTGGCGAGTAAGCCGGCAGCAGGGAAATCATTAGGCCACGCATGAAGGACCTTGCAAGGACAGGTGAGGGTTGGGGGATTCGGGAAGACAGGAGTCGGTTTGTTTGGCCGCAAGACCACATCCAAACAAGGGCGGGACGGCTCGTGCGCGGCGCATCCGACTCTTCTGCAACCACGACAAACTCGTCCTCTTCACTGTCAGAGAAATCCACCAACCATACAAGTCTTGAAGGATGTCCCTATTCTCGGGTCTCCTGTGCTGTTGTACGCGTTCGCGTCGCGATTCTTTTGTAAGCTAGCCTCAAAACTTCGTGCCTACTGTTCGTTAATGCTCTCTTTGTCGACAGGATTCCGTGAACGAACGGACTTCCCTGATACACAATGAACATCTCAGGTATGCGATTAACTTCTACTTAGTATGATGGAAGGTATCTAACGTTAGATAATGCAGCGAAAATCTCGACGATGTCCAGCCAGATCAGGACATCGTCGACCAGCAACGCCTGAGAGATAGATGGGCGGCAGTGGTTCGCGAGAAAGAAGGGTACGTTCTACTTACACTGTATACACGCGCCTTGCCTTCATGCAACTATTTCGCAGGAGACTCATCAACATATCCAACCCCCTTCCGTTCAACTTCTACAATCGCACTCATATACCCGCAGCGTATGGCCCAAGCTCGTCCAGGAGCACCAGCACATCACTGGAAAGATACCACTATCCTTCCAGACGCACGGAGCCTGGGCTATCCACCGACCCAATCCTCACACCGTCACCCGTCGACTACCTCGCTGCCGCGTTCTCGGAGGACATAGTGCCCACCATTGTCGGCCCATACGGAGTAGACATCCATGGCGTCAACGGCGACGGCGACGATGGAGAGGGTAATGCAGAAGGCCGCGTCCTGCAAGCGCATATCCGCAATCCCATCCTCGGGATCCGACTCGTCCAGCCTTCAGCCTCCGGGGCTGGCGTTGATCTGAAAGGGAAACACGCGGAGGCCATGAGGGGCAGGGATCGCGTCGCCTGGGGACCTGCAGACGGTGTTGATGTTGATGGCGGTCTCCCGGCCTTGGACGCGGATTCGGAGATGACACCCACGCCGTCCAGGCTGGCCGTGAAAACACAGGTACGCGGCCTCCCTTCACCGACATCCATCATTCTATCCCTTTCAAGTCACTCTTGTTCACTCTTATACTGATAACATACTCCCTCAGATGCCCCCGCGTGCCTCCCCTAATGATGCGGACTTCGACGTCGGCGAGATCTGCGTCAGCTGGAGCGACTGAGCGCGTCATCGGGTTCCTTCCCTTGGATCACCTAGACCGGGGAATCAGCTCGCGTATCGATCGAGTTCAGAGGATCGGATTGGCGACGGATTGTTGGCGTTCGTGTTGGGTAGATGAGGTAGATGAGGGGTGGGATGGGGAGGTGGGGAGGGCTCAGAGGGGGTACGAAGGAGCTCTCTACTTCAATTCTCTCCGCTGGCGTTGCCAGAGGTGAGCGCCCGGTGTTCCTTCAGCGATGCAGATGCCGACCCGCAAGCCTCAGAAAGTCTCCTACACGCCCGTATACCTGTGATGGGCTCCGGCTCTGGTCCCTTCGAGCTTCATTTCATCTCGATCTCTGGGGCGCCGCAAGTTGTCTATCAGGCCACTTTAATACTGGCGATGACGGAGAAGAACGTGTGCAGCTTTGAGCCTGCAGTGCAAGAAAGCACGGAGTCTACTGTCTCGGGGAACTTCTTTTCAATCTCTGATTGTTCGGCATATGGGCATTCTCATCTTATTTCTTTGGTTATTTGCGTCACATGTAGACGCAGTTAGATGACTCTTGCACTTGAATGCTTGTAATCAAAACACGGCCGTCTAGTTTCTCCTGCATACCCTGATGGATACCTTTTTCGCCGTGGCCTATTTCCTTAGTTCTTGGCGTACTTACAACTCACAACGGGCACTGATCGTTACATCCCTTCAGCACATGGTGCAGCGCAGACGAATACAATAATTACACTTCCACTCATAAATTACAATTATAATTACTATTACAATATGGTCTATCTGCATCTGAGCTTCCCAACCGCCAACGGATTACACTTCCTCGTACAGTAGAGCCTCGGTAGAGGGGTCCTTGGTGTATGGAAGGACCTTGTTGTACGGAAGGTCCCAGGCCGACGCCGTCCACACGCCGGGGTGCCCGTCGACGACGGCCTTCGTCGTGAGCGCCGAGAGCGCCAGCGTGTATATCAGGACTAGGCAAAGACGTCAGTTCAGTTAGGTCTCAGGCTTAGAAAGGAGGATGGGATGGGATGAGGGGGATGACGCAGTGGACGCCGGGCATAGGATAGGGTATTCCGAAGAACAAGAATATGGGGAGAAAGGGTGGTGGTGGAGGGGGCACGTACGGGCGGCACTTATTATGTAGCAGTACAGCTCGACAAACGGTAATTGCCCGCACACACTCCGCTCGTGGCCTGCACGAATAAGTTGAGCACAGCGCTTCTCGACGAGGAGATTGCAGCGGCGTACCGGCGAGTGCATCACACCCGTCGGGGGCGAGCGTTTCTCTGATGGTGTGTGTGAGTGCGCCGGTGGAGAGCCAGAGGACGCAGAGGATGGCTAACGAAGAACGATCAGAGATCCTGCACAGTGAACAGGAAGTGGGCTAACAAAGCCAGACAGTCTGGAACATGACGGTTGTTATGAAAGACGACGATGGTGAATACGACCTAAGTATCGGGGAATGCATCAACGAAAAAAAATGGATGGTATGGTCGGTCGGTATACCTACATAGGTCCCACCGATAAGACGGTGAAGAGGGCGGTGGCAAATCCCATGCTGGCTGGGACGACCGCGCCGGGTCCGAGGGCGGCCATGACGGCGATGCCGTACAGCTCTGCGACAATAATGACGCACGAAAGGCCGACGACAATACCTGGATATGGATATGGATAATCACAAGACGTGAAGGTAAAGGAGAATGTCTATATCAGTATTTCGCTGAATCGCTGCGGGTGGGCCCGTATACGTACTGAAGACCCACGATTGGAGGCGGGTGAAATGGCGTTTGCAGTCCATCGTGTATGTGAGTCGAAGGGGAATGTCCGGGTGTAGCGGTGGAAGCAGTAGAGCAGTAGGTGGTGGATAGATACGTCGGTGCTCGCAACGACAGGAGAAATAAGGTATTAGGCCGGCCAGAAGAAAAGAAGGGGGAATGGTATAGGCAACGCCGTTGCGTGCATTCGTTATGTAAAGGGACATTTATATATGTCGTCAATGAGCGCTGAGCATTCAATATTCAATATTCAATATTCAACGTCTACTTTCAGCACGAGCAGTACATTGATCCACCATGACTCGATGAATTGGTGTTTCGTTGATGCGCCCGACATTCAGTCACAGCTCTCGAGAGAATGAATGGCCCAGGACAAGACGATAAGTATACGGTCTGATTACCGCGCGATGATTTGATGCGGGATGGCAAGATCTTGGCGTAAACTGCGCAACGATGATTCCCATGGCAAAGGTGCCACTGGAGCACAGGAACGGGCGGGATGCGGCTGTAGGCTGTATGCTGTGGCGCCGAGTCCTATGTAAGATTTAACTGGAGAGCGCGGCATAGTTTACTCAGGGATTACTTAGTCGACGATGTAGACAGGCCTTGACGCGGAACCGAAATTTCATTGTCCGTTGTCAGGAGCTACTCAGGGGACATTTTTCTGGGCCCCAAGTCGCGCCTACCATCGATAGCTACAGTTCCGATATATTACGGTCGGAAATGATGTTTAAAGTCTGTTAATTCGTCACGGCATTCACCTCAAGCGCTCCCTTCCTACTCATTCCTCGGGTCACCACTGAACCTGTGGCTAAGATATGCATCCTTGGAGTAGGGGAGCGCCAAGGTCGATTCCATCCACACATTCGGATGCCCCGCATGCTCAGCATGCAATGTGAGTACCAGCAAAATGGCACTGTACACCGCGACTGCGAAAGATGTTCAGCTCAGAGTTTCGAGGGGATCTGGAAGGAGGAGGCATACGGATGATGCAGTTGACGTAGGAGCACAGCTTAATCCACGGCAATTTAGCGCATATCACGTATAAGTCGTCTGCATCGATCGATGTGTTGGAAGCAGGCCTTCAGAATCCGTTAAGGAAGGGGGCGTACCAGAGTAACATCTCTCTGGGCCCAGTGTCTCCGCCGTAAGGGCTGTGAGTGCGGCAGTAGCGAACCAAAGCACGCAGAGAATCGCTGATAAAGAGTGATAGCATTTAGAGAGTGCCAAAAACGAGCTGTTGAGTGGTACACACGCAGACAGATGGTTTGGAAAACCACGGTCTTCGCGAAAGACCGAAAATGCGAAAATGCGCTTTAGTATACGCAGCATCAGCAGATCGCGCGGATACATATCACCCTACGTAGTAAGCGATGCACGTACATATGAGACACACACACGATGCTAAACAGAGCGGTGGAAAAGCCCGTGATGCAGGAGGGGACCGCTCCCCCGATCCCGGCGTGGGCCACGACGTTGGTAGCGTGCACTTCTGCGAGCAGGACCTCGATGGAAAGCTCGATGACAGCACCTACGTAGAAAAACCGCAAAGTTACACGGGATACTCGACGCGAGGTTCTAGTGGAGTGCACCTAGGAGACCTCCGTGGAGCACTGCGGTCATATCCTTCATGGTCGCTGATACATCGCTAAAGGTGATATTAAAGAAAGAATGCATAATGGGGCGTTGCTCGCAACGACGGAGGAAACAGAAATTGGGCCTGCCGAAGAAATGAAGTGAAGGATAAGACGCGATTGTTTAACAATATCTGGTAAATTGTTCTTTATAGCTTGTAGGCTACATATTTCTGGGCACTTTGATGCCCAGGTGATGCGCTCGACTTTTAAGCAGGATACCAGGGGATTAAAGTGAAACAACACGCCTTCTTTGATGGATGACCACGGTCGAAAGGGGTTCGTGAAGATTGGCGCGCGATGATATAGTTCTGGGGGAAAGGTCGTCCTGCAATTCAATGAGTAATGATTAACGAAAGTCTCCCGAGCCACAAATTGCGACTCGAGTACAGGACAGGGCAGGTGGTGGCAGTATCAATCAACATAAATAATCTTTGAACGAACGATCCATCTGCTGCCCATGCTGTTCGGACTAAGGAGCAAGGAGTCAAAGTGATGGTATTGGACAGAGGTGAAAAGTGTACAATGCAAGAGAAATACGGGGCATATGGAAAGCTCAGCCTTGAGATGGCGCATATATCGCTATGGTGCTACGACTGCACGCCGAGGTCGACGGCGGCCGTCATCTCAGTGGAAAACGGGGGCACCAGGCGTCCAGCTGAGCTGCCTGCAGCAGTACCAGGTGTCCGTCTCGCTGGTCGTCCCATCTCCACCAACCTGAACGTCAACGCGGGATGCTCAGCGAAGTATTCGGTAGAGCAATGATACTGACTTACTCCAATGCTTTGGTCAATCGAAGCGTAGAGACTGAAGCCGAAGCTCTCCAGGAGCTCGAGCATACGGAGCAGGAGTATGCGAGTAGCTACGGTGTCCCCGCCCATCGCATACCAAGGCCAGCCCTTGCATTTGAATTCACTGCGTGAACGATCGGTCAATAAATCGCAATGGAGTGTCAGTCACCGAGAACGCACTATGCGCCATGCTCGATGAGTCCTGTAGACGGCGTGAGAATGACTGATAAAGCGCGAAGGAGACCAGGACTGACCTTCTTTTTGTAGCAGCGACCCCATAACGCGCCCTGCAGAGGGCCGGAAGAGTTGGAAGGAGAGGCATCGAGGACGGGGTGTTCAGCACTCACCAAAGGGAGCAATTATCTCTTGGGGGGCACCGATCAGCCTCAGTCTATCTCCCCGGTTGAATGAGATGGACATCCAGGAGCACGGAGGCGGTGCCGGCTGCTGGTACCGGAACAAGCACGAGTCTTTGTCCATCTGTCGCACATCCTCGAGGCCGTCAGCGTGCTATGCATATCGCGCATACGGCGAGAAATAGCGTACACCATTCTTGCTGATATCGGTGCTCGCGAATAGGACCCAGCCGGCGTTGTATAGGTCAGCGAGAATTTGACACTGGGAGTGGCGTCAGTGTGGCGTCGTGGTGTAATGATGCGGGCGTGTCCTGGGCAGGGCCCTAGGGCGGCTGACTTGCGCGCACGACGTACCATGAAGATGCGGGAAGGAACGGCTTCGCTGCCTTGGCCCGACCACGGATTCCCTTTGAGCTTGAATTCATGCGCGCCGTGGTAGTCTCGCTCCTCCTGTGCTCGACGATCAGCACGCGACGATTTACGTTTACGTGGGAGGCAAAGCTCACTTTGATGCCACGAGGCCAGCTCTGCGTTATGGCTGTGTCGATAATCAGCCATCGATCCGGTCAAAGCTGTAGAGCCTGAGTGTGCAGAAGGACTCGCCGTTTCGCACTATGCGCGCGGGTTCTGGTGGGAATTGGATCAGGCGGAGAAGGTCACTGGGGAGAATCGAGATGTGTATGTTGCCCCGTCAATATTGATGTCGTGGTGAGTCTAGAGGGGTGGATGGACGGCTCACGTCGAGTTCATGGACATGCAGGCGAAGGTGGTGCGGAATGCGGGGCCTGGCTGGGTCGGGGTTGCTTGGGTGTACGGGGGCGCCTCGGTGGCCTCCTCAGGCTTTTCCTTGCGATCGAAGATCATCTTGTGAGAGTATGCGACGAAGTAGATGCAGATGCGTGATCGCGCGAGTGTGCGGACAGTACAGCGAGAGGTCGCTCATATATAAGCTCCTCTCCACCCATCCGCAGTAACCAGGCGATGCACCACCTGATTCTTCTCAGTGCAATGGATATTCGGGTTTGCAGTTGGATCTATGTTCGCACCGAGGAGCACGGAACCTGAGTAACTCCCCAGCTGGCGAGGCTTCGTTCGAAGGCCAGATGGCAATGTCTTCCCCAAATCGCGTCAAGGACAAGCTTGTCAGGAGAATCGAGGTGTGATCAATATCCGAAAAGGCCAGGAAAAGTCTTGAACATTTGTCGGGAACGAGCGGAGATGAGGCGTTGGAGAGGCGGTGGCTCCTGCGCTCCATCGCAACTGCTGCGATCGGACTGCGTGCATGGACAAAAGCGGCAGTAGGAACCCCGCCCCCATTGATCTCGATCTCCCGACGATCGTCTTGGTCACGCGTGCGGCAGGTGAAATCAAATTCCCCAAACGGCATAGCGCCAGAATCTGGCCTTCCCTCGATCTCGCTTATCATACGACCTGCCAAACAGCGGCAAACACAGACTGAACTCTTGCACCACGACCACGACCAGACCAGACGAGATACCACGACATCGACGATCACGAGCACGACGGCCACGACAGCGACGACGACCGCAGAAACGACTGTCGCTGGTGCATCCGGACCATGGCGACATCTACGCATGGCATTGATTACCACGCCTCTTTCCTTGATTCTCTACCCACCCTCAACGCTGCTTCATCATCACCATCTTCATCGACCGCGGAGCAGGTGCCAGAGCAGCCCAGTATACCGACCCGAAAGAAAATTCGGGCCCTCACCGCATCGCAATTCGCGTCTCTTCATCTCAAGCACATACTCGCGCACCCACCCGATACGGTGCTTTTCCCGTTTTTGCATGGTTTGGAGGGGGACAATGAGGCGCAGAACCTGTTCTTCGGTGTCGATGGTGCGTTTCTAGCCAACTCTCTCACTTCCCTTTCTCGTTTCTTTCCTGACTGCCAACGTTGACATTGATTGTATGCTATGCAGAGACGTCGGAAACACCAGTACCGCGCTATAGAGGGCTCGTATGGGTGGTTTGCGAAGAAGATCTGACCCCGGATCAAAGACGCAAGCTGTTCAAACGAAGAAACTTAGATCCCCAATCCCCCGCCGCATCGGAGCCTGCATCTTCTTCGAAGCAGGCAAAGAAGAGGCGAGAGGGAGGTGACGTGATCATGGGGACAGAAGACTCGTCCGAGAGCGAAGACTTGGATGACGACGACTTCATTGGATCAGACGACCTCGACTACGAAGACGACGAAGACGACGAGTCCCTGTACTCCGACGACCTCGACGAAGGGTTCGCTGACGAGGACGTTGTTCCCTACGAGGAAGCGGGTGCATACTTGCGTGGGGACGGGAAAGAGGTCGTGCGGGAAGTGCAGATTGACGACAAGCTCGTTTCTGAGGCCGACCCTGACGAAGACTCGGACGCTTCGTCCCCGTCAAGCGAGGGTATGCAAGTCACTCCTCTGATGCCCTGCGCTCCTCCGCTACCTCCCGTGTCGAATTCCACCATCCAATCACCTGTTCTGGGCGCCCTTTCGGGGAACGGCGACGATGGTATGGACATTGATGTAGAAATGGACATCGACTCAGGGGTGGTCGCTGTTGGTGTTGGACTTCAGGGCATGAAGAAGCCCACGGAGGCGAACAGGGAAGAGGGAACACACATGCACCCTGTTGCGCAACGGCAAGGCCGACACACTCAGTCACTCTTCGAAGACGCGATACCGACACCTTTGAGCATTCCTGTAACATCTCCGCCATCTTCTCAGTCTTCGCAACAGTCCTTGGCCTCACACGCCATCTCTTCCACGCCACCTCCATCACATCACGCGCTCACTTCCCAACCCTCCCAGTCATCGTTGCCTACCTCAGTATCTATCCCTCAGACGCCATCACGTTCTCGTCCAAAGCGCTCAAGGACACCACCGCTATTGACATCAAGCTTCAGACCCAGTGAGCTGCTGAAAAGGGTCGCAGACAGCTGGGAGAGCGTGACGAATGGCAGTAGGGGCGCTGATAAGTGGGATTTTATTCCCCTCAAGGTGCCAGACGGGATCTCGCTGCGAAACTTTGGCATCCAAGTGGTGAGTTGTTCAAGTGTCAGAATGTCCCGACTTCTGCCCATCCCTTTGCAACTCCGCGGTCATGATGTCCGTCGGACATGTTGGCGATCGTGCATTGACGTGCGCAGCGTCGCACGAGACTCCTCAGACTTCACACATTCTTCGATGGTTTGAAGAATCCACTTACTGAGTTGCGCACAGCCCGTATACGCTACGCTATCCGACATCGTCGTCTACTCACCAAAGGGAGCATCGCCGGCTGCGCTCGCCCTTGCAAAACGATTCTCCGAGGCCATAGAGAGGAAGAGGACTTGGAGGCGTGAACGTGCCGAAGAAGTGCGCAGGAAGTCGGGCGAGATTCCGAGGGACGGAGAAGATGACGAGGGCCGGTTTCTGGAGTATAATGTCTTTGTTTTAGATGCGGACGCGGACGCCTTGAGGAAGGAATTACCGCACTTAGTCGTGAGGGTGTGCGCTCCTGGGGGCATCTTGAGTCCAGAGAAAGGTGAGTACGATGTCGTCTTGCCATTTGATGTCCTTTGAGCGTCTTTCATACCACAGCAAAGACGCACGATGACTCCGCGTCGAGAAGCAGCGGTACGACCAGCGTGTTGGATGATAGACATCATGACGCTGGCGCACACACCATTGGCAGCGACGGGAGGGTTGATGCCATGGATGTCTTCGACTGCGAAGTGGAAGACGCCGCATCCAAGCCCAGCGCCCACACTCTCGACCCCGACACGAACGGAACAGGGGTCTTGATCGACGGACTCTTGTCCAACACGGTCGATTTTGCGTTGCGGGAGAAGGAGGAGATGCGCGATTTGACTCGAGCCTCAGAGATTATAACGGTCTACCCATCTTCCGATGCCCCTGGCATCAGTGTTCACACATCGAGGAAACCGCTGACCGTGCATCATGCCGGCGGTACCGGAGCTATCAAGGATGACGGACCTATACCTTGGTCGCCGGAGTTGGGGCAGGTTTTCTTAGGCAACGCCGACGATGTGCCGTTGATGCGCAACCCTGATGGCCCGATGATGCATTTCCACAGTGGAGGTCCGGGGAGGAAGGGGTTGGCTGGCGATGGGCTGGATCTGTTCGGTGGTAGTTCGCCAGAATCGGACGTCGACATGCATGGCGAGACTTCACCGTATGGCGTCGGCGCAGATGATCCTGAGGCGGAGGGAGTAGAAGAAGACCTACCTGAAGACGATCCTTTTAACTACCTCCCCACCAACGATCCCGGTAGAAGCATGGGTTACGATATCTGCTTCGAGTGCCACGATCGCGCGCCTTACCCTAGTCCCGCACATTTGCGAGCAGCGGAGGAGCATTTGGGGATGCTGGAGGTTATGTGGGCTAGGCGGTGTATGGAGAAGGAAAATACGCGCATCCAGCGGTCGAGATCCCACCCCAATTGGAAGTCAAGACGGAGTGAGGCGGGAAAGGCGATCCCACCACGTCCGCCGCCCAACGCAAACGCTGTTATACATTTACCTTTCCCTAGCTCCCCGCCATTCAACAGCTCTCGGATGTCCTCGCTGATGTCGGTGTTAGACTTCATAGAGAAATGGCTGCAGCCCCCTACTACACCCGTGGTTTTAGCCGCACCTACCCATACGGCCGATAGTGCGAGCGCTGATGGCTTAGATTCAGCAGGGGCCAAGAGTCATGGAAGGCGATGGTCGACTGTCTCTTCTATATTCCCGAGCTTCGGGCCTGCTGGGTCCTCATTCTTCCCTTCAGCGTCTCCGTCTACCTCGGAACCTACCACCCAAGCAGCCGCGACCCCGGTCCCAGCGGCCAGAAATAGATCCTTCACCTCTCCCCCAACTCCCCATATCCCGAGCGACCATAGACACGAGCAGCACGGAACGAGTTCCAACGCACAGTACACACGCACCTCAGGACAAGCATGCTCCCCGTCACCGTCGACCGCTATTTCCGCGCATACCCTTTCCTTCTCCACCCCGCCCAATTCTCCGCTTACGCGACCTTTGAAAATCCTCATCTACTCCAATGACGGATATACGGAGTCGTCGGGCGCCGCTCTTTCCCTCTTGATGAAGCTCAAAGGGCTCAAGCTGCCTGAAGCGTACCTAGATCTGCAGGTTACGAAAAGGCGGAGCTTCTTCGTCTACGGCGACGATCTCGGCATACTGCGGAAGGTTGAACAGAGGATTACGGAGGAACACGAGAGGGAGAGGCGGCGGAGGGACGAGGAGCGAGAGCGGGAAAGACAGCAGGAAAGGCAGAGAGAAGAAAGAGAAAAGAGGGATAAGGGCCCGGCCCATGTGAAACAGGCTGACGACAAGCATGCTGCGCCGAATGGTAACGCCGTGGTGGGAAGAGCAGATGTGAAAGAGGCGCCAGTAGGAAACGATAGTCGACGGATGATGGGGGCTGCGGCTGCTGGAAGACGCCCTGCTGCTAAGTCCGTCTCCTTCGCTCAGGCCCCAGTCCTATTACCTCCGCCGCACAGCTTGGTCGTTCCTCCAACACTGTCCTCCATCTCTGCGTCGGGGACCACGACGTCGACATCGTCTTCAACACCGACGTCTCATAATGAGGATGCTGACCATTCGGTGCCTTCCTCGGTTACGTCGACGATGATAACGCCTATCAATATAGCCACGCCAGGACCTTCCACGGCGTCGATTGCCGGTCCGACTGCTACCTCCGCCCCTACCTCAACAGTCCCTTCCAGTGGTCAACATACACCCGGGAACGGACACGGACACGTCACCTTCGGTCACAGTCAAGTTATCAAAGGTCGCCCTCGAGCAAATACGAGCCCGTGGCTACCTAGCTTGTTTGGGGATCACCAAAGCTGGTTCAACGACCCACGGTTCGATGGTAGCTTCCCGAGTCGCGTGTTACCGTTCTTATACTTAGGGAACTTGTGAGTAATTTTCCCCATTTCGACGACGGCATCCATTCCCGTGCCCGCATGTGAAGGTGAAGATAGGATTCAACGCTGATTCTTGATTTCCAGGAATCATGCCTCAAATGCATACATGTTACATGCGCTGGGCATAACCCACGTCGTCTCTGTCGGAGAATGCGCTCTGATACCACCTCCGCATCTCAACAACTACCAGAACAATGCCCATTGTACTCAGACATCGCTCCCCAACTCCAGCCATTTTGTCCCAGGAAAAGGACATGGCGGACAGGGATCATTATGGACGGAAGAGAGGGAAGGGAGGATCAAGGTCCTGGATATCAAGGGTATCTGCGACGACGGCATCGATACGCTTGAACCGCAGCTGGAACCCATCTGTGAGTGGATAGATAGAGCAAGAGCAGAAGGGGGCCGGGTTCTCGTCCATTGTAGAGTCGGTGTTTCGAGAAGCGCGACGGTGGTCGTAAGTCCTTGCATCCTCCTTCCCGAAAACCCCCCCTTCTAACCTCGACCCATTAGATCGCTTATGTGATGAAGCACCTCCATCTCCCCTTGGTAGACGCGTACCTCATCGTACGGTCGAGGAGGTTGAGCGTTCTCATTCAGCCGAACATGCGACTCCTCTATAACCTTTGCGGATGGGAGATCAAACTCGCGAAGGAGAGGGCCGGCGAAGATGAGAAGAAGCTCATTGCAGAGCTATCGAGAGCAGTCAGCTGGCCGTGGCTAGCGAAGGAAGTCCACAAGTTGAACGAGAAATATATCACCGCTTGATACCCATTATCATTTTCTATCAACGTCAACGTATCCCCACACCCTCATGCTCCTTGTATTATAGTGTACATCCATCATCGTCACCATTACACATTTTATGTTTGTATGTCTGTGGCCTTTCGTACGTACACGCAGCCACTGTATTACTTGCTTGTAACTTATTTATGAATTCACTTCGCGATGCCACTGGGAATCCTTCGCTGCTATCGGGCTAGTCCACTGCAAGGTGCGTCCTCCACTTCTTCATCGCAGAATTCTACACTGCCCTCAGATGCACTGTCCTAATAATCCTTCCGCCCGCTGAACGTAGCAAGTGTTTCATGCTCCGTTAAGACAGCCAGCACGCCCACCCCTCCAACTGTGAATATCGGAATCACCCGGTGAACCCAGCTCTGGTACCACATGCGCAAGCCACACCGTTCTTCGGGATGGAAGGCGCAGCACCTCGCATGCCACTCGAACATCACGGACAGTTGCCAACACCGCAAGTCTTTCGTCGCCAACACCGCGCTCAGCGTGCACCCGTTGACAGATGGGAGGAACACACGCGGCGCCACAACAATCGCCACATTCTCATTGAGTGACGCAAGGGCCGTAAGTGCATCGGCGGCTATGGTGTACCCCGCGTCCTCGATTTCTGCGAAGATGTGCTGGATGATTTCGAACGGGAGCTTGTCGAAGTACGTGGGCGGGTGGGTGGTTTCCGCTGCGCGAGGTGTATCGACGGGGTGGAAAATGCCGTCTTGGAGGCGGAAGGATAGTTTCATCAGCGCGTCGATTCCTTGGGGGTACGGGGTGGTCTCCTGGGACCGATGGTTGGCTGCACGCCGCGGGGGGAGGAAGGCGAGCGCAGGCGTGTGCTGTAACGTACCATCGTTCGCCATGTCGACGCGGACGATAACGACATGGAAGAGCGAGCAGAGCACGCCGTACACTATACCCTGTTTACCCATCTCACGTATATGCCGTACCAGATCGCCCACAGCGCCTTGGAGGACCGGCTCCTGGTCTAGGGAGCGCGCCGCTTTTGCGCACAAGTTGTAGTATATCCAGAGATATTCGGCCCGTCTCTTCTCATACTGCGCGTCGATGTCGATGCCCTTGTCGAGTGCCTGTCGTAGTGCATGGGAAGAAACGCTGTTAGGAGGAACTTGAGCGCGGCCTCTTCGACGAACTGCGGGATAGGTGCAGCGTCGATTGCGTCGTCGCATTGAAGCTCGGAGGAGCAGAGCGCAGAGTAGAGCTCCTTGGTATATACGAATGCGTTTGTGATTACCTCGTAGAGCCGCACCCGGCAATCCTGGGTTTTACTGAGTGTGTTGTACCCGTCCAGAATCTCTTGCAGGAGCTCGGATTTGCCTGTTGCCTTGTAGGCCTGATATACTTCCACGTCGTAGGGGTTAGGGGGCAGAATCGCTCGCCACCTGCACGCGTGCTCTTCAGGCAGTGCTGGGCTCGGCATCGGGTTCCCAAAGACGTCCCGGTCTTGTATATCTTCCCAATCGTCTAAAAAGCTCTCCGGGGGTAAGTTGTCCAGCCGGAACATCGGGAAGCCCTGGTAGTGGAAAATGTGGTGGTCGAGGTCGATTTCGTAGGCGAAGACATCAACCATCGGAGTGAGCGTGATCTCGTAGTCCGGATGCGCCCCTGCCCGCATATCATCGAGGAACTTTCGGCGCTCTGCAACCCATTGTGCGTATTGCTTCGGCTCCTGTGGCACAGAGCGCATGAATCTCACTCCAAGCCCGCTAGGGTAGCCGTCCATACCCACGGAATGGATATAGAAGCGCCCCCGGTGTCGATGCACCCTAGGAGGCGGTCAGCATCCTTCCATGCGCCATACTCGACGTGAAACAGTGTACTTATGACCTGCTGTCCCCATATTAGGCGAGTGCTATGGTTGAAAGGATCGCCCGACTTGATTATGTAAAGAAGTTCATTATCTGTTTTTCTCGCAGAACCGTGCGCGTGAACTCTAAGTCACGGAAATTGATACAAATACTGGAATACGCGAACTCACACATAAGCAAGTGTCGTAACTGGACATCAGATCTGTTTCAGGCAAACGACCACCTGTTACCTGCATCATGCATGTCCACTGGCGTGATTCATTTTCAATGGTTATACGGATTGAATACTCGCGGCGATGAATTGGATGCCTGCAATGTCTACGTATACAGGCATACAAACTAAGTGACGATCGCGTGAGTGGCCAAGCTGTGACCGAGGCCAAGTCTAAGGCAGACAGGTGAATGAGCGTCCAGACCAGAAAGCGGAGGAAATCAGGCTAGCTGCTCACATCGAGTGCAAGTTTACTCGGCGGGGGTCTCCTCAACAGGAGCCTCAACTGGGGGAGCAGTCTTCTTCTTCTTCTTGTCCATGCTGGGGCTAGCAGCGACGAAGACGACGGCGAAGGCGAGGACAATGAGTGCGAAGCGCATTGTGATAGAAGGCTGACTTTAAAGCCTGTCAAGATGGTCTGTTAGGTGTATAAATGTGGTGCTGAGGAGAGGATGTCTTACTGAGGTGGCTTGATAAGTTGGCTGGAGAATAACAGTGAACATCGAGCCTTTTTATACCTTTGTGTTAGCATCTGGATGTCGAACTGAGGCCCGCCAAACAGCGTCAGCGCTGCGGAATCAAGCTGTCCTTCAAGAAGTGGCGGATGGCTCAGGCTAAATGCTAATCTAAGATACAGCACTAGGCGTTGACGTTCAGCTCCGATGATTTAAGGTTGAATGTAGCGTCGTATGCACTCAAAAATTGCGTTAAAGTTATAACCCAACCCCTGCGTAGTCGAAGTGTAGTAGCTCTAAAAGGCTGATTTGGCTGTCACACATCGTAAGATTCCGACATTACGCCTGTCGGCTATGTGTTGATGTTACGTTGAATGATACGCTCACCAGGTTCGAACAGCCTCAATGTACCCCTTAATTTCGGCCCTAACAACGAAGTGCATGCCAACTGATGCAAATCCTTGACTGTGCTCTCTAGATCAACTTTGGACGACTTCAGAAACAGGCTCCAAATGAAGGTCGAGGACTTGTCATCATATCTTTATGTCTAAACAAGAATCGTGTCTGTTAATCCTTTCTAGTCCTCGTTTAGACTCCTCGGTAGCAACATGGTAGGGCTCTTTGAGTAGTCTTGGACTCAAAGCTTCGCTGCTAAACATTCAGGTATTGGAAATTACATCGCCCCCATCGTCCTCTAGTCAGATTTGAGCTTGAGATTGGGGCCTTAAGGTTTGACATCCGGTAGGATTCTCAACCAGAGCGACGAAGGCCGCACGCATCATTACACACATCATTGGCTTTCGAACGGTATAAAGGGCCCTCGATGTTCACTGTTTTTCTCCAGCCAACTTATCAAGCCACCTCAGTAAGACACCCTCTCCTCAGCACCGCGTTTATACACCTAACAGACCATCTTGACAGGCTTTAAAGTCAGCCTTCTATCACAATGCGCTTCGCACTCATTGTCCTCGCCTTCGCCGTCGTCTTCGTCGCTGCTAGCCCCAGCATGGACAAGAAGAAGAAGAAGACTGCTCCCCCAGTTGAGGCTCCTGTTGAGGAGACCCCCGCCGAGTAAACTTGCACTCGATGTGAGCAGCTAGCCTGATTTCCTCCGCTTTCTGGTCTGGACGCTCATTCATCTGTCTGCCTTAGACTTGGTCTTGGTCACAGCTTGGCCACTCACGCGATCGTCACATAATTTTGTATGCCTGTATACGTAGACATTGCAGACATCGAATTCATCGCCGCGAGTATTCATTTTTTCAGCCTGAGCAACCAGAATCAGTCGCGTAACACCAGCAATGATAAAGCTCCCACTGGCCCACAGCCCCCGGCAGTAGACTAACTCTCTTTCTACTGAACATCTACATTTACGTACCCTTAAAAGAGGGCATAAATAGCGAATCCTTTACGTCCAATGCGCGAAACTCGAATAAGCAGTTTCCGAAAGCTGGCCTGCCCAACCTATAGCGGGGTTCCTATCATAGATGCACGAGACCAAACCACCGTCACCACCCAAGATTGCACTAGGCGCACCACGAGCATCAGGTCAAGGTCACCTATCGCAGCAGCACGCCGGATACGAATACTCACCGGATCGGGATCTGCCCGCGCACCATTCTCCGAACAGGCAGGCGACGTTGACGATATAGTGTATTCCCTCGAGATATTGATCACGATCGACTTTTGGGGGGGTTCCTATAGGGGAAGGATCGTAAGAAAGACACTGGGACAACGGACGGGGTTATCTCGCCTGCGTGTGAGGGGATCTCGCCGCATCGACGCGTAGCTCATCCCTGGGCAGCTGTGGTGGACGTGCGTTCAAACTACATCGTTGTGAATATTCATATCCATATCCATATCCATATCCGACGGCCCAAGCGATCTCAGTTGTGAATTCAGAATCCAGCATTGGAAGAGAAAGGGACGAACGAGGACAGTAAACAGTTCGAGAAGACTAAAGCAGGCAAGGACACGGTCGTCAGCTGCGCCGCCGGGGGGCATGGGGTGGGACGCCGACGCACTTTTCGTGGTAGTAGCCAGTATCGCCATCCAAACCACTGAACCAATACGAACTGAACTTCAGCATACAACCTCTCTCACGAGGAGAGTGGGTACTACGAACGGGTATCTCTCATCGTGAAGAACTGCATAGACGAGACAGACTCTCCGGTCAGCGGGTGAGTCTCAACATAGAAAGGGCGCGATGGACGCACCACGATGAGTGTGATGAAGTAAGTCACTCTGCGGACGACCACAACGGGTTAGCGAAGCTTAGACGCAAAACGGGTGGCAGAGCGTACGCAGTGATCACGCCGGTCTCTGCGTTGATTATCAGCACCGGACATCAAGACCAGAGACCACAGCAAAGATACTTACGAAGCGTCCACATCAGCAACCTATCCACCAACACCTTCGTCCTAAAAGCAAACCACCCAGAGCCAGAGCCATCAGCCAGCCACCCCACCAATCCCCACATCCGACGCACGCACCGCATGCCCACCGTATCCCTCTGCCCGCGCAAATAGCACACCATCGCGGCCGCGATGCCCGCGTTGAGCACCACGCCCATCGCCAGCACCGTGATCAGCAACCAGGACCACCGCGCCAGCAGCGCGCCCGACACGTAGCCCAGCTGCGTCTCCTGCACGACGAAGAGCAGCCACCCGGCGTAGCGCGTCCAGCAGAAGACGGCCCCCGCCGCGCAGGGCAGCGCGCGGCCGAAGAGTCTGTGCAGACGCCAGAGGTAGAAGCTCTGCGGCCGTGCGGTGCGTGTTGGGGTGGAGGTGGGGGTGGTTGTTAGTTAGTTATTAGTAGGAGCTCGCGGGAGGGGGCTGAGATACGCACCTCGAGCAGAGGGGGTATGAGGATCCCGAGGTGGAATGTGACGGATATCGAGGTGGGGGGGTGGAGCAGCGCCGATGGGTGCCCCCAGTCAGTCACAGACATCGCATATACGGCGTGCATAGCTGCAACTTGCTGTGCGGTTTCCAAAAGCCTAGCAGATTCTGATCAGCTGAACGAGATCTGGCGGGAGCACGAACACAGAAAGGACGAGACGCGAGACGCGACTCACCATAATACTGCAACCTTGTCAAGTTCCAGACGTCTCGTCAGTACGGTGCCACGGACACAAAGCGTATGCAAGGAATAGCGGACGCACGTAGATCTTAGTAGCTTGGGGATCATATGGATAGTTCTTATAATACGCGTATGTTTGCGTCGTTGAACAGCCTAGCAAGAATCCCGAAATTCCTACGTCGCAAATGGATGGCGCGGTCAGAGGAGACGCAGATACGAGCATGTGTTCCGTTTGAAATCTACTCACCGACGGCCACTTGTAGCGCCCCGATAGTGTAATTCACATCCATCAGTCTTGATACAGCCATCGCAGCCTCCAAGGGGTTTCAGTCGACGATGGTATGCGGGTGGCAGCTGGACAAAGCAACTTCCGGACGAACGAGGAAGAGAGAGAGCACTTAAGGCACGAACGAGGAGCTGGGATGGGGATTCAGCGACTCGACGTAAGTCGACCGTCCTTATATGCTAGATACATAATTGAATCCCCCAGAGGCCTCGAGCTTGAGACGAAGCGCTGGTTTCATGATCGTTGATCGCGGGAGGAACGAAGTATTCCCTGTGTGCATACCGCCCTGCATGTTGGATGGCTTCAAAACACGGCTCTGCAGAGCGCTTGAGTGGATTCGCCGTCCTTTACGGCTTTGGTTTTGGGTTATCGCTCATCAAGGGCTGACCACACGACGAATTATAATGGTTGGTACTCACCCATTCCCAGCCTTGAGTCTGTCTCGCGCTATTGCCGTTGATCTCAGTTGCCTAACACTAAGAGCGTAGCAGGGAGGTACATACCGATACCAAACAATGTACACACTTACCACCACCACATCGTCGTCGATGGTAAACAATGGATCAAACAATTAATTGATGCTGTGGACGTCAAATCGCTTTCCCGACCCTATCAATGCTGTCTCAGGGGCTTTCATCATACACCGTCCTTACACCGCAGATAAGCGCGAACACTGGGGAGCCTGAGTCGTAATGAGCTCGGATCACTTGATGGCATCAGGACTCGTGCGATTGACCATGAATAACACTGAATGGTACCTGCTGGCTTGGATCTGCGTCATGTTTCGAAGCGAGGTGGCGGATCGTGGATAACGATCAACGAAAGGTATGGGTCCTCGGCATACTGCACGCGGTGAGCTGGTCGATCTGCTGTCCTGTGTCTCGTATGGGCCTCTGGCTCACACGCCCTGCTGTATAGTTCGACAGACTGTACAACTTGATCGACAGGAACTAGGAATCGCCGACGTCGCTGCTCGTACCATCGCCAGTCGGGCAAGTCGTTATATCATGCGCAAGTTGTCAAGAAGTCACGGGAAATCATTTTGGTTCATGTTTGTATTTCTTGGGTGAGCGCATCTCAATATGTACGTATGCGGATTATCGACTATGTAATGACAACCTCAGCGCTAATGTCGATTTTGATTTTGTTTCAGAAGCAGGGTCCTACCCCAGTGCTGAGACCATTTATTGACATGCAGAGAGGCGAGGGGGCATGTAACCGTGTATACATTGTGGTATAGAACAAAGCTGGATCTCGGAAACTAGTAAGGCAGGACGCCCACACATGAAAATTACTGCGAAACGAGGTCCAGGGAACAGTAAGAATATCCGAGAATATCCGAGAATACGGCCGGTGAACGGAGACGCGATGCATCTGCGATCAGTTATCAAGCATCCGATGGGGTGTGGTCAGCGCCTCCCGGAAAGCTGCGCTTTGCCTCTGCATCGTCCTCCATCTGGGTTGTGATATCGACTTTGATGCGCTTCATGGGCATGCTCCCAATCGTTTGCACCGGCTCGGACCGCGAGAACACGGTGGAGTTGGCGCTGTTGCTCATGGCGCGCAGCTTGATACGAATGGTGATAGCGTTGAACGTGATTCCCTGGGCATCCATTAGCACTATAACTGCCCAACGAGCAAGCATCAACGGCCTACCACCGTAGGCGTCACCAGCTCCAGCAAGATGTACTGCGCGTTCACCGTCCGCGAGTACAGCGCCAGCAGCAGGATCTCCACGACGAGCTGCAACGCCGCGGACTCGATCAGTATGCGCGCTATGGGCAGCAGGGCGTTCTCGGTCTTGTACTGCGCCGACTTCGTGGACGTGCGCCAGATGCGGAAGGCCATGAGGGAGGTGGTGATGATGTTTTGCACGACGGCGATCGCGTAGAAGGCCTGGATCCACGAGTTGAGTCTGTTCGTGAAGACGGACTGCGTGGGGTCGATTTGGACGAAGAGCGCGCAGACTGTGTAGCCGGACACTTGCGACCGAAGATAACGATGGTGTCAGCGTGAGGCGGGATGGGGATAGTGAAGCACGCGCGTGCGTGGTGACGTACCGAGGCTTCCGACAAGGAGGAAGAGCGGCAGCGCGATGATTCTCCAGTCGCTGTTCCATAGTATGAAGCATCGGTATATCTGAGGATGACCGTGTCAGGGCGGAAACAAGGGCGACCAAAACGCGGACACGTACCCCGGCGGCGTTGCCCAAGATCTCCTGTGTCGCGTAGAGTGTGTCCTTCATGACATGGTCCCACCGCCGCAGGTTCCCGATGTACCCCACCGCGCCGCCGGGATCTCCGACGTGCACAGCGAAGCCCTGGAGGAGGCGGAACCCATTCATGGCGAGGTGCCACGTGGCGATGAAGAACATCACGCAGGATATGCCGACCATGACCTGTAACGAGTGAAGTTCAGTTCGACACGGGATCGCCGATGTGGGGTGCGTACTCTGCTGTGGATGTCGTTTCGGTGGCCGCTGCCGAAGGTGAACAGCATGGTGCCGCAGAATAGGCACAGAAAGAAGCCTGGCGGTAGTGCGTAGGTGCGTCAGGATCAGGCGGCAGGTGTCAATGAGAGAGGTTCTGGGAAACTGGGAAACTGACCGTAGGCGAGAGACTAAGAGAATCTTAGGTTGGATAGTGCGACGGATGTATTTTGTACGCACCTCTAACCACGCGGCGAGCAAGAACGTCTTGTCGAGAGGCAACTGCGCCATTCTTTGGGGATTTGATTCGTGATATCGATGGCTCTCCGTACGAACGAAGCGCCGAAGAAAGAGTGCCCGCAGACCCGTCTTCTTATACCCCTACGCCAGCCCGGGATATATCTATGTATGGCCAAAGTCGAAGTCGAAGATTTGGGGCCCTTCTGCTGTCGCGGGGAGGTCCGATCATTCTACAGCTGCTATTCTCGAGTTGGCCGTCCGTGCGCGTGAGTAGGTGCAGAGCCGAAATTGGGTGCATCCGAGTCGATCTTCTTCGAGTCCATCATGATTGAATATTGAACCGTGATGCGTGATGATCCCAATGCAACAGAGAGATGCCGGGCGCTTAATGACGCGGACGAGCAAGAACGTCGTTCCATTCGCTATCGATCAGTTATGCGCCACAACGAATAGTGCCGCTAGAAACCAGACGGTGCAGGTTGAGAGCACTAGTAAGTACTCTGATCAAAGATTCCCACAGTCACGGATGTCAGCCTGTTTCTGATTCCTCTTACTTCTCACTTCTCAAATCACGGCGCAGTTAAACATGGATTGTGGCTTCGGCTTCTGGCTCAGTTAGGCGCTATTTTAAGCCGGAAAAATGGCGCTTTCACTAGCTATGGTGAGTGGGCCCTTTCATCCACGCCCTCTTCTGGATGGGAGATTTATCCCGGCGTACCGCTGTCAGCTCGCTGATAGGTACTACGTACAGTCCTCATCCACGAGAATAGCATCTTCGTTGGTTCTCTCAATATGGGTCATCTGTATCGCGCGACAAGTATGTATCCCGCGTCGCCAGCAGTCGCAATTCAGGTATGACTGACCGTGGCCCGGAGGTTAGCCCGAACGCGACTGGGCGTTCTTCTAGGTTAATCTCGCACCAAAACTGATAGCTGATAGCTGATAGTGTTTGATGGGATGCACCTTATGCTATTTCTGCTCTCGTGTGCGTGCGCTCACCTTCTGTTTTGTCGAGTCCCCGATCAGCCTGGCACTTCGTGCGACCGCATGCACAAGGGAAAGGACGGATTTGGCGGCCCTTCAGAGTCCAGTACTCAGTCGTCAGCGCAGAAATAGCACTCCGGTGAGTGGATGTCCTAGCCAAGCTGGCGTGTGCGCCCGACGTGCCCAGTACGCGACACCATCGACGTATCCGCGCGATTCTGATTCTGCTGCTTTCTGATATGACACATAGAGAATGCTGTACGTCGTGCTGTTGTTGATCTTCGTCAACCGTTGACCAGCATGGAGACAGGATTCAGCCCACTTGGGCCGGCCGCATACTAGGATAGCCTTAGGACTCGAAGTCCCCACAATGGACCTGGGCGACTCGAAAGTACTCGTCTGATGAACGGCCCATTAATGAATGATCATTAATCAGTGATCATCCTCGGGAAGGACACAAAGCCCCCACGGCCTGGGATCTGACCATTTACCCGTCCAGGCACCGACGCTCACCGAAATCCTCGAAATACGGAGCTCACAAGGGGCTGGTGGTGTGAGAGGCCAGGTTGGCCCCGCATCGTCCTCCCTGCGAACGGGCTCCCCGCGTCGTCGCTCGGTGGCAACTGATTCCACGGGGCTTCGGGGCTTCGATCCTCCTCGCGCGCCATCCCCGCTGCTCGCGACGGCTCCACATCCCCTGCACCCATCGTGAAGAAGCGCTCCCTAACTAAGAACTTCCAACCAGAAGACCGAAAGACCGAACCCCAGCACGGGAGAAAATAGCTGCATGAATACCCCCCGTCTGAGATGTCCGCCAGCTGTCTCGGCCACATCGAAGTACGAAATACGAAATACGAAATACGAAATACGGAGCCTTGTGGGCGTCGTGTTCTCAGCCCCCCTCCCGGCCCCCCCCCGGCCGGCCCCCCCCCTGGCCCCCCGGGCTCTTGGCCTCAGAGTTGCAGTTCCCGCCTTGTGTTCTTGTCGCGAGGTCCTAGAATTCTTCCCAAAGTCCCAAAGTACCAAAGTACTTCTCGCACTCCAGATCTCTCGTGTCACGAAACTCTGCAGCCGCGGCGCCGCAGCCGACCCTTCTTGCGTCGTAATTCAGTCTCAAGGCGTGCGTATAACGTAGGAAGTACTGTGCTCGTCCGGCTGTGCGTTGCGCACGCTCGGAATATCGAATATCGGAATGGCGTAGCTTCGGAGGGATTGGGCAGCGCAAGGAGTGCGGCGGTGGAAATCTGCGCAGAGGGGCATGAAGGATGCATGAAGGATGACTGTTCTGGCCAACATTTCCCGGACACCAAAGTCAGAGAAAAATTATGTAAAGGTTGTTAGTTACTGCAGGCTGATGAGGCTGATGCGGTGACACCTTTTCTCCGAGTTTGGCACCCGACGAAATACGGTCAGCGGATTTTCGTTCTCCAGCATCCAGAATATACTGGTTAATGCGTTGTTTCTCACATTCTCTCATTCATAGCGAAGGGGAACACCAGAAATCAGGTGAACGTTTTTCCACGTCCCTTTTCCCCGGCCAAGAAGCAAGAAGGGGCCTCTGTATGCAGTGTGCATGTAAGCCTCGCCCGTGCCGTTGTGAGCAGTCGGTTCATCGACATCCCATTGTCCGCCCGTCTCCCAACTGACATGGCCACCAAATCCCTTGTTTTGGCGTGGCATGCCCACTTGACCCACAGGCCACATTTTCTTTTGTCGTCGCCACATTTTGTCGTTTGCCACAGGCCACAGGCCACGGCGAGGCGTACACATAAAGGCAGCGCAAACCCGCTATCCATCCACATCCACATCCTCAACCAACCCCCAAATCAGCAACTCTAAATTTCGAACCCACTACAACTAGCACTAGCACTAGCATGTACACTATGGCGCTTGTCTGCCGAGACCCCGCGTTGGCCGAAAAGCAGATGGCGGTATGTCCATGTCCTTGTCGCCTACCCCACGGGCGCCCGCTAATGATTAATGAGCTCATCCCTAGTTCATGAGTCGGGAGGCCTACGACAAGCTGATGAGGCTGCGCGCGGAGTCTGGGTGCTCGTCCAACGGACACGTAGGCGATGTGCGTATACCGCGGCTCGCGCGCATCCTGTGCTTAGTACTTACTTACTTACTGAAAGAAACCCTATTGACGTCCTCCGCCAGAAATGCGTCTTCTTCGTCGACTCCTGCAGCTTCGCGCACGTCCGCGCGTGGGGTCAGCCGGTGAGTACCCGCGCCCTGCGTGCCCTCAAGTCTCTCTCCCCGACGTCCTAGTCCTAACCGCCCATTTCCATTTCCATTTCCACTCCCACAGGCCTTCCGCGACATCCGTCCCCCCAGTCGCCCGTATCCGTATCCCCACGGAGACGCCCCGCCCCCGCCCCCGCCCACCACAAAGCGGTCAAGCTCGTGCGCGATCCGCGCAGCTGGGGCGTCTCCATCGCCGAGCTCGTCGCGCGCTGGCCGGACGTCCTCCCCCCGAAGTTCCACAGCGAGCCGTACAGCACCGAGTTTGACGCCTGTGTCTACACGTTCATGGTGCGCCCCCCTCCCCCTCCCCCCTCCCCCTCCCTCCCCTCTCCTTTTGTTTTGCTGTGTAGCTAACCATAACCGTTTATACCACCGTTTATACCACCGTTCTGGCTCGACCGCGCGCGACGACGACAGCTGAACCCGTTTATCCGCGACCACGTCTGCGCGGCCGTGGCGCTCAAGTGCCACGGGAAACCGATGTCGGTGGCCGACCTCCTGCGCCACATCGCCGTCAGCATGTTCTCCGCCGTCCGGGTACGTCGCCCTCTTTCCCGCTTTCCCTCTTTCCCTCTTTCCCACTTTCCCGCTTTCCCGCTTTCCCGCTTTCCCTCTTTTCCGGTGTTGTCGGTGTTGTCGATGTTGTCGGTGTTGTCGGTGTGCGCAGCGTGCTGACCTCCCCCGCAGGAGAAAACCCCCGGCCTGTCCGACGTCGAGGTCTTCAGAATGCTCATGGGCGTGCACCTCCGCGAGCTCGTGGCCACCGGGTATGCGAAGAAGGAGAAGGTCGTTTCCGTAGAAGTGGTCTGGGCAGAGTCGTCTCTCGTGTAATTGCACCACTTCTTCTCTCGTGTAATTCCACCCATTCTTCTCTCGTGTGATTCCTTCTTCTCTCGTGTAATTCCTTCTTCTCTCGTTCTAGTGTAAAGCCTGCGCGTGGACTTGCCGCGTTTGTGTTCACAACCCCGGTGTCGATGTTGGGCGTACTTTTGTATTTTTCTGCCACGAAATCTAGGCGTGTATTCGTAACCCCGGGGAACGCTGTACTGTACTGTAATAGGTAGGTGTACAGGCCCGTCATCTGCACCGGAATCCGGGTAGAATCCCCGAATCGCCCCGCCCACTCACCCACTCACTCACTCACTCACTCACCCACTCACTCACCCAATCACTCACTCACCTAAGGTCATGAAGGCCATGAAGGTCATGTCCCGCCGAATTTGTAATTTGATGTTTAGCGGTCGACGATTTAGAGGCGCGCGTAAACGTAAACGTAAACGTAGACGTAGGCGCAGAATAGAGGGGACGCACCGCACTCTCGGAAGACTTACCGGCCGCTCGCAGGTCGCCGTTCGCAGTTCTCAGTTCGTAGTTCGCCGTTTGCAGTTTGCAGTTCGCAGTTTGCAGTGCCCGCGCGAATGGGCAGTGAGAGCACGTAGACCGCTTGTCGTGCTCGTGCTCGTATTATCATTCTCATTCTCATTCTCATTTTCTCGTCCTCGTATTCTCATTTTCTCCCCGAGCATCCCAGTATTCGTGCATCCGAGCACCTCGTCCATTCGTCCATTCGTGTACCCGTGTATTCGCCGTCTGCTTACCAAAGGAGCAGAGTCGCAAGCCGCATGCACGAAGGCGTGGAGGGGCGGAGTTCGTGGATGTGTAATGTGCGATATGTGGCAGTACGACAGACTCTGTATCTGTATCTGTATCCGTTTCGTAGTGCGTCGGGTGTAGTGCGTGCGCGTGAAGTGGAGTGTGAAGTGAAGAGTAGTGTAGTGCTAGCGATGCGCTGCTATCGGCAAGTTTGCCGCGAAATCGATGGTTTAATTTGGGGTGTCCGTGCATGCCAACGCACCATGCGCGACGGGGCTGGAGTAGGAGGAGGAGCAGGAGTAAGAGCAGGAGGAGGAGCAGGAGGGAGGTGGTGGTGGTGGTGGTGGTGGTGATGTGGTGGTGGAGGAGGTGGTGAGACCTAGTCGCGTCGCATACGCCTCATCCCGTGGCGAGTCGCACGGTTGGCTTTTCTGAGCTTTTCAGCGAACCGAGCCGATAATAAGAATTGGGAGAGGACTCTTCTTCTTTTCACACCACCAACACGAGCAACTTTCCCACGGTTCGGTGGGGGGTGGCACGCTGGACAAGTTAGAATTAGAAGAGTATTATACGCAACGACAACACCGAAACGGAATCAACGAGCGACGCAACACTACGTAGCAACCGGGACGGCGGAATGCCTGAAGGAGCGGGAGGAAGCACAGAAGAGGGAGGGAGGCAGACGGTGAACGTTCTGATGAATAACGCAATAGGAAAGGCGATAAAGAATGGAAGGGAATTGCTAGTTAAGAATGGATACAGCTCCGAGGGCGACCCCATCGACGAAAAATGGGTGATCAGGACAATCAGGACGATCGCAGCACATGTGAAGACACCAAAAGCTGCGAGCGAGGGATTGAAGGCGCTGGCGGACGTGGTGGAGGCAATGGCGAAGCAGCGAATGGTCGACGATATCACAGAGATCGTGACGAAGGATATAAGGGAGATAGTAGGGGAGATGCGGACACTGGTTCGACGCGCGGCCGACATGGAACAGCGAACAACGGAAACACTGGCGGAGGTGCAAGACGTTGCAGAGACGGTCAAGGCCGCCAAACGGGACATATCGACCATCACCAACATGCCACCGAAGTCGTACGCAGACGCCGCCAAGAGGGACTCAATACCAGCCAAGGTGGCAGCAGTAGCGGATAGGCAGGAGACCCGATCGCGGCAGGTCATCATACAGAAGGCAGACGGCATTGAACTCAAGGACTACAACCTCACAACACTAAACGAGAAGGAGCTGGTAGAGAAAGCCAATATCGCGCTGGAAGGCATTCAGCTGATCGACGGGTACCCAGAGGGGATGAGGTTCCTGGGGGCGAGGAAGTTGAAAGGCGGCGACGTGCTGCTGATACTCAACTCAGCAGAGGCTCGGAATTGGTTCAGCAAGTCGGACATCGCGAAAGCATTCCTGGCAGGATTTAATGGTACGTCAAAGATGCGGACACCTATGCTAACAGTTGTGGCGGAGTACGTTCCGGTGTCATTTAATCCAACAGAGAAGGGTGCCATCCTTAGCGTCGAGCAAGAGGGCGGCCTGGAGAGGGGGAGTATCAAGTCTGCAGCGTGGATCCGACCTGTCGAGCGCCGTTCGCCAACACAGCAATACGCACATATGAAGATCAAGTTCGAGGACCGCGACCAGGCCAATAAGGCAATACGGGATGGTTTATTCATTGGCGGCAAGGTTATTACAGTACGAAAGGACGTGCAAGAACCGCCGATCTGTTACAGGTGCCATTCCATCGGGGACGGCCACTACGCTAATAACTGCACAGTCGTACAGAAAGACGTGTGCGGGCATTGCGGACAGGAGCACAGGGCGGCGCAGTGCCCACACCCGCACCAAAAATGGTGTGCGAACTGCAGACAGCCAGGACACGGGGCAGGCGATCGGAGCTGCGAAACGCGACAACAGCGCCTGGAGGCATGGCGAAAGGCGAACCCGGAGGCAGGGTACAGGTTTTTCCTGGACAATGAGGACCCCAGGACATGGGAGGAACTGGAGTTCATTGAAGAAGCCTGGGGCCCGACCGGACGAAGGCTGCTGAAGGACGCAAATGAGGGCGAACGGCCAATGGCTGGGCAGAGAGGCTTCGTGCCAGGGGTAAGGCGGACATACCGGGACCACCGAGGCACTTTACGATTCGACATGACCGGGATCCCAACAGCGCCGAGGTCGAGGAGCCGGGCATCTCACACAGCACAGGCGGGGCAGCCCTCCCAAGAGGGCGCAAGCAGCGGCACAAGCACGGCGAACGAAGGAGAAACAGATGCACCCAGGGCTGACCACTCCGCGGATGCCTGAGGACGAATTGACGAAGTTCACGCCCCGGATTTTTCAGCTCAATATGAACAAGTCTCAAACGGGACAAAACCTCATCATCAATTCTATCGCTAACTACAATATCATTTTACTACAGGAACCATGGATAGACCGCGAGGGCTGGTCGAGGGCGATCCGGCGGTTCAATACAATCTACCCCATCACGCGCGATACTCAGAAAGACAGAACCCGAGCGGTAACCTTTCTTTCCACGCAGATAGCTTCTGATCACTATGTACAGCTACCCATCAACTCACCAGATGTGGTTGGTATTGACATCAAATGCAGCCCAGAGACCTGGATTCGGATCATCAATATCTACAACGACTGTACTCATGATGATAGCATGCGGGCCATTGACGAGTTCTTAACGAGCGAGAGACAGAGGGGGAGGGCTGGTATACAGGCGCGAATGATATGGGCGGGTGACTTCAATCGACACCACTGGACATGGGACGAAGAGAGGAACCTACACCTCTTTACCAGACAGAACATCGAAGCAGCAGAACGGCTCATTGAGATGACCGACAGGTATGGGATGGTAATGAAGCTGGCGAAGGGGACCCCGACTCTGCAGGCAACGCGAACCAGGAACTACACGCGAGTCGATAACGTATGGTGCTCAGAAGAACTACAGGGGGCGGTGGTTAAGTGCGATGTTGAACCACGTCGGAGACCAGCGAAGACCGATCACCTCCCAATCGTAACCGAGTTGGATGTCGAACTGGAGAAGCGCGAACTAAGGAATCGAAAGAATTTCCGAGCGGCAGATTGGGGCAAGTTCAGAGAAAAGCTGGAGGAGGCACTAAACGAGGTGGGGAGGCCGACGGAAATCAGGTCGATAGAGGAGTTCGAGCAGAGACGGGTGCAACTGGAAGAGGTCATCCAGGCGGTAATTGAAGACAACGACATCGTGCCGGTATCGCAGCCGACCCCGTTCTGCAAGAGATGGTGGAACGCAGACCTTGCGGAGCAACGAAAGGTGGTCGGGAGACTATCCAGGGCATCTTGCAAGAAACGGCACCAGCCCTGGCACCCAGTTCACGAGGAGTTCCGCAAGGCGAGGAACAAGTTGGCAGACTCGGTTAAGAAGACGAAGCGCAAACACTGGAAGGACTTCCTAGAAGGAGTAGACAACAACACCGTCTTTGTGGCCAGGAGATTCGTCGACGGACCAGGGAGCGACGGCGGCGCAGTCAGAATGCCAGCGCTCAGAGTGAAGGTAGCGAATATGGAGAGGCGACTGACAAGCAACGCAGAGAAGGCAGACACCTTCTACAAGCTGTTCTACCCACCGCCACCACTCAGATCATCAGTACCACCAGACGTGGAATACCCGGAGCCAAAGTGGGCATTCAAGAACATCACGAACCACCAGATTGAGGCCGCCATTTATCGTCTAGCGCCATACAAGGCAACGAAACCTGGAACACCCCCAAACAGTGTATTCACGCACTGCGCGGACTTGCTCACCCCACACTTAGGCCCCCTCTACAGGGCGACATTCACCCTCGAATACTACCCAAAGGCGTGGGCAGAGACGGAGACAGTAGTCATCCAGAAGCCAGGAAAGCCAGACTACACCATACCAGGAGCATGGAGACCGGTAACGTTATCGCATGGGCTAGCCCGAGTACTGAACACTTGCCTTGCAGATGACCTAGTCGCATACGTGGAAAAGCACCAGATCCTACCCCTGAACCACTTTGGAGGACGGCCCGGCCGATCGACCATGGACTCCGTACACCTGCTAACCAAGACAGTGATGGACGCGTGGCGACGAAACGAGGTAGCATCAGCACTCTTCCTGGATGTCAAGGGAGTGTTCCCGAGTGTGGCCATAGATCGTCTAGAACACAATCTGCGGGAGGCAGGCATCCCAGAGGAGTACATCATATGGGTTTTACGCCGATTGGAAGACCGCAGTACGACACTTACGTTCGACGACTTCAGATCAGCACCGTTCAGAGTCATTAACGGCCTGGACCAGGGCGACCCATTATCAGTCATCCTATACATCCTCTACAATGCCGGGATCCTCAAGTCGATTCGGGGAACGAAGGCAGAGCTAGGGCTCCTCTTCATAGATGACGCTGCAATCGTGGTCACAGGTGCAAACTTCCAGGATACGCATGAGCGACTAAGAGAAATCATGATGGGCGATGATGGTATATTCAAGTGGGCGAAGGATCACAACTGCGAGTTCGGTGTCGACAAGTTTCAGCTCTTGGACATGACAAGGAAGCGCGTACAGCATACATTCATGCTTAACCGACGGGTGCCCTTGCCACGCATGAACCTCAAGTTAGGCGAACACACCATCATATCGGCGGAACAGGTGCGCTTTCTTGGCATACTCTTTGACAGAGAACTACGGTGGAATAGACAGGGAGCAGCGGCACTAGCAAAAGGGAGGGAATGGATATCAAGATTCGCCAGGCTGGCCCGACCATCTCAAGGGATTACAGCCAAGTACGCAGGGCAGTTGTACAAGGCGATCGCCCTGCCACGAATCATGTACGGGGCGGAGGTATTCCTAACCCCTCCACGCAGGGCACCCACAGAGCAACAGCGTACCAAGGGCATGAGAGCACAGCGCTTGATTGTGGGGAAGATTGCGGCATCCCAACGGCAGGCGATGCTGATGGTGACAGGCGGCATGCGATCAACAGCCAGCGATGTATTGGAGATCATCACAGGGTATCTGCCATTTCATCTGGTGGTGGAGAGATTCAGATACAAGGCAGCACTGCGGCTGGCAACTCTGCCGCAGACTCACCCACTCTTCAAGCACGTGCAGAGGGCAGCAGTGCGAGACGTGCGACGGCATCGAACACCCTTACACGCACTACTCCATGATTTCCGTATAACACCCAAGACCTTCGAAAAGATCCAGGCTACTCGATGGGACACCAGGTGGCGAGCAAGGGTGCAATGGCACATCGCAAGCGGGAAGGAGCAGGCAGTAGCAGACGAGCGAAACGACCACAGCCGGTTCAGAGTGTATACGGATGGATCGGGGTACGAGGGAGGCATTGGAGCAGCGGCGGTGATATACGAAAACGGGCGACGCAAGGAGGCAGCACGCCTACAGCTGGGTTCGGTCAAGGGATGCACAGTGTACAACGGGGAGTGTGCAGCTCTAGCTATGGGAATGGAGCTGATTCACAGACAGGTCTACGTTGAGAAGGCCACCATATATGTCGACAACCAGGCAGCCATCCGAGCGCTAAGTTCCCGGAGACCAGGCCCAGGCCATTACCTCCTAGATTATTTCCATGAGGTCTTCATCAAAGCGAGGAAGCGACATACGGGGCTGCGACTGACGGTGAGGTGGATACCAGGGCACACAGAGGTAGAGGGGAACGAGTGGGCAGATCGAGAGGCGAAAGAGGCAGCAAAGGGAAGAGGGATTGACCTGACGAGGATACCGAGTGTGCTGAAGGCGAAGGATGCCATAAGGAAGAGCAAATCGGCAGCACTACAGGCCTTTGATGCGAAGCTGAGAAAGAGGGCGGCAAAGGGATGGGAGGCATCACCCAGGTACAGCAGGATGGCGAGGGTAGGGCTGACACGACCGTCGAAACAACTGCGGGATGCGCTAGGAACGATGTCAAGACGGCATGCCAGCATAATCACGCAACTGGTGACAGGACATATCCCCCTCGCGCGATACCTATACAAGATCAAGAAAACAGCATCACCAAGGTGTCAGCGATGTGGCCTATACGACGAAACCCCCACACACTTCCTGGCACAGTGCACGGCGTATCGCGCAGCAAGGGACAGGATGATAGCGAAGATAGGGAGAGCAGCAACACACGCCAACCAACTGCTAGCCAACCCGAAGCACTTCAAAACAATAGCTAAGTATGTCGACGAGACGGGAAGGATCCGATGGAACACACGGGAACAGGGGGAGGGGGAGGACGTGGGGGAAGGGAACGGCAGAGGGCAGGGGGAGTAGGATAGGGAGGCAAGGGCAGCAGACAAGATATATCTCATTTCTTTTCACTTCTTCATACTCTAACATCATATAGTCACCATACTTCATGGCACACCACGAGGGGTGCCTACTATTTGCGGTACTCACCGCCAGGTTGTCACTAAGTGACACCAGGCCGCTGTGCAGATACGGACTTAGGACGAAGTAGGATATATTGTAGATATTGGTACTGTACAGGTGTACCCTCCCACATATGGCGAAGCCACAACGGAGGTTAAACGAGGATTCAAAAAAAAAAAAAAATAAGAATTGGGAGTGGTATTGGTATTGGTAGTTTGGTATTGATAGTGATAGTGGTAGTGGTAGAAGGAGGGGACCCACCGGCACGGCCCGACGTCGCAGGTCTCCAGAGCCTGCGAAATGAAGACAGTGAGGGGCGGAGGGGCGGAGGGGCGGAGAACACCGGACGGCGGGAGATGGGTGATGGGAGACGGGGGAGGTGTCCATGTAGTCCCATTATAATACCTAGTGGATTATCCAGCGATAGGTATTATAATGTGCCACTATGTAAAACCCCCCATGGAGGTATTGTAATGCGGATAGATGGTTTGTAGGCGGTATTATAATGTGAATTATAATGTCGAAGCCAGTGACGCAATGCTTGATTGATTGATCGTGTGGCTATAATCATTGCATCTAATCTTATCGTACACTGGAGCACTCAATGATTCGGATCAGCACTCTCACTTTCCCCGCTACGCCCCCCTCCTCCGCCCTTTGCTGTTCTTGACTGCTGGGCCAACAGTCAAGTAGCGAAGCAACAAGAAACAAGCATTGACACTCAGATATCAACAACTGTACCCCAGCTTTCGGAACTTCAACATTGTTCAACTCCCAGGATCCCGCCGCCCAGGCCATTTGTATTTGTAGCTCTCGTTGAGCTCACGGTTCATATTTCTCTTACTAATAAGCTTGATACCTATAGTCTAACCCTATGTGCAAGACCAACCAACTCGTTCTAAAGTTGGTTCCGACTACGGGGAATCCTGGGTTGTGCTTGAGGCACACTGTCGCACTACGCCTTGAGGTAGGCCGCGGCAGGCTCCTCATACACCTACTTAATGTCAGGTAGCACATGAATATATACATGTTTAGGCTACTTGTCCACTCAGTTAAAAGATTATGCAAAAAGATTGTACTGCGCTGAAAGTGAGTTGAAAGTGAGTTTATGGCATTATGCACCAATTGCACGAGTTGAATGCTTCGCCTTTTAGCGCATTAGTCTGACCTTTTCAATAGTGGCATCGAGAGCACGATCGTGCTGATTTTTTATATTAGCATGGTCATCCAATCGTTCTCTTATGATTCTAGCTCTCCGATCTGCATTATATTGTCCTTTACCCTAGATATGTTCACATCAGTTCGGTTTTCCCCCCAAGCGCACATTTGACGCCCGTCCAACTGGCTGCCGCTGGAGGATTCTGCTCTCAATCAACGTGGTCCGTTCTCTTGAACCCTACTCCGAAATGTTTGATAAATCAATGGTTACACTCCATATGGCACTCATTGATCCTCCTCCAAAATCATGCAGAACAGAAAATATTGGGTATAGGTGCGTCTGGTTGGGTTGGATTGTACTTGATTGCGACCTTCAGCATATTCAGTAACTACTTGGTAATCATCACCCTCTCACAGGACGAACCCCGGCAAGCTGCAGCTGCCAGACCGTTTTAACTCTACCTGAATGTTTGTTTTCTTCAGAACACGGAACACGAGGCTGCTACCGAGAATTTACAGGCATCATGAAGACTTCCCAGGGTTGTCATTCAACGACAGAATACATTATAATGCCTACAGCAGGGAGGCGCACATTATAAGATGAACCAGGAGGCGGAATTATAATTCAGGTAAGTACTAGTGACTCTGACATTGTAATGTGGACTGAGGGGGTTCAACAAGCAGACACATTTTAATGTGTCTCCCTGGAGAATCCACAAGGTATTATAATATAGCTACATGGACTATTGGACGGGGGATGGGAGATGGGGAATGTGTGTATGCGCGTATGCACGTAAGGCTTAAAATTGAAAATTTAGCAGCTTGAGGAGGTTAAACGTTAAGGAGGATTGGGGTGGCGCAGGGGAAGCTGTCTATCTCAACATTGTTTGCCCCAGGGATGTGCGCCAAACACTCGTTGTTTGACGTTGGTTCGACTTTGCGTGGACGTCTCCCGCGATACAACGATGTCGACGAAAAGTACTCGAAAGTAGACTGGGGGCTCGTCACAGCGTCGCCATGTCGTCACTCGTCACCCAATTTCGTCGAAGCTCAGCCTATGAGCCTATGGTGATATCATCCCTCGTCTTCTCCAAGTTGGATCTCGTCCGGGCGTTTAGTGATGATGACGCGCACCCAGGCTCTTCCTCCCAAGGCTTCTCTATCCGTGGCGCATCGAGCGCTGCGTGGGCAAGAGCGTTGTCATCTACTCGGTGTTACGGTCAGTCTCCCCTCTCCCCTCTTCCCTCTTTTCTTCCCTCTTCCCTCTTCCTACCTCCACCTTTCCTTGCATCGCCTCCGAACGCCTCCCCCCGGCTCTCTGCGTCGACCCTGCCCCATCCCCACATCTCGCCAACAACACCTCTTCCCTCCCTCTGCCACTCTGCCACTCTGCCATTGTTGTCACTGGTCTCCGAGTCCCGAGTCCCCGTTGATGCCTATAGCTTCAGCGCTGAAGGGCCATATATCCATATTGTGAGCACATCCATCAGAGATCACCGGTGCACCGGCACCCAGTGTTCTTCGCCCCTGCGCGTCTTCGTGTCTTCGTTTCGTTTCGGGTCGCAGGCGCTGGTGGGCTTGGCGGTCTTCGTGGTCCCGGTGAGTCCCCTCTAGTCGTTCGCGCTAACTGTTAAAACGTTAGCCTACCGACCGTGTACTTCGACTCACCTCACGTGTCTGCTCTCCCCCCTCATCCACCCGCGTCGTGCGTTTGCGTTTCATATCATATCATTGCATTGCATTCACCGGCCCCAGAGCGTCGATCTCTCACCAGGCATCTCACTCACCCGCCGACCAATCGACAATCTACAATCGACAGCCGGTAATCTACAATAATCTACCAGTACATCACGGTGGTCTGGCTTAAATCGCCCACACCCAACGTCACGCGTCAACGCTCGCATATACGCATCCCGCATACCACATCCCCACAACCCCATCCCACATCTCACAACCACATCCCCACAACCGCATATACGCATCCCGCGTACATCATACCCGTTTATTCTAAAGCAGCGCACCACACACTATATCATATATCACACACTCTTCACCACGCGCAACGTGATCTCGAGACGCACAGCGCCCCCATATCGATATCGGGGGCTGGGATCCCGCGTACGGCCCACAATCGTCAATCATCAATCGTCAATCATTAATCAACGTCAACGTCGAAACGATGAAATGATAAAACGATACTATCCTCCGACTATACTCGAATACTCGAATACTTGAATACTCGAATACTTGAGCTTGAATACTTGAGCTTGAATACTTGAGCTTGATTATGTGAGTGCATTCCCCGTATCCCCGTATCCCCGTATCCCCGTAACCTCGCAACTTCGTAACTTCGTAACCTCGTAACCCAACCCCCTTTCGCGCACTCCGTCGTGCACTCCGCCGTGCACCCCCGTGGTCTGTCGAGCGCATCTCGGCTTTCTCCACCCCTTTATTCTCGACGTTCTCCCGACGCCCCGACGTTCTCCTCTGGAACGCACACACATCCCGTTCCCTCAAACAGTCCGTTCCCGATATTGTGAGAAGAGGGAGGGGAGCGGGAGGAGCGGGAGTGTTGCGGGAGGACGAGAACGGCAGGGGGAGGGGAGCGGGGCGCCTACATTGCGTGCGGTGGATGCGGCTGGTGCAGAGGAGATGCTGACTGTCGTGTAGATCGTGCATCGTGCATTGTAGGACGTAGGTCGGTACGTGCCCCGACGCCGGCGTCGGCGCCGGACGGTCTGCGGGCTTGGGGCTTGGGGCTTGGGGCTTGGGGCGCGATATCTTCCACCTTCTAACGAGTTCATCCATCCGTCGACCCGCCAATCCATCCACCCATCCACCCATTCTCGACCTTCGACACCCGTGCTCTCGGTGCTCTTGATCCCCATCTGTATCTATATTCGGTGGTCAGGACTTGGACTTGGATCTTGGATCTGGGGACTGGGAATTGGACCTTAGAACTAGGATCTTAGGACTGGGACCGTAGGCTGTCCCAGCGCCAGTGTTATCGCCATCGTCGTCAAATCGGGCGTCGTGCGTCGGACGCCCTGGCCCCGAAGACCTGAAGCCGAAGACCTGAACACCCAATGCTCAATCCTCAATGCTCAATCCTCGACCCACAATACGATACAATACGATACAACGCACAACACAATGCGCATCCCCCCTTCTCATCTTCGGTGACGTTTCGCTGCCCATCCGCCTATCCACCTATTCAGATATCCGTCCATCCACCTATCCGCCTATCCGCCTATCCAGATATTCAATGCCAGTATACAATGCCCAGCACATGGTAGTCGGTAGAGTGTAGTGTAGTGTGGGGTAAGGTATCGAGTACGCACAACACAGCCCTCGTAGCCCTCGAAGCGAAGGTTCTCATCTAAACGAATTGCTCCAAATCCAAATCCAAATTACGAGACCGGAGTGGAATGGAGGCTCGTTAGTATGAAGTGCTCTGAAACTTTGGGACAGGGTCCAACGAGGAGCTAGGAACAGCGATCTCATTGGTTCGGCCGGGATTTCTCAGCCCGCTATTGGCTGTCTGGATGTTTGTCTTTATTTGCTCGAAAAAAAGCACTTTCTCTTTTGATTGGCTGGAGTGAGCGCCTAACATCGCCAGACTTTTTACGACAAGGGCGCTACAAGTAAGTGGTCATGTGAGCCCCCTTTATAGCCCCTGATAGCAAAGGGCATAAAGAGGGCACCCAAAACTAACCAGGGGCCAAATGAGGCCAACTGTAGGTTGGGCGATGAGGCCCAATTTGCAATGCAGCACTTAGAACAGCTTGAGAGAGAGTAATTATTGTGAGGATGGCCTACAATAGTTGCCAACATCCCTTGTGCAGTGCAAGATGCCACAAAACAAGGTATGAAGCACCAAAGTTCAGATAGTTGCAATTGGGAATTCTGAACATGACTCAAATACATGTGGCCCAGGTGTTGAGTATGCCCCAGTCTTCGACGGTCTCGTACATGCCGTGCTCCTAGCATCGGCCCTCAAGCCCAAGTCCATTGATATCTATATTATAAAAGACGGCCTTTTTTCCCACGGGATAAAGACAAAGACAAACCGGTCATCTCGGGCTTGCCCTGTTTAGCTGACACGCACGCGCAAGCACCAATCAACGTCCGTGTGTACTGTCTCATTCCACGAACACGCGACGTGCCCATCAGCCAATGGCAAACGCTCATTCATTAAGGTAATTCTCCTCAACAGCATCAACAACGCTCTCATGTGCTAACGATCTCACAGGAGGGATAATGGCGCCCAACAACCAATGACGCCGACTCGACACCAACAGCAAGTCCGCCAGCACACTCGCGCTGAAGCTGAACGAGACACCCTCCAACAAAGTCCTCGACACCGGCGACGCCATGATGAGAACGCGCCGCCGCTCAACAGCGCATCCGAGACGTGCAACGCGCAGAGTGACGCTAACGCGTTCTTACCTGCGTCAATGCGGTTCGGATCTCCGGTAAGCATAGTACTCTATCACCTCTGTCTGCTCAACTAACATCCTGTAGCTTCTACCATCCCTAGGATGCTTGACCCCGTCCCAGCGTGCCAATATCTTGCAGCCGCACACGCCGGCGCTTTCTGCCGTCCACACATATAATGCCCTACCAACGCTACCCTTGACGGCAGTACGTCTTTTGTCCGGATCTGTGCCACAGGTCACCGGTATGTTTTCCATCTCTCTCGCCTTCATAGTCAGAAGAAGAAGTAAATTTCCGTAACAGAATCCGCCCCAGCGCAACGCGTATTCACTACGCCATCACAACCTGAGGATACCCACACCCAGCAGACACCAACTCCCCAACCCCGCAATCCGTCACAGTCTGACCCCGTACCCAATCGGCGGTCTCTGGCGCAACAAGCACGGCGTGCTCGCGAACGAGCCGCTAAAGACTTACACGTCTGCACGGACAGACCACAGCAGCCCACACCACCGCCGACGCAACAATGCCAACTCAATGCACCGGCGTCGCAGCCTCCGCCGAATCGCCGGTCCTTGGCTCAACAGGCCAGACGTGCGTGGGAACGCGCTTCTCGCGATACAAACCACCTTCCGCAAGAAGTACAACAGGTGCCTGCCATGGAACCACCTTCCGCGCTCCCCACGCCGCCACAGACGCAGGTGCTGCAACTCCGACCTGACTCACCGGTGTCAATGCCCCCGCCAAATCGCCGGTCTTTAGCCCAACAGGCAAGGCGCGCGCGGGAACAGGCTTCTCGCGAGGCAAACCACAGCTTGCAAGCTGTACAACCGTCGCCTCCTGCGCCCCCGTCCCCGACGCTGCAAGCGACATTGCGGTCCAGGGGTAGACCCAGAGTTACACGGGCGCAGCAGCCGACGCCACCTATAGCGCAGCACGGTGAGTCTTCGTATTGTGGTATTCTAGGCTCACGCACTAAGTATTTCTTCAGGAAACCCTCCTTCTGTCTCTGGACAGCCATCGGGTGATCACGAAAGTGCAGCACGGGCGTCAAGGCCCAGGATCACTCTGCGTAGGTTGCTCCCAGCTGCGCGGCAGCCGTATCTGGACCCCGAGGCACGGCATGACCTTGGGCGTATGAACATCGCTTGCCCGTACTGCGGGGCTTTGCATTGGGATGCCGAACGCACTGCGAAGAGCTGTCATTTTGCAACCCCAGAGTTTGGGGCTTGCTGCAATCACGGCAAGGTTGCGCTACCCCCCCTGCGGTATCCTCCTGCAACTCTTCGTGCTCTCCTTGAGGCCGACGACGCTGCTGCACGGGAGTTCAGAACCAACATCCGTGCATACAATGCTGCCCTTGCGTTTACATCGCTTGGTGTCAAGACGGACGATAGCATCAACCGGGATCCCACCAACTCCCACAGAATACGAGGTGGTCCTACATATGTATTCCGTATCCTTGGCCAGCTGTGTCATAAATTGGGGGTGCTAGAGCCTGCGCCTGGCCGAGCTCCATCTTATGCGCAATTGTATTTGTATGATCCCCAGTCTGCGCTGCAGCAGCGTATGCACCGAAACAATGAACTTCGTGCAGATACCATGGGTAGCCTTCAGAGTATGCTCACTACGCACAATCCATACGCTGCCATGTTTAAGCATGCATTCGAAGTCATGAGAGAGCACGGCGATGTTCCCGATTTCGAGGTCCGCTTTCGTGTTGACAAAGCCTCGCGTGGCATTCACCCGCGCCGTATCAACGCACCCACTGCTGACAAGGTTGCCATGGTCTTACCCGGCGATGGCACCACCACTGATTACCGCGACATCATCTTACGAAGGCGAGCCGTAAACGGGCCATGCCTCTATTGCATTCATGAGGGCCACCCTGCATACTCCCCGCTTCACTATGTCCTGCTGTTCCCGTTCGGTGAGCCTGGGTGGCAAGAAGAACTCCGCATGGTTGATCGTACTACTGGTGCATCTCTCCGCTCCCGCATCTCACAGACACGCTTCGCCGCATACCGCATGCAGGTTTGCCCTGGACAATATTCAACGCTTCTGCGAGGAGGACGTCTATTCCAGCAATGGTTGGTAGACATGTGGGCAAGCGCTGACCAGGCCCGGCTTCGTTTCCTTGCCAAAAATCAAGACGATATTCGAGCTTCTCTTTACAGTGGGCTGGAAGACGCGGTCCGAGAAGAGGCTGACCCTGATCTGACCCAGCTAGGGAAGCGCTATATCCTGCCCTCTTCATACATTGGTGGTCCGCGACACATGCAGCAACGTTTCCAGGATGCCATGGCCATCGCACGGCGCTTTCGCAAGGTCGACATCTTCATGACGGTCACCGCAAATCCAGAATGGGAAGAGATCCGGCGTGAGCTGTTACCCAGTCAGACGGCTTACGACCGACCTGATTTGGTAGCACGTGTCTTTCAGTTGAAGAAGCGGGCGATATTGGAGGAGATTCAAAGCAACGGCATATTTGGCAAGACTGTAGCCCACGTTCATACCATCGAATTCCAAAAACGCGGTCTCCCGCACATGCACATCCTCATATTTCTGGCCAACCACAATAAGCTCCTCACTCCGGAAGACATTGATTCGTGCATATCTGCGGAGTGGCCCGATCCCGTCACACAGCCAAAGCTCTTCGCAACGGTCCGCAAATGCATGGTCCATGGTCCGTGTGGCCCACATAACCCAAGTGCGCCGTGCATGGAGAATGGTCGGTGCACCAAGTTTTATCCTAAGGCGTTTCAACCGTTTATGCGCATGGACGAGGATGGCTTTCCCCTTTATCGGCGCCGCAACGATGGGCACAATCAGATCCCTGTCAACAATTGTTGGATCGTCCCGCACTGCCCTTACCTCTCAGCTAAGTTCGACTGCCACATCAATGTCGAGTGTGCTGTAATGCTGCGCTCAGTCAAATACCCATTCAAGTACATCCACAAAGGCGGGGATCGAGCTACCATTGAAATTGAAAATGACGAGATCAAGACTTATATCGAGGGCCGATACATCGCTGCGTCTGAGGCAGTTTGGCGTCTGCTGCACTTCAGCATCCATGAACAGAAGCCAAATGTTGTTCGCCTCCAGGTTCATCTCCCTGGACAGCACATGGTCACGTACGATCCGAACGAGGATGTCGCTGCAGTGATGGAGCGTGCGGCACAGGAGCGCACAACTCTGACTGAGTTTTTTGCTGCCAATCGAGACCCTGGACTGCGAGGGGCGGAAGCACAGAAGTACACCTACCAGGAGTTTCCAGAGCATTTTGTGTGGAAAGTACGAGCCAAACGCTGGGAATTGCAACGATCTGAGCTGCTTAGAGCTCAGACCTGCAATGATCCCCAATCGGGCTGTGGTATCCCCCATGCGATTGGTTGCATGTACTTCGTCTCGCCTTCTGCCGGTGAACGGTTTTACCTTCGGACTCTTCTGACAGTTGTTAAGGGCCCTAGGTCATTTGAAGACCTTCGAACATTTGAAGGAATCATTTATCCGAACTTCCGCGATGCCTGTCTTGCGCGTGGGTTGTTGGAGGACGATGGCGGATGGAGGGCATGTCTACGAGAGGCGGCAGTGATGCAAACTGGAACTCGGCTTCGACATCTATTTGCCACTCTCCTTCTATTCTGCCATCCGACTCAGCCAGAATGCCTTTGGGATGAATTTCAACACGACATATGTGATGACCTGCGCCACCGGTTGCTTCTGGCTGGACGGGCGAATGCATCTGAGGAAGAGGTTTATGATTATGGCCTCTACCTCCTTGACCGTATTCTCCAGCAGTCCGGCTGTTCCCTGCGCTGTAAGGGCAACCTCAAGATGGCCGCACAGTGCAAGCCTAGCAGAGGGAGAATCCAAAGAGATGAATAAGACTAACTACAATACATGAGAGAGCTGCTCACCTAGCAGAGGGAGAATCCAAAGAGAACAGGATGGGGATTCTCCATGCTAGGAAGCGAAGTATATACTGTAGTAGCGTGGGAGGAATGAAGGGTAACTGTACAGTACACCAGCCACAGGTACGAACAAATATCACAAGGTACGAGGGGGCATGTGATAATGAAGTGGAAGGGGAATGTACAGGAGCCGTGCCAGCGACCTGGGGGAGTGGGGACAAGGAGTAATGAAGTGGGAAAGGAGGATAGAGGTAGCCCGGACGAGCCCCGAAGTGTATCTACGAGTCCGAGCGAGTCCGAGCGAGTCCGAGGCGTCCGAAGCGCGGGAAGACTTCGGAGTCACCGGACGAGGCTCGGATGCGAAGGGGGTGAACGGAAGGGAAGCGGAAAGGAAAGGGGACGAAAGGAAAGGAAAGGGAATGAAAGAAAGAGGAAAGGGACGAGGAGGAAGGGGACAGGACAGGGGGAAAAGGGGAAAATAGGAGTGTCCCCTTACATGCGCGACTTCGAGACAATGCCACATTGGACTGGTGACTGGGCTCGCCTCACAGATAACCCATTGATCGCCGAACAGCTCAATTATAACCGTCAGCAGGAGCAGCTACAAGCAGAGGCTCGAGTCCAGCAGCTTAATGGCGACCAGCGGGTCGCCTTTGATTGCATCATGGAATCAGTCGAGCAGGATCACGGATGGACTTTTTTTCTCGATGGACCGGGTGGTACGGGCAAAACGTTCATCTACAACACACTTTGCCATCGTATACGCAGCGAGGGATGGATTGTCCTTTGCGTTGCTTCTTCCGGCATCGCCGCTTTGCTCATGATTGGAGGCCGTACAGCTTACTCGCGCTTCAAAATCCCCATTGAAGGTTTGACCGACGGCTCTGTCTGCTCAATCAACAAGGAGAGTCACCTGGGCGGCCTCCTTCGTGTTACAAGACTGATCCTATGGGATGAGGCCTTGATGCAACATCGTTTCACCCACGAGGCCCTCGATCGCTCATTACGCGACATTTGTAATTGTGATCGTCCATTTGGTGGCATCACAGTGGTGTTTGGCGGCGATTTTCAGCAGACACTTCCAGTAGTTCCGAAAGGTACTCAGGAGAAAATCATTGCGGCTTCCTTACCTCGATCATACCTGTGGCGGTTCATTCGGGATGAGCAGGTTGATCGTGTACTCCGACTGCGTCAAAACATGCGACTTGATGCTGGTGCTGAAGAGGCCGAGTTCGCGCAATGGCTTCTGAAGGTTGGGCATGGACATGGGATTGCTGAGGACGGTACCATCACAATCCCCGAGGACATGAGGTGTGCTGACATCAAAGACCTTACTGACTTCGTTTATCCCGGAATTGATGGAGTTACCCCACCGCCGGAGTATTTTCTCGAGCGCACGATCCTTGCGGCACGCAATACCGACGTTGATGACCTAAATGAGGCCATACTTGAACAGATGGCTGGCGTAACGAGGACGTACGTGAGCGCTGACTCCATCGAGAATGCAGACGGTTCGCAGGAGGAACGGGTGAACGAGATCCCGATTGAGTACCTTCGCACCCTGATGGCACCAGGGCTTCCTCCGGGCATCCTCTCCATCAAACCCGGATGCCCTCTCATCCTCCTTCGCAATCTCTCTCCTGACCGCGGACTGTGCAATGGCTCTCGGATGATCGTCCGTCGCACGGGAGACCGCGTACTGGAGGCTCAAGTGATTGGCGGGCAATTTCATGGTGAGATTGTGTTCATCCCTCGAATTACCCTCACACCCTCGGGTAAGGACGCCGAGTTTGCGTTTTCACTCAAACGGCGTCAATTTCCTGTGAGGCTTGCATTCGCAATGACCATCAACAAGGCTCAAGGACAATCTGTCAGATTTGTCGGCCTGGATCTGCGAGTACCTGTATTCTCGCATGGGCAACTCTATGTGGCCCTCTCCCGCGCCACATCCCGGCATCGCGTGAAGGTTCTCCTTGCAGAAACTGCCATGGAGTCGCGAACAATCAATATTGTGTATCCTGAAGTTCTCATGGATTAGAGTATTGTTTTGTCATTCCATATAGAATCTTCTATACAATTGTGCAAGTCATTGGATGAGAACCGAGTGAGTTGGAGAGCGTGTCTGGCGCTGTTACCTGATATGGCGCAAGCACTGCTTGCTCCTGACCATGACCGCCGGCGATTTAGCCAACATTCTCGAAATTTCCACTCTCCTTCTCGCTGTTTCCGCTGATGCTCACCACATTCAACAATGACGACAGTCTCATCGCAATCAACCGAATATTCGAGAACCTCTCCAAACGATAAAAACCGCTGCGGGTCGGACGCTGCGCACATCTGAGTCGTGCTTCAAACTCTTCACCTTCCGTGTCCACCATGTCCTCTCAAGCTTCTGCCACCATCACTGGGCTTGCTGTATTGGAAAACCCTCGCTTTTACGACACCAAACAATCCAACTCATTTGTCTTTGATGCACAATTCTATCTCGCTCCCCATGTCACGCTGGTAGCGCAGCTGCGGTACTACAATGCTAAAGGAGATCATTTCGATCCAATGGGGCAGTATGTAGTTTGCTCGACGGTGCGTCAACAACAGTCAGCTTCATTTTGTGATGCAATTGAACTGACGATGTACCAAATTAGATCGCCAAAACTCAGAAAGGCGCAAAATTAGGTAGCCTTGATATCAAACCGGAGGAATATCATGTTGTTGGGGACATCATCTGGGTACGTCGACTTCTGGTGTTCTACATGTGGCCGCTCCCTGAAATCATCGTTGCAGCTCATTCGTGTGTCAGCAACTAAGCAGCAACTTCGTAACCGGCCTTGGATCTCAGTCTCGGGAGCAGCGATTATCCCCTCAAAAGATAGCGGCACTTTCCAGGTGAACGCTGTGCAGTTCACTCATGCCAACCGCAACACGGGTCACCCGTCCACAATGCCTATTGAAGCCATGTTTCCCGACACACCCCGCTACGCGAAAAAGCCCATTCCCAAGCCAAACACCTATGTGACCCTAGGCGGCTTTCTCTCGCGATACACCAAAAAAAACAACATTCCTGATCGCTTCTACATTGAAGTGGATCATGTTGTTTTCCTGGGGTGTTCGCAGATTCCCGTTGAAACACCTGGTATGTGGTTTTTGATATGGTGTGATAGTCTTGCAATAGCCAGCTCAATGATTTCAACAGGAAAATCTCCATTCGAGGGAAGTTGTCGCAAACGCAAGCAAGGACTCAAGTTTTCGTTTGACGATGATGATGATGACGACGACGACGAGAAAGACCTGGAGACTCCTTGCAAAAAGGCCAGATTGTCCGGTGATACTGGCTCCAGTCTCTTTGGTGGCATGAAGCCTATAACGGGGCCTTTGAATTCATTATCCGACACTTCCTCTGAGTAGTACTTTAGCTTATTATAATTTTATTTTGTACAACTTTGGTAATTATGCAAGCACAATCTATTTGCTGTGATGTATGATCAATGATCAATGACCTTCTCCGTGCGTAGCATGGGTTAGCTGCTAGTAGATATAGATACAAAGCATCGCAGTCTTGAGTCCCCTGATACAACTCCGCGCGGTCGACCATTATTCCGAGGGTCCGCTTTGGGTAATAGAGATCGGGAACGGCGCAGAACACCCTTTGGACTCCGAACACCATGTCGGTGCTGCAACCCGCACACATCGCGCTATTAATCTTCCTGGAATAATTGGAGTTGCAAACATTGGGCTGCTGAGAACCCACTTTACTTGTTTCGTTTGAGCTCGACACATTAGCAAAACATTCAGGTTATGACAATGACTCAGTATATTCCATACATCCTCCCAGAACAGCCCCGCTGTGTCCCCTTCATTAGGTAGGAGTGAATTTTGATTCTTTGTTCTTTACCAGTCAAGGGGGCGCACCACCCCGCCGTTAACAAGGAGTATTCGAGGGCCGAGTCCCGCCATTTGCCCAATTTGGCATTAAGGCCAGAGAAACTCGCACTGTACCCAATATCCGAGTTGTATCAGGGGACTACATACTCAAAGCATCGTACATATAAAGTTAAAGTTAAAGTAATGTACACGTAAAGTCAAAGCCCTCGCACATAATCGCCCAACGTCCCCCACGTCCCGTGTACCTTGTCCACGCAACCCGGGCACGCCACCGTCTTCGTCACCGTCTTCGTCACCGCCGTCATTCCCGCACACTACACTACACTACTAGTATACACAGCTCAAGCCCGAACTCGAGTTTGCGCCCGAGTTTGGGTCCGCGTCCGATCTTGCGTCCAAGCCCGATTTTGCGTCCAAACCCGAGTCTGCGTCCGAGTCCTCTGAGTAAACAGTCGCCACCCTTGCCTCACAGCACCGCAGATCAGCGCGGAAGTACTCCCGGCACAGGTACATCCCCCACGCGGCGTGGAACTCGCGCAGCGGCGCTGGCGCGGGCTCGTGCGGCCACTCCTGTGCGCAAAGGCAGATGCAAAGGAAAATGCAGATGCAAAGGAAAAAGCAGATGCAAAGGGAAAGGAAAAAGTAAGGGTCAGTACGCAGCATCCTCGTAAAGACACACAGAGCAAGAGCAAGAGCAAGATGACGAGAAAGAGGACAAGAAAGAGACTCACCCTGCCCCTGCGCCTCAGCGCCCGTACGCGGAGGGCGCGCACAGCAGGGAACGCCGCAGCGAGCACATCGATGGCCGCATCGTCAATCTCCGCGACTTCCATATCCAAAACCCGCACGCTCGCGCTCCTGAAGAAGGCGCACACCCGCGCGAGGTCCCTGGGCGTCGCGCGGCGCGTGAAGCACCCGGCGAGGCGCAGCTCCGCCAGCCGCGGCGCGTCCAGCGTCCCGCCCCACACCGTGTCGGCCTGTGCAGCTTGTACAGCTTGGGCGGCGTGGGCGGTCGCCTGGAGCTCCACGCGCAGGATGCGCAGGGTCGGGAGGTGCAGGAAGCTGAACCACGGGGCGCCCACTTCCGTCGTCGCGGGCATCCACACATGCAGCGACAGCTCCGTGAGCGCGGGGTAGTTGGCGTTGATGGACGCGACTGGCTTGAGATCCCCGAACCGCACGTCGAGCGCGAGCGTGCGCAGCGCAGGCATGACGACTATCTCGACGGTCAGAATCGGCGCTGTGCCCCCCCGCAGAATCGCAAGCGCGACTCACCATCGTTGGCAAACGCAGACGTCGTGAGGCGCTTGATCGTGGATCTGAACGTCAATGTCTCCAATGCGGGACCGAGCGTCGCGAACAGCGCGTGGATCCTCCTGAAGTCGACCTTCTTGCGCGGGAAGCGGCGCCAATACCGCACAACCACGATCGACAGCTCCTTCACGCACGGCGCGGCGACATGGGGTGCGAGGTCCAGCAGCACCTCGAGCTTCGTGACGTCCACTTCGAGCTCCAGCGCAATAACAGATTGCGGGCGGGGCACGCGGTGCCAAAGCCCCTGCGTGAATCTGCGCTCGAAGCGGTCGTAGCGATTCGCCGTCCCGCAGAGGACGAGCCGGACTTTGCTGAGTGCCCGCGCGCGCTCGACGACGCAGAACAAAGCATAGGCGAGCTCCTGCGCGCGCGTGCGGTCGAAGGGGATCGCGACGTTGCCGGCGGATGTGGCGCCCATATCGGTGCACGCGTAGAACGTGTGCAGCATCTCCAGCTGGTCCATGCAGACCGTGATGTGTCTGATGCGCCCCGCGAGCTCGGGGGACCTGCCAAAACCAAGTACAAAGTACACATTCTCGCGTTAGTGAGCGTGCGCAACAACAACGGGCCTTACGCGCGGAGTACTTACATCGCAGCGCCGACGAACCGCACCAGCGCGTCGAATTTGTGCGTCTCGTCGTCGGCGATGCCCGCGATCTGGAGGTGGTGGAACCGGTGGTCGAGCGCGACGGCGTAGAACAGGGAGTTGACGCGCCGGACGCGCATGACTTCGGTGGGTGGGAGATGCGAGAGGACGTTGCACCATACGTCTGTGGGGAGCACCGCTGGTGAGGCTGGTGTCTGTGGCAGCGAAGGCACCGGGGAAGATGCAAGAGGGAGCAAATCTCTGTTGCTTGCAGCCATGTTCTGGGGCACGGGTATTGTGGAATATGATGGTGGGTGGGCGAAGGAGGGAGAGGACGGGAAAGTGGCTTCGAGGACGACCTGGGATGGACAAACGAACTCTGCCACTGTGGAATTCAACTCCGCGGCTGGCCAGTGGCAATTGGCCACTTACTGCATGTGGTAATATAATATACCGAGGCCATTGCCCGCCGTTGGACAAGCAATCACCGACAATGAGTTGTCCGGGAGAGACTAGCCTTTCTACCGCATCTAAAGTGTTTTCTGGAGGTAATCAATGACTCGTAGAGGCGCCTATCAGCCTCGGGCCTCGAGCTGAGCCCCAAAGTCCTGGGCACAAAGAGACGTCAAGCTCTAGAATCAAGTCAAATCAGTCAAGCGAAGAGTTACTCACCGTCGCGACACCGTCCAAAATGCGCCACCAGTAAGCCGTGCTGCACACACACGCATTCAAGGGCCTCTGTTCCAGAAATCAACGCAGGAGCCGTCCTCAGCAGCGTTCTATGACCTACGTCGTTGTGAGCGGACCTGCTCGAGATGTGCTAGTGGATCCCGAGGTCAAATGTAGAATGTAGTATGTACAGCACAGACGGCAAGAGGATGGTAGAGCACTGCATGCATAGATCTATCGAATATCGTGAGTGCTGGAAATCCTCAGAACGTAGATACTATTTCCCTGCTTACCTTGTCGCCTCGCTCCCGGAAAGTACCTGTCTGCCTACATCACTTTAACATTGGTAAACCATGAAACATCGGCTTCGGCCGGGCTCGTATATTCGAGTTGTCTTGAAGATATCGATGTCGTGCTTGCTCACTGTCTACCACGCCAGCAGTCAAGGGCGGAAAAGCGATTCAAAGCCCCAGGGCAGTCCCTAAGCTCTCCCTCACCCGGACCCATGATTTACTTGCTTCCCCTTGCTCTTTCTTCGTCGTTCGTTCTCCGTTCTCCTTCTTTTCAGCAACCGGAGGGCATTCGCGACTCTTGCCTGTTGTGTGAAAACATCCATATAACCGACACTGCTTCATCATTCACATCCCAGGCTTGAAGTAGATCAACACTGATGAGAGGACTCGGATTCGTAGCAGTGATGGACTTGTGGAAGCGATTGTCCGTTGTCGAGCCCTCTATACTCTATGGTGGGCTCAGAGCGGTGGAAGGAAACAGACCATAGTCGGCGCTGGGCTAGATTCCGATGGAGAGCAGTAACCAGGCACGGAAATTGGACTGCGGCCCTATACGACGATTCTGTTCTCTACAGCCAAGGGGTGTTCGGGCAATGACACTGGCCGTGGTATTGGTGGAGGGCTTATGTTGAAGTAGCGCCCACCGATGTTGTTTGGCCGCTGCGGAAGTTGATCCAAACATTCGTATCCGACGTAGCTTCCTTCTTCCTTCCACCGAGTCCTTACTTCCACTCAACTTCAACCGCAGGTAAGGTACTTTAATACTGCATTGAATGCAGGCCACTTTATCATGCAGATCATAGAAGGAAGAGATTAATCCCTTGATTCTCAACAGCAATCGCGTAGGCCCCCGCTTCCGATTAACTTATCGGTATGATCATCGCGTGTCTCGAGGACGGACTGAAGTACGATCGGGCTGGGTTGAAGAACATTGAAGGGTGCTTACTCCCTGGCAACCCGGGTGTGGAACAAAATATGCCGGCCGCGCCCCTTCCGCAAGCTTCGCATAATGCTATGCAACACATATTTCTAACCCCACTTCGTCGGCTGATTCCTCCCTGCGTTCTTCTGCTCCGCATCTCTGCAAATATGTCTCTGAACTCAGTATTCATATGTAGACGTGGTGGTCACATAGAGGGTGATGTTGACGTTTTCACGTTGGCGTCAGCTGGACTCTGTGACGAGAAGTGGAAGAACTTACAAAGGCGGCATAATGCTTCTCTCCTGCTGAAAAAGAAACCAAGTTGGATAGACTGTGAGAATTCCCTTATCAAGTGGAGGTCCGCCGGTCCTTCACAGTGATTCCAATAGGCGTCGGGACTCGAAAGAAGGTGAACTTGGCCGTGTTCGCAATCAGGAATGAGTTACAAGTCGTCGCTGTCGCCAATCAAGTTCTGGTACTTATCTTCTGCGCAGAGTGAAATATTCCCCGGCTGTCGTTTTCTTGTTCTTACCGAAGAATACTTCTTAGGTTCCCGATTTCAAAGGAAGAAACTCTGAGAGCTCGCAATCAAGAAACTACAAAACTCCTTTACATGAGGTCGTACGTGCCCCCGAGCCTCGTTCGTGCTCATGACAAAAAGATTAACAACTGCGCAGAGGTACATTTCATCCGTTGACGACCGACCAGTCCTCCAATCCGTACAGACATAACTTGGAACTCTGCACATATAGATTGCCCATATAGCCATAGAAGAAGGTGCAGCGGGGTCAGATTCCACCTAGAAACGTCACTTACATTCGATGACTTCGAACCCTCTAGCTATGCAATCATTCCGCCTGGGCTCAGGTCCCCTCGGTATAGGTCTAATCCTATTTACGAACCCGTAGGCACTGAAACGCCATCCTGCTCCACTGGTTATTCTTCCTTGGTTCTTCTCGTGGGGAATGGGACGTTTTTTGACGATCAATTGTACCTGCGATCTTTCACATAACTCTATGATAGTGGAACAACTCGGCTTCTAGTTGAATTTTTGTACAAGGCTGAAGAATTCTGGACGAAGAAGTTACACTGTGAGGCTTAATTGAGAAAGGCGCGCACACCCGGAACGACTCGTGAGTAGGAGCTTTTGTACGGATGCAGGCAGCGGCAGAGGCGCAACAACTCCACATCGTCTTTTCTTCCCCATGACGTGCATTGTAGGTCGTACGGTTGGCGACGCCATTCCCCGAGAAGCACCAATAAATGAGATAGAACTAGGTAATGCAAGCTTCCACGAACTTCCCCTAGTGGGTAAGGGGCAATCTTTCGAATGCTGGGTGGATGCTCCACGCCCCATCCAGGCATCGAGAGAAGTAGATTCGGCGTCCCTCGGGATAGCTGGCCATCCGGCTGAAAATCGAACCAGAGAATACGATGCCAGGATTGCCGATTCCTGCTTAGAGGAGAAGAGGCGAAGCGAGCACTAAGTTCATGACTACGGACGCAGAGAGCAACGTGCGTGGCCTTCCCTTCTCCGAACTCTCGGCGGGACCACGATGTCTCTCCCCCCTTTCTGGCCAAAGTCGAAAGGCTATAGGCCGCGTACTCATCATGTGCATTGGTGAGGTAAGCCCATCATGCAAGCGTGTAATATGGTGTAGGGTTGGCACCCTGTTCAAGCCTTGATTCATGGTTTATTGTACGTATACTATCGTTTCGTTTACTTCCTGTTTCGGTCCGTCATCAGCTGCGGCCGCATTCTATGTTAGGTACTAGATTACTTACTTACACATGCGCATTCTGCATGTCTAGTTACATGTAGTACAAGTATATATAGTACCTACATATCTACCTACAATAATAAGAAGAAGAAGTTTCCCCTTTCCTCCGTTGCGTTGCGTTTGAGTCGAGTCCAGCAGTCGCACGCGGCGCTGCTTGGTTGCGTTCCGTTCTCCGTTCCGTTCGTCACGTGGCGTTCGGTTTCGTTCCTTCTCACTTCGCTTTTGGTGGGAACACCACCCATTCCCAGTCCTCGCATGCACACAAGCGAATACGACTTCGCACCTACAATGGGGGATAATAGCGCAGAAAAAGGAGCCATGAACGAGGGCTAGAGTGGAAAAGGAGACGGTTGAGGTTACCCCGTCGTGGCTGGCACAGCAAAACTCCAGCTGTGTAGTTCGAAGGCACTGAAGCCTGTGCCCAGACCAAGGTGAATCGATAAAGAGTGCCGCACCCGTGAACAGTGTAAATAAACATAGATAGGCGCAGAGCTTTAGCGGACACGCATGTTTGCGAGACTAACTAGATAAATAAAAGGCAAGATCCCCATCGCGTGGACAACCAGTACTTAGTTCGCTGGTCCTCTACTTACTCCTCTTTCTCACAATAATCCATCACGGCCAAACCTAATTTTCGCCGTCAGCATTTTATTGGCCCTAAGATCTAAGACCTATTCGGTTCGTCCCACGGGGAAGGTAAGTACCGTTACGAGAGGAGCGCTCAAGAGTAATGGCCTATTTCCCCCAATACCCACTACCCCAAACGACTCAGAGAGATGGACGTCAACAGCCGTCTCCTCTTCTACGCTTCTCTCGCAGCATCTATACCACTTCTAGCCTGGAATCTCACCAAATCAAACAGAAAGATACCACTTCCACCGGGTCCCCCAGCAGACCCTATAATTGGCCACCTACTTCGGTTTCCCTCAGAAAATCCAGAACTTGTATTCCATGAATGGTCGAAGCAGTACGGTAAGCTACTTTTCTGGCGACGAGTTTTGTAATCAGTGATGATCTTGATTCATCTTGATTTAGGTGATGTGATCCACCTCTCCGTGCTTGGGCGGTCTATCATCGTTCTAGATAGCCACCAAGTGGCTATAGATCTTCTGGAAAAGCGGAGCGCACTCTACAGCGATAGGCCCAGGTTCCTCGTCTTCGACTTGTATGTTCTTGTTGTATCATCAAAATTGAGTTGTTCCTAACACGAAATGCTGCTTCCCTGCAGGATGGGATGGGACCCCGATGTTGTTTTCATGTCGTACGGTCAGCGCTTCAGGAAGCACCGCAAGCTCTTCCACGCGTACTTTATGCAGAAGTCGTGTCTCCAGTTCCAGCCCGTGCAGTTACACAACGCCCACCTCCTTGTCCATGGGCTCATGAGGAACGAAGGAAACCACAATCAGCTATTAGCTAGGTTCGACTTTGTTAGCATCACATTAGGTCGCAGCGCTGAGTACCTGCCCCTGCTTGTAGATTCACCACCGCCGTCGCCATCAGGATCGCGTACGGTCATCAAATAGTCTCGGACGACGACGAGTACATTGACATTCTCGACACGATGGGTACCGCTGTCCGTGCGGGGGGCTTACCGGGAGCAACAGCCATAGACGCGTTCCCTATCTGTATGTACATTGTAGGTACGCCGCCGGTTACGAGCGTGGAAGCGAGGGTGGAGGGAGATGCTCCGAAAGACGGAACGAGGTCGTTAGGTCGTAGAGGAGGAGACGCGTGAGAGGACGGAAAGAGACAAGGCCTACTAACGCCGCGTGCGCTAGTGGACTCGGAATCGGACTCGCAGAGAGGTAACTGTGTTATTATGATCGTAGTACCGTAGCTTTATATACAACAATACACGAGGCTAGTAGTAATTTAAAACGAGGAATCAGCATTCCTCAGTAAGTAAATGTAAGGTAAGGGATACATAAGAAAGACACCCAGATACTTATCTAGCCGGCGCGCAGCAGCTCGTGTCGAGTGCTCCGGCCGTCGTAATGGGAAGTAAACGTACAGTGCTTTCGTTGACAATAGACCGTATATCCGACGTTGGTTGGATCGCCAACCCTACATCTCCCGGGGTCCTTTAGAAGTTGACCCTCCGTGGTCAACACCAGGTTCAACCAGCGTTCGAGCTTCCATCTCGTTTGGAGTGTGCGCGTATAGAACCGATGCGTGATGTGGTCGTGAGCGTGTAATACCGTGAACATCCCATTGTTGTCCCGTTAACCGCGTTCGCGTGATATGATGATGCGATGCGAGCCGCGAGTGATGTGAGAGGGAGGGAGGGAGGGATATGATGTTTGAAGACGACGGCAGCGGTACTGTACCAGTAACGTCTACAGTTTTCGACGTGCTGGTCCTTGGTGGTAGCCGGAGTACCGTCGTCTCGGGTACTGCTCGTGATGGTTGCAGTCGGTTCGATCTGCGCTGCGGTCGCTTTCGGAAAAGAGTACGGTCGTTGTGGAGGCGAGTAAGAGGGCTGGGAACGTTCGACGTTGATGCGTAAGCCTAGCTGGCTAGCTTCATCGTGAACTGGTGGTGGTGTTATTCCCGGAGTCGCGCCTGACCATAGTTTTGAAAGGACCGCGATCTTGTGCGAGAGGAGTCTTGACGTGGTGTAATACCGGCTGTCAAGGCACGGGGGTGACCTAGGAAGAGAAGGGAAGGGTAAGAGGATGGATGTAAGGTAAGAGGGGGGGCAGGATTAAGAAAGGGATCCAGTACGAACAAGGAGAAACACATATACAACTATATCTATGTTATGTAGAATATGATTGTTTTGGTGTTTTTGATTTGTAAGTAATGAGGTGGGGTTTGGAGAGAAGAGACGAAGAGATTGCGAGAAAAGGTGGATGGATGATGTAGTACGTAGATGAGAGAGAACAGGGGAGCGAAGAAAAAGAAAGGGAAAGGGGAAGAGGGGTTTTACGAATTAATCAAGTTCGTCGGTGGATGGAATGGGGGTAGGTAATTGATCTGGGTTGCGTGGAAAGTAGGGAACGAGGCGATTGGTGGAGTAGCGATGTTTGGAAACGGTGCCGTCTAGTTCCATGAGCTCGTAGGTGCCGGCTGCTTTTTGGCGAACGACGCGCAATGGTCCGAAGTATCTAGCGCGATATTTTCCCGACAAGTCTTTGTCGCGCGCGGCGTCTCGGACGAGGACGAGATCGCCTGGTTTGAACTTGAATGTCCGGATTACTTCGGCGTACTTCTTCTCGAATTCTTGGACGCTTCGAAGGCGAGCTTTGAGGACTCGTTGCTTCATTAATTCGATGTCGGCGGGTCGTTTTTGTAGCTGTCGTGCCCGGTGAGCAAGGAGTTCGTTGGTAGTAAGATCCTGCGAGGGTAAGGGAACAAGGTGAGTAGCTTCGTGTACATCTAGTGGGAGGATTGGTTCCGTCCCATGAACCATGTAGTACGGCGAGTAGCCTGTTGCTTTGTTGATCGTTACTCGTTCTGCCCAAAATACCGCTGGTGCGACGTCCAGCCATTTCCGTTCGTTGTGCTTCGTCATCTTAGCTAACGCTTCCCGTACATCCCGATGTCTTCGTTCAACGAGGCCGTTCGATTTGGAGTTGTATGGCGATATCCGGATGTGGTTGATGCCGTAGCGTTTGGCGAGCCAGTCGAGAGCTGCGACATAAGGTGTGCCATTGTCAGTAACGATCTCGGAGATAGCTCCCCATCTGCAGAGGATTTCCTCGAATATGAACGATCCTATTGCTCTCGCCGTCTCCTTTCGAAGAGGCCGCCATTCAGGCCATCCCGTAAGCGAACAGCGCGCATGTACGAGGTGTTCATACTGATTGTACTTGGGGAGGCGCATGGTGTCGATGTGGACGCGGTGGAATAGGCCGGCGGGGATTGTTGGTGTTGGTGGAATAAAGTACTTGGCCATGGAGCGAACTTGGCATTCGTGGCAGGTATTGAGGTACCATTTCACGTCTCTGTCGAGTCCTGGCCACCAGAATCGTTCCAGTAACCGCGTTCGGACTACGAACTTTCCTTTGTGTCCTAGCTCGTCATGTACTTGCCGTAAGAGTTCGAGTCGTCGTCCATAAGGTACGTAGATCCGATGCTTGCCGTCTATTGACTTCTTCCAGAGTTTGCCTTCGCGAATGAAAAAGTCGAGGACCGTTCGGAGGAACCGTGTCTTGAGTACTGGAGTCGATATCTTCTTGGGTAACTGGTGAGTTCGCAGGAATTCTTCGACGTCGATCATCCTTTGGTCCTGTTCAAGGTCTTGCTTTATTCGGGGAATGGTTGTCGTGTCGGCTGGGAGTGTCGTTGAAAAGATCGAAGGGGTTGGGATATCGAGGTTTTGCCGCCATGATTGTGGCGGCGGAAGAGATTGATCCTGTATGACGAACATAAAACCGTCAGCTTCGCTAATATACCCTTCTACATCTGCTGGTGGATCTTCTTTAGCTCGTGGTCGTCGTGATAGTCCATCTGCTGGTGCATGATCTTTAGCCGGTACGTGGCGTAGCTTGAAATCAAAGTTCAGTATGCCTGCTATCCAGCGATTGAGTGTCGCGTTAGGGTGGATGTCAGGGTTATTGATCATCCCCTTGATATACTTAGCGTCGACCTCAACCGTAAGATTCTTAACGCCAATGATCCATAACTTGACCGCATTCAGGGCACGGAAGAGTCCATAAAGTTCGAGCTTCGCTTGAGAGTAACGAGCTTCGCGATCATTCCAGGTGATGCTGCCGAACCGTGAGGGATATCGTCGGCCGTCGTCGCCCATTTGCGAAAGGATGTAGCCAACCGCAATGTTTGATGAGTCGACCGCAAGGATGACTTCGTTGTCGCTCTTGTAATTGATCGCACGGATTGCGGGGGAGGTGATTGCCAGTCGCTTCAGCGTGTCCATCGCGTTCTGCTGTTCAGGACCCCATACGAACTCCGTATCCTTCTTGGTGAGCTGTACGAGGGGCTTCGCATATGAAGCAAAGTTCTTGATGAAGATGCGGATGACGCCTAAGGTTCCTAGAAAACCACGAACTTCTGTTAGCGTAGTACACGGGGGCCAGTCCTTAATCTTTTGGACGCGAGTTTCGTCCGGTTCTCTGCCATTATATGTGCATATGTGCCCTACAATGTCAGCGCGTTGCAAACACATTCGAAGCTTGATGCCGCTGATAGTGGCACCGAACTTGAGCAACCGATGAGCTATCCGAGCCATGTTCGTGAGGTGCTCGTATACAAACCGTCGAATGCCTGGGTTCTCGGGAAGAACCTCGTATCCGCCGGTAGGTAACTCGTATCGTGTCTTGGGGCCTTTGACTGGAATGTCGTCCATGAATGGGTCAGTAACGTGAGGGATTTCGTCGTGGAGGATGAAGGTGATGTCGCCTTGCTGAACCTGTGGGGAGTTAGTATATCCCATTGGCATCTTCGTCAGTCGTAATGCGCCTAACGGCGTCTGAAACGTAGTCATGTCGCGTGATCGCTCATCGAGCTTTCGTTGGTCATACCCAACAAATAGATCATACAGACCGTAGCATCCTCGTCCGCCGAAGGACTCAGCAAAGGGCTCGACTCGTGGTAGAGACGCCGAATCCTTGATAGCTACTGCGTTGAGCGGCTGGAGATCGTGTACGAGCCGCAGAGATTTGCCGTCCTTCTTGAGAACGCAAAACCACCGCGACCGATATGATGAGCTTGATGGTTCGTATACGCCGCTTGCCATTTTCGCCTTGATGATTCGTATGAATTCTTCGTAAAGACCGGGGGGAATGGGCATGTTCTTCAACACCCATGGTACGTGTTCTATAACTGGCATTAGTACGGGGGGTAAGTATTCATCCTTGAGAGCTCCTTTCTCGGATTCATCCCAAGCGAACGCCATCTCGTTTGCGCGGATGATGTGATGGATGAGATTGACTTCGTCTGGCCATAGCCAGCCTTCTGGATCGATATTCTGTTTATCGTGCCGTTCTTGAGTATACCGTGATCCTGGCTCGAACCTTGGTGGATTCTTTGGCGGCGGTCGGAAATCGTCGAGAATGTTGGGTGGTTCCTTGCGTACGATTCGGAATTCTTCAGGTAGTGTCGTGGCGACCGGTTTGACACGTCTGGCTGCCGGTTTATAGATCTTCTTTGCCGAAATGAAAGTCGCTGCATTGGTTTCGGTGGAGATAGAACTAAAAAGGTTAGCTAGCGCATCGACATCATTCCACGAGAACTCGGTATAAAATCCGCTCCGAGTAACACCATTCTCGGTGATCAGCACATATCCTTCAGATATGGCCGTCTGAGTAGGGGCTTTATCGTCATGCGCGGGGAAAAGGAATTGGACGGGGGATGTCATGGTAGTGGATGGAATGAATGTATGTACAGAAGGAGTGGTAGGTGGTGGTGGATTTAAGTCCGTTGCGAAGTTACCTGTTGCCTGTTGCGAAACCTGGTGAAGTGCGTTGTCTCCCCTTAAAGGCTCATCGACTTGTGAAAAGCTTCGCACTGTTCAACTGGCTCTGGGGGTCGTCTCAGTCGTAAGCCTGTCGGAATCATCTGCCGGTGTCCTGTCGTTGGATCTCGTAATGTGATGTCGCTACGTCCGTCTGGGTAATCCTGGGTGATAGCCGACAATACACAGTGAAATGGTCGTCCGAGGAGGATGTCGTATGGCGCGTTTTCGACGATCTGGAAATGTACGTATATCCGTATGCCGGCGACATCGAACCGAACATTCTTGAATAAACCTAAAGTCTTATCCCGAGAGCTGTTAGCTGATTCCATAGTACATCCTTCGTCTAAAGAAACCCCCATGTTAAGGAGTTCCCAGACGCCGCGCCGCATCGCAACTATCTCAGATCCTGAGTCAACAATGGCCTCTACGCGCAGCTTTTCTTCGATGACCGGATAGATTACTCGCAAGGGTTCGATTGAGCGGGCCGAGGCAATAGCATTGTGAAAGGACTGGACGACGGGGACCTTGACATTGTCATCGACTTGATAGAGTGATGCGATGCCGGCGTCATCGTCTTCGTCTTGCGTTTCTGGCGCTTTACAGTGTTCGCAGGTGTGGATGGTGACCGTTGCCTCCTGGGGGACTCGCTTGGGCTGCAGTTGCTCTCGAATGCCCTTGCCTACGTCGGGGGCTATGGCTAGCAACTCCTTCATGTCCATCTGGACCGTTCCTTGCAGCGCTCGTTGAATAACCGCATCTACAATCTTCGGGTCTTCAATACTTGACTGATATCTGTGGGAGGTACGAGGGTTAGTAGCCGTGTCTTGCGTGATTGTTGCCGATGCTGTCGGGTTTCGCGACTCTTTCTTGGTGCGATTGACGCCGTTCGCAAGTATTTGCCGTAGATTTGCTACCTCGGAGCTAGATAACTGGTACGCATTTGTTAGTTCCGCTACTTTTGCGTCAGTGTCCGAATCCGCTGTTTGTACGTGGCTGACAGTAACAATATTAGATGACGCCGTTGCCGTAGAAGTTGCTCGGTGACCAGGGTTGTCGATGTGCCAGTTGTCGATCTGTTCTTTGAGGAATGTTCCTCGCATGGCGCGGTTGATTTCTATTCCTGTCGGCGTCGCATACTTATTGTTCTCGTTTCGTTTCATCAGACCTTCGCTTTCGTACCGACGTGCCTCATTGCAGAATCGCAGATAGTGATCTTGTCCGCCGCAAAAGAGGCATCCTGATGGTCGTGGGGGTCGTAATGCTGGTGCCGTGGTCGCTGTTTGTTGCGGAGCCTGTGAAGTCGATGGAGTAGCTGGTGCCGCCGCTACTCGTTGCTGAGAGAGTTGAGAGACGAACTGGGACATCGCTTCTTGGACTGCAGTCCGCATCATGAGCTGGAAATCAGGTTCGGTTTTGACGGCTATCGCTGGTGGCGGTGTGCTTCCTGAGCGGACGGTTGATGCTTTCGTGAGGCCTAGTCCGCCGTTGTAGATGAAAAGTAACGCCTTGTAGACGTTCTGCAGCGTGTATACCTCTTTTCGCGCCTTCTTGGGCTCCCAGGCGAGAAGGATGTTGTCTACCTTCGCGACGATGTCTTCTGGAAACGGACTGAGGAAGTAGTCGACCGCTTGGCGGGTGCTAACGGTTTCCGATTCCTGTAACGTTACCACGAGGTTAGTAAACTTGCGCTGATATTGACCTAGCTTCGGGACCGTCATGACTGCGATCTTGGATGTTTCTTCGATGAGTTGGAGGAGTTCTGAGAGGTCTGCTGTTTCGCTGTCCCGCGAACCCGGGTATTGCTCATAGATGGCGTTCTTGAATTCGTTCCAGTTGTCGAGGTGCTCCTTTGCGATGCGGGCCCATGTCCTATACTCAGTGGTTCCAACGTATCGGCACGCATACATTACCTTTGCTCGGTCATCTATGTCCGGTATCCTTTCTGCATGGCGGTCTAGTTCGTCAAAGAACCTTTCCAGTGTTTCAGGATCTCCGGTGTAGCTCGGCGCCCTGCTCTGGCCCGGGTCTGGCATCGTATACTCTGGCATCTTGACTACTGGTGTTGAGGCGCGCTGTGGAGAGAAGGTGAGTGATCTATTTGGCTCTAATGATCGATCGAAGGAGTTGTGGGGTTCCGGAGATAAGGTACGCGACCGAGAGGGAAGGAAAAGGCGGGGTCCGGGACTTTCTGGAAGGGGTATGAACTGGTGCGGCGAGGCTGGTGATCCAATTGGACTGGCTATCTGGCCGACCGATCCCGTACTTGATGAACGTGTGGTAGCGTCGCGATAGTCGTGAAAGTCGTAAGTCCACTCCGCTGGTCGAAGACGGGGGCTGCTGTCTCGATTTTGCTCAATGGTGACCTTCTTGACCTATGGAATTGATGTCTTTTTGGATCCCTCGCGGTGGGCTCCAAAATTGTAGGTACGCCGCCGGTTACGAGCGTGGAAGCGAGGGTGGAGGGAGATGCTCCGAAAGACGGAACGAGGTCGTTAGGTCGTAGAGGAGGAGACGCGTGAGAGGACGGAAAGAGACAAGGCCTACTAACGCCGCGTGCGCTAGTGGACTCGGAATCGGACTCGCAGAGAGGTAACTGTGTTATTATGATCGTAGTACCGTAGCTTTATATACAACAATACACGAGGCTAGTAGTAATTTAAAACGAGGAATCAGCATTCCTCAGTAAGTAAATGTAAGGTAAGGGATACATAAGAAAGACACCCAGATACTTATCTAGCCGGCGCGCAGCAGCTCGTGTCGAGTGCTCCGGCCGTCGTAATGGGAAGTAAACGTACAGTGCTTTCGTTGACAATAGACCGTATATCCGACGTTGGTTGGATCGCCAACCCTACAACATTCCTTCCCTTTTCCACGTTTCCATGCCTCGGCTCTCATGTACTCATATCTGTATTTTCCGCCGCGATGATCCAGTACAGCATTTCCCTTCGTGGTTCCCTGGCACGCACTATGCGAACGCTGCTCGCGCGTGGAGGTGGGCTATCAGAAGGCTGTACGACACCCCATATGACTCTGTTCGAAAACAGATGGTGCGTCGCCTGTCATTCTTCGTCAAAATCAAATACATACCTTCACTGATGCAGGCCGAGGGGTTGGCCAAACCCTCTGTCCTCTCAATGCAACTGGAGGCAGCCGCAGGGCGCGCCCTCACAGGAGAAGAAATAGAGGATATGAAAGGGACAGCCGCAATCATCTATGCTGCTGGTGCCGAAACCGTAAGCAGTCCCCCCGCGGTCAGCTTCTAGACACGTACTTGAGGCGACTGACTACGAATGGCAGACTTGGACCGCGATCTCCACGTTCCTACTAGCAATGGTACTTCATCCTGAATGTCAAGAGACCGGGCAGGAGGAGGTTGATCGCCTGGTCGGGAAAGACAGACTCCCTACGTTTGATGATCGCGACTCGCTGCCGTACATTGATTGCGTGATACAGGAAGTCTTGAGGTATGTGCCATCCTTGCTCCCTGTATACTCATAGCATCAGTTCCTCACGACGAAATTCTTGTAATTAGGTGGCATCCAGTAACGCCTCTCGGTACGTATTCGGAAAATCCATATTCAGACGTCGTTAAGTTCGTTCCATCAGGCATCCCACATCGCTCAACCCACGACGACATATACCGGGGAATGTTCATTCCCAAAGGATCATACATCATCTTCAACGAAACGTACACTTAATTTCTCCTGTTTCCCTTGCTTCACCTGTCTAATTGTTTTAGTGGAATGTCACTCGATCCAAAAATATACGCCAACCCGACCACGTTCAACCCAGCTCGATTCCTCCCAAAGTCAGCAGGCGGGAACGGCGAGCCGCCTTTCGACGCGGCATTCGGATACGGGAGAAGGTATGTTGGCACCACACGTATTCCTCTCCTCGGCATGCATTAGAGTACACCCCAGGAGCTGACGATCATGCTGTGTTACTTCGTATGTAGAATTTGTCCCGGACGGCACCTCGCTACCGCCAGTCTATGGATCGCCATCGCCACCATATTCTCGACCCTCCGTATCTCAAAGGCTCGAGATGAGAACGGCACGGAGATCACGCCGCCGGTGGAATTTGAGAAAGGGATATCTAGGTAAGGACTCACCTCTAAGACTACGCGCGTGCAGAGTCTCTAATTGACGCGTCGGTCACTTCATTCATATTATTGATGTACGCAGTCAACCGAAGCCTTTTGCATGCAACATCGTAGCCCGCTCCGACATGGCAGCTCGCATCGTCGCCGAGGCTATAGAGAACAGTGATTGAGCGGCTCAGTCTTACGACGCTGTAGAGAATCTTCCCAGTATCCACAGGTGCTGCACTGTAAAAGTTGTAGGGGGTTCCTTTCGCAGGTGTCGAGTCGAAGTCGTAAGGAGAGTTCGATGCATAAGATACAATACCAGTGTGACTCAGAAGGCCTTCCCTCATAAGAAGAGTATCCTCCCCCATAAACCCCATACGCCCCACCATATCCCACGCGATGTACCCCGGGCGGTGGTTCCGAGGACGACGTTTCTGAAATCCAATAGTAGATTGGTTCATCAACGTAAACCCGTACTCACGTCGAGATTGTGACGGGAGGTAGGTGGTCTGAGTCTGAGGAGCATGAAGCTCGATTGAGAAGGACATGCCGCTCCTGAAATCTACCGTCAATGGGCCAGCCATCCACGGCGCGTCTCGCAGCAGATCGTTGGCGAGTTTGTAGATATCCTCAAAGGATACTGCGGCCAAGACCTCTGAATCTGAACATGTCTCAAGCGAAACTCTGCTGCCGGCGCGGAGTCCTCTGTAAAAGCAACAGCCTCGTGTAACAGATTGCGGGGCAGAGAGATACAGAGGGCCGTATTCGCGAGCGCGACTCCCCATAATAGAAGTCATCTGAGATTGTAAGCACCAGTCCAAATCCCCCCAAGACCAACTAACCGTGTCCCGTGTTGTGTCGTGCACTTTGAGAGCGAATGTTTCCTTGATGTACTGGCGCTCTTCATACTCCTGTGTGCCCTTACGATATCTGAAGCGTATGCGGATGGCTTTGCTTCATCCGGACACGGATTCGATAGATCGCGGCAAGAACGAGAGACTGAGGGATGTGCCGTATTATATTTGCAGCGTAATTGACCGGTCATCGCATTACCTTCCATTATTCTGGGGAAAGCACCCCTTGTCCTCTCGATGAGCGTGGATGAGGATCGTGAAGTCCATCATAGACGCAAGTTTGTTAGTCACTGAGTCGTATATGTATCTATCGTCTCCAGGGCCCTCAGACATCGTCTTGGTGGGGGCTAGAGGTCAGGTAACAGATGCGAGCTATTTACGAACGCAGTCCTGCGTCGACGGTCGGTCGCGAACAAGGAAAAGCTGTGTAGTTTACACCTTTCCAGCATTGGCGTCTGGGCATCCGCCTTATCGCCCGGTGACAAGTCGTGACGGCGATGGTCACGATGGTCGTCCCCTGGGCCCCGGGCGAGTTTCGACGCTACTCGACGGCTTGTAGTGTGCTGAAGTTGGTCGGTGTATGCGACGAGAACCCCAGGCAATATATCTACTACATAGTTCTTGTATTTATGTCTGTCCCCTCAGTCAGCAGAATATGTCGCGCTGATACCCACAAAGCAATCATCCGTCGATCAGCACCTCGCTGGCGAGGCTTTGGATGGTGGCGTCGATGATGAGGATGACATCCACGTGTGACATCTTCTTCTGCACCCGTTGAGGAACTGCACCGGCGACACTTAGAGGAATGGGCTTAACGCCTACATCGTTTGCGCCGACCATCATGCCCAACCAGTCCATGAAGTCGGCGATAGCTGTCGGGACAAGTCCTTCTATCCTGTTTACTCTCGAGTCGAACACGCCCAGTGAACGACGCTGGGTCAGCACGGTATCGAGCTTCAGAGCGCCGAATGATTGGTCGTACGTCGTTTTGATAGCGAGTCGATCGTCCTTTGTGAGTGTCGATTTTCTCTCATCTCCCGAATCGCGAAGTAGACGGCGAAGCACGACGTAGGCAAAGACCCAAGCGAACGATTCAAGATCGTGCGATTCTGTATGTTCAATCGGCTTCTTGTTGACGAGGGACTGCAAGATGTCTCTGGCCATGAACTGCACGGTGCCCTAAATGGACTCGATATCAGTAAAACCCCTCAATCAGCACAAGCTGAACTCGTACGGTCATCTGGACACCGCGCCTCGGGGGACTCCACGTCGTACGCTGTGGAACCCCATTGATCGACGTAACATGCACGATTTCAACAATACTCGCAAACTCCAAGTCCATCAAGAACCCGTCTTCACCTGCACTGGGGTTACTCGAGGCGGATATCATAATATTACCAGCGCTTATATCTCGATGGAGGATTCCATGAGCAACGAGCTGCTGATGGCCTATCGAACGAGGTACTGAGAACAAGCGGGCATGGAGGAGATCTGGTGCCTACCAACGATGGCCGCACGGAACGCTTTTAACAACTCGAGATAGGTCACGAAATGCCACAACGGCCGCCCGATGGTCTGCAGGATAAGGCGATGGAGGACTGTCGTCGTAGTCCCAGGCGCAGGCGCAGCGTTAGCTTTAGCATCCTCCTCGCCTCTATGGAGCAATGCGTCGTACGGATAGTGACTACGCAGATTGTGCACCGAGATCGGTATGTTGGTCTTGACATCGAACAGGACATCGCCTCCTTGTAGGAAGCGAGCTACGCCAGGGGGAGGGGAATTGAGGCTCCCGTAGATGAAAGCTTCTCCAGTGCGTCCGCTGTTGCGCCACGCATTCTTGAGGATCGAGACCAATGCACCGTTGGCGATGGTCCACTCGCCAGACTCCATTGTAACCCGAATTACAGGCCAGATGCTCGTGCCTCGGCCAATAAAGGATAGGGACACCCAAATGGGAGGGCCAACTGTCACCCACGTATCCTGGACACACTTTGTCAAAGTCGCACCCCGGACCTTCGTCGTGTGCTCCCTCGGGCATAATACCAAGTATAGCGGGAAATCTGGCGATAGCTGTCGTGAAATGGCGAGCTCACGAAGAGCTGCGCGGAGATCAGCCGAGGGGCTTAAAGGTGCAGCGGTAGGGTCGTGTCCGAGGTCAATATCCGAGAGATGCGGGCCGACGAGTCTGTAGATCACTTTGATGAAGGCTTTAAAGCCTTCGCCTCCGTCGCAGAAGTCGGATATGGGGGAAAGGGAGACGCCATCCCTATCGAAAATGCCCACCATGAACTTGCGCCCGAAGATGAGAAGGCCGACTGAGAAAAGTTGAAAAGGGCGACAAGATAAATGGAGTCGAGCGTAATCAGCAGCCTGACAGACGACCTCGGGAATGGTTGTATCTTTCGCGGCAACACCTTGGGTTTCCTTGGGTTTGATTTCCATGAACCAGTCAACATCCAGCCAGGAAGCACACTCAAGGACGCGGGATCCAGTTCCGTCTGGAGCAACGTTTGGAAAGCTGGCCGTATATTCTGCACCCTTGAGTCGCCTGTTCGCAGCGATCTTGATCCTCCTCGTCGCTTTGGGCTCGCTCCGGTACAAGAAATCGACGATGTGGTCACACACTTGTTGCTAATGAGGGCATATGGTCGAACCTACAAAAGAGTTAATAAATTTGTGTACTCACGAGCGGTGGATACATTTTCACCTTCCAACTATCCCCCTTCGCCAGTTGTTTGAGGTGCGTGTCATGGTCAACCTTTTTGGCAGGGGCTTCTGCCGCTGCTGCCACGACATTATGAAGGGCATCGAAGAGACATCGATGTTGAACGATGGATATGTCGAAAAGGGAGTCAACCAATCCATCAGGCGCTAGGTCGATTTTGAGGCGTTTGAAAACAGAGAATCATCTTTAGAGACTTTGCCGGCTAATTCTTCACGGAAAACGCTACACACTGTGTCGGAGCCATAGGGTTTTGATATGAAACTATGAGCAGATGTGAGAGGTCTTCGAGGAGAGGTAATATGAGCCATGGTGGCAGGACAACAGAAACGACGCTAAGTGTTGCAGCTGGAAAGCTGATCGCATTACGTCATCCGGCACGTTGTCCGCACTTGGACATACTCAAAGACTCAAAGATTCGCAACAGCTTCCCAAACTCCATCGAGCGACTAGTGGATTTTCTGTAGCAATGGAATAAGCCATATACAAACCGCCTCATGCAGCCACGTCCAGATGATGCGATTATCAGACATGGTGCCACTGTCGACGGGCGAACTCCAATCGCTGGATGTGTTTGCCACGACACCAGCGCTGCCTGCCCTCCCAATACCCTCTCTCACACTCCGCATTGACAAGGCCACGCTCTCTGTGCCCACTCCAAACGACGTGGGCCATCGACGACGATGCCCCACATCGCGTTGGCGAACGGGCCAGATGAATTCTTGGTGAAGGGGTTCCGCGCGCAGGAAACCCGCTGACGATCGGGATTCTGCATTCGCAGCTGCCCTGCGTCGATGATGAGCTCGTTTCCCATGCCGTAACCATCGTTCCGCCACGGCAGCCCCGCAAACTGGGGTTGGGTCGCAGAACGCAGATGGCTTGGATATGGCATTCCCCGGGTGGAATCTGCACACATTGGAGGGTTGGAGGGGATTGGATGTGACGCCATACGCATCGATGGACGCGCATCACATAGGTGGGCTTCTCCAGAGGACGGAGACGGACTTCCTGTTCGTGTTGTCGAGGCGGCACCAGGAGTTGCAGCAGCATTTGAACTTTGAACACCGAGGACGGAGTCTCTGCGCATTTGATCTGCGAGCCCGTACGAGCAGAGCAGGCGACCCCCGCGGATGGTCCGCGCCGCCCGCATGGTGTCCCCTCGTCCCGCCTACGCCTATGATGCATACAACCCAACCCAGACAGCTATCCGATTCGCGACATGATCGCAAGATCGCAAGATTGACGCGATGCAAGGACAGAGGTACGAGTCGGCGAAGGAGTACGTCCTGATGAGTACACAGGCTCGTGGCGGACTCATCCTCCTCGACTCCAATCGAGGGCTTCGTCAGCGAACACGAAAAGTTCGCACTAACGGGGTCACCTCGCAGCGGCTCACAGATATGATCTACGTCGTGGCGGATTCCCTCCTCGATTACTATCCCTTCGTCAGCGAACGCGAAAAGCACATCTACAAAATTGCCCATTTGTTCAGGACGCTCCGTTGGTATCTGGATCAGCTCAGTGAGGAGTACGCCAAGCTGTTCTCGACAAGAAGCAACCATACCGTTGTGCCGGCGCCGCCTTTCTCGCGAGTTTGTTATGCGTAGTCAAGTTTACATCACGCTACGGCCGAGAACTAGTGCAAGCCATGGGCACATCGAAACATCGCGGGGCCATTGAGGTAGGCGAGCAGACGCGGACGCGGACGCCGCACGGTTGATGTTGGATGTTGGATCGGATCGCGTGCTTTTGCGCATCTACGGGAGGACGCCGTGCTAATGGGTAGGGACCTATGGAAGGGGACAGCTAGGCCGGCTGATGTTTCCACATATACATGTTAAATAGCGCGGCGACCTTTGAATTCAGCAATCTCAATCTCATACACGTCCTAGAGTCTAGAGAAGTCCTATCTAAGCGCTGGAACGCCTTGCGCGACCTTGGGTGAGTGAGAAATTATGGCCACTGTGCTGGTAGCTAAATGAGCTGTTTCACTGTTTGCCGGTCCGCAAACTGAAATGGCCACCACTTGACCCGCAGGCCACACCCCGACATTATGCCACAGGCCACCGCTAAGTCTTTATAAGCACGGCGAGAACTCACACCAGCTTCTCAACAACCTCTTCCCGGTTTTCCTAATACCGTTAACTCACAATGGTACTCGTCTACAAAGACCCCTCAGTAGTTGACACCCGCATGGCGGTATGTTTCCTCGTCGCCTTCCATTTTGAGACGATTCCTCAGCGATTCTTAGGCCATCTTCGAAGAGACATACGCCAAACTTCAAAAGCTGCGTATGGACTCAAGGTGCTTGCCCGATGGGCGCATAGGGGACGTGCGTATCTGAGCTTACTGTTCCCCTGGCCTACATGATCGAACTCGACTATCCAGGACTGCCTTTATCTTAATGACACTTGCAACTACGCCGTTGCTCGTATTTGGGCTCAGCCCGTGAGTCTCTTGCCCGCTCTCTCAGCATTCAAACTTCTAACGGACGCTCTGGCAGGCTTTGGGCGACATTCGCAGCATGATTCCTTGGCCGTATCGCGGCGATGATCCCAAATTCAAGCCGTCCCACCATGTGATCCAGTTTCCGAGGACGCCCACCGAATGGGGGCTGCCTCTCGCGGATCTCATCGTGCATTTCTCTGACTACCTGACCGTCACCCTCAGTGAGCCCTTCGGGGAAGACTACAACACCTGCGTGTATTCCTTCTCGGTGTGTTGATTCTATTTGTATTCGATGTCACCGTTCTGACTTGTGCGCTACGGGCAGCTGCTGCCTTGGGTTCGTGAGCGTGTCTTCTCGGCTGCGGCACTCAAGTGCCATGGTGAACCGATGTCGAAGGCCTCCCTTATGCGTCATATCGCAGTGAACATGTTGCGCGCTCTCCGAGTATGTTTCTGCGTCCCCGTTCCCCCATCATTTGACACGCGCTGATGTGTCTCCAAAGGAGAAGCGCCCCGATATGACCGGACCCCAGGTCTTCCGACAGCTGATCAATGCACACTTCCGCCAATTGGTCATTGTGGGACACTCAGAGAGGCAGAAGACGATTTTTGCGCAAGTTCATTGGGCGTACCCAACTTCTCCGTACTAGGCTTGACGTGCTTTTGTATTCATGCTCCGAGTGTTGGTGTTGATTATGGACGGATGGATATCTATATCGAGATCTAACTTTGAACGATGACGCGTTGCTCGCTCCGCACTACGTTTGACGTTCCGCTGACCCTATGGTAACGCATCGTGTGCATCGACACAGCAGCCGTCATTTGGTGCCGCAGTATGTGAGCTGTGAGGACCTGCGAGCCAGAAAGGAGGCAGTCAAGTCCTCGGAGCTGTTCTTCACAGGCGAAAGAGACGCTATTGAAATCCCTCTAAGTATTATCTCCCGCCGCCGTATACACGGGGCAGGAAATCGAGGGCACGCCATACAGGCACGCTGAGTGTCATTGACGCGCCCGGAGATGGATAGTGCAAGTCCCGATGGACTCGCTAGGGACCATGTGAGGGGCCAGCAGGAGACAACAGTAGTCACCGTGGACGACTCGCGTCCTGGCTTGCGTGTATGCCGAGCGGCAGAGTTCGGCATTCAGCTTCGCGTTGCGCACACATAGGCGGAATGTTCTCGTTCATTTTACGTAGTCGGGGAGGAAATCTTTGACGAACTTATGGTGCGAGTGTGCGAATTTAATCTTCCTTCTTCTTGCTCTTATCCTTGCACACATTTCGTGTATGGAAACATACAAGTTTGACACTGAATTCGACAAACCCGCTGATGTGTTTGCAGAATGTTTCTATACCCAGCGTGGACCACAGAATGAAGAAGAAAACAATGGCCATCCCCGCGTACATAGTCGGATATACCCCACATCCAACTGTCGCTGGACTTCATCGCGCTACTGAAGGATGCGAAGCTGGACTCCGTTCACTCTGGGCGAATGCCACTACCCCTGCCGCTATCCCCACCGCGCGGGACTGTGATTTGTTGACCAAAGTGAATTTACCAACGCGCAGCATGATGATGATGACTATTAATAGACTCCAGGGAATAAACGGTATGGTACAGCGCTTTTCCAATCCTCCCAATCCTTTCCAAAGTGCTTCTTCAACATGCGGTCCTCTTTGTTCATCCTCGGAACAAGGGCTAGAGCCGCAATGGACGCCGCGCCAACGCATATCCACCGTCTCCGCACCCCGAGCGCATGCAGGTTCAGGCACTCCATCACCCACGACCCGCGCGACAGATGCGCGAGAAGCGCGCCCATACCCGAGAGAATGGCCCCAGTGTACGATGGGTGGCGCACGAGGGCGTACGGGCCCGTGGTAACGAGTCTGTGGTTCTCGCGGATGCTGAGCTCGAAGGTGAACTGCCGGCCCAGTGCGTGGTAGCACGCGACGCGGAAGAGGGTCCCAGCCAGATTCAGCGCCCATCCGCAGAGGAAGATCGGCGTGGTACCGAGGCTGAGAGCCGCCGCAGGTGTGGAGAACGCCACTAGATCCGTAATTCGGATCGCGGTATCGCTGGGAAGTTTGGAGGCGACAATGGTCGTGATCTCGCAGATCGAAAGGCCTAGAATGATGGCCTATAAGCAAAAATGCATCAGCGGAGCGTTGGGAGAGTCAAGAGAAAGAAACGCGACTCTTGACGTCCAATGTCCCACCTTGGGTATATACGGAAACCAAGGGGCGACGAGTTCGAATCCTGCGGGCGGGAGTTGCTCGGATTTGGGCGGGGTGTGCGTAGGAGGGGTCATTACGGCGTGCATGCACCCCATGATGGACACCAGGAAGGGGACCTTCAGCAGCGACATGGCGGGCGTGAAAGAGAGAAGGTCGTGGGAAGACTGCCGATCTTGCCTTCAGGTCGTTCGAACTTTGCAGACGTCGGACCTAGTCGACTAGGGCACCATTACCGCCCAAACGCCCTCGAACCAGCGACATCCACCGCTGCAAAAGCCATCCATAGCTACAGATTGAGTATCATGGACCCTAGGAATACGCCTTTATTAGCTGCTACCGTCTCAACCGAGGAATGGTACTCACCAACGACTGAGCGCATCGTCGCAAACTTGGCGAAATTCGAACGACCATCCCGCATTGGATGAAAACGCATACCGAGGTGTGTTTGCGCCGTGAACGTATTTAGATGGTGATGATATTAGTGATGGACACATTGACTGGGTTTGAGTACTGCATTGTCGATGAAAAGTCGGAGGAATCAGCCCTCTCGTGAGTCGTAGGGGAAGGGGAACATGCCTAGAACAGTCGCCTACCTCTGGCCGTTCCCCAGCGCGAGATATCCCCCTGTGCCCCTGGCGCGGGAGTTCAAACCTTGGTAACTCCGACATCGCCTCACATTGCGAGTCTGCGCGACTGAGGCTGTTCTTATCTCTCTTCCACCAGCGCAGTTCTCGCTACACAACGTGAGCCGCCCGCCTCTGAACTCTCGACGTGTGCGTTCACTGACCTCTAGCCCTTGTTGTAGCATGCAAATCTTTGTCAAAACCCTCACCGGAAAGACCATCACCCTCGAGGTGGAGTCGTCCGATACCATCGACAACGTCAAGGCCAAGATCCAGGACAAGGAGGGGTGCGCAGTCTTTTCTTCTTTCCTGTTCACAAACCCGGTGGCTAAGCGCATGGCGAACACAGCATCCCGCCCGATCAACAACGCCTGATCTTTGCCGGCAAGCAGCTCGAAGACGGGCGCACCCTGTCCGACTACAATATCCAGAAGGAGTCGACCCTTCACTTGGTGTTGCGCCTTCGTGGCGGTATGCAGATCTTCGTGAAGACGCTCACCGGCAAGACTATAACGCTGGAGGTGGAGTCCTCGGACACGATCGATAACGTGAAGGCCAAGATCCAGGACAAGGAGGGGTGAGTACAGTTTCCAACGCAGTGAAGTTTGTATACGACGCTGAAACTGATCTCTATCTCTAGCATCCCTCCCGATCAACAACGTCTCATCTTCGCCGGAAAGCAGCTTGAGGACGGACGTACCCTCTCAGACTACAATATTCAGAAGGAGTCTACCCTTCACCTCGTCCTCCGTCTTCGCGGTGGCATGCAGATCTTTGTCAAGACGCTCACGGGGAAGACCATCACCCTCGAGGTCGAGTCCTCGGACACCATCGACAACGTAAAGGCTAAGATCCAAGACAAGGAAGGCATCCCTCCCGACCAACAGCGTCTCATCTTTGCCGGCAAACAACTAGAGGACGGTCGCACTCTTTCTGACTACAACATCCAGAAGGAATCCACCCTCCATCTCGTTCTCCGCCTTCGTGGTGGAATGCAGATCTTCGTAAAGACGTTGACCGGCAAGACGATCACTCTCGAGGTCGAGTCCTCCGATACTATCGACAACGTGAAGGCGAAGATTCAGGACAAGGAGGGTATCCCTCCCGACCAACAGCGTCTCATCTTCGCCGGGAAGCAACTCGAAGATGGGCGCACTCTTTCCGACTACAACATTCAGAAGGAGTCGACGCTCCATCTTGTCCTGCGTCTTCGCGGCGGGTTGTAATCAACGGACGTATAGTCTGGTTCACGATATGTTACTGCGGACTTGGGCGATGCACATGGAATGTGATGTTTCTTACTAGCCGCACTGTACTACGTCTGAAATGAGATTTTTTATCACATTGATCTCTATGGTGGTATGAAAGAGAGGTATATTAGATTTTAGGACATCACCAATGGGAAGGAATGTACGGGCCGATGTTGAACTAGCGCCTGTTCTTCTATCCCTGCGCCATGCTATTGTGACTTACATTAGCGCCCATGCGCCTCCCCCTGATCGTGCAGAGTGCATACCTGCTTACGATATCCTTCATCGATAGTTACTACTGATTCAAGGTCGTCAACATCTAACCTACCATATGGACGATGCGCAGCAATCTACCAGCTCTGGCGTGCGTCGAAGCGGTCGAAAACGAACGTTTGGAGTCGCCGCACCACAGAAGCCTATACCCAGCGAACCAAGCGAGGCCGAGTCATCAGAGCAGAGTGAGCTGAGTGGAGAGGAATGCTCGAAGGTTGACGAAACTGCTCACCGTATGTCGCTGCCTCTATATGTCGCTGCATTCACCTTCCGTTGTTGACTTTGCGTAGGTGCAAAATGTACAGAGCTTGAGGTTGAGGTGTCTTCCAAAAGACGTGTCACTTCCGCGCGTCGCAAGGAAAGCCTCAGCCTCCTTCCTGCGGTACCATTTGACGTTCTAATGGAGGTTCGTATTCTCTACTCTCTTCATCTCTGCATCTGCAACACGCGTTCGCAAACAGGTGTTAGCACGCCTGAGAGTAACAGATATCATCGCCTTGTCCCGAACTTCGAAAGAATTCAGGGGCCTTCTCTTGTCGAGGAGGTCGATTTCAGTGTGGAAGGGAGCGCTCAACGCTGAGGGGTGCTTAAGATGCCCAGCAGACCTATCGGAGCCCGCGTATGCTGTTTTGCTGTTTGGAGCGCCAAACTGCTACGTACGTACCTCAACTCGCAAAGCCCACGACGCCGCCCTAATATTCCTTGTAGGACTGTGGAAGGAGGAACATTTATCGAATCGATTTTGGTCTCAGACGGCGTCTCTGCCTGCGGTGCATGAGAGTTGGGTAGGCATTTATGATCTTTGCTTCTTGTCCCCCTATTTAGGTGACATTCTATAGCCTCGTGTTTGAAAAGGACCTGAATACAGATTTCCCTGGCTCCGACCCGATGCTCTTAGAGTTAATCCCTTACACGCATTGTAAGCAACTGAGTTGGCGCGAAGACTGACACTTACGGAAATATGGGATAGATTGTACTTCCTCCATCGGAGCTGGTTATGCCTGCGGATATCATTCAACCGGCCGGTTCTTCCACAGCGACGACATAGTCAAGATGCGGAACAATTTGGAGGCACTGGAACGCGCAGGGGACCCGACGGCCACAAATGAGTTTCTCCAAGCGCAGAGAGACAAAACGTCGAGCATCGTTTCGGTATTTATCTTTTAGTCTGCGGCCATCTTGCTATTAATCTTTTGCTATTGACAAGACCGTTCACGAATACGAAAGTTGGCTGAAATGCCGGCAAAGTTTGGAAGAGTAAGCAGCTATCACAGTCTTTCTCCCATTCTCGTCTGACATAGTGGTTCCAGCGATCCCGCAACCTTAGATACTAATCTTGATCACTAGACTGGCGCCAAGAATGTCCCAGTCCTCCGTTCATTTTCTGAGCCACGTAGCTGCAAACAGATCGAAATGCAGTAGCCCCTCCGTCGTAGTCTAGGTCTTTAGCTCGCTGCAGATCGTGCCCTTTTGCATCTCGTCGCCCCCAACGTCCCTCGTCGCCTCCGCAAATAGGAAATGTCTACCTTTACAAAGGTCATTGTAATTATTGATCTACAGCAATACGTAGAACGCAAAGATGAGATTTTTCTCACCACCTCAATACAGACCAAATCACATGATATATCGTTGCGATTCATGGCACTGCAAGAGGACCCCCAATCTATATAAGAAAAAGCATGCATTTTTTCCCACGGAGACAAAGGAGCTCGCTGATTGGCTGGCGAGACCATTTCTGACCTCTTTTGGATGTATCTCCGTTTGCTCGCCCTCTTGCAGCTTGCGATCATGTGCCTTGAGATCTTGAGACACGTCAAAATTTCTGGAACTCTACGCAGTACCGCATTGTCTCTGGGCTCTCTGCTGGCGCTCAGCATCTCTCAACAACCACGGAGGCTATCCCTTTGACTTTCTCTCGCGCTCAACGATTCGAGACAACCATTCGCAAATTGAAAGTCAACGGAACGGGACCTTTGGCTCACGCGCACGCCTTTATGGCTTCTACTAGGTGCGATTTGCTTATATCGCGCGCGCACATTCTTAATTTACATCCGACACTCTCCAAGGCCCTGTGTGCAGTGGATAACCACTGCGACTGTAAGCAGACCGGTACGGGCGTACGAAATCCGCGGTTCCATGAATATGAGCACCAGCGCGGGAACGGTCGTGGCCACGAGCAATTTTTGCAATGCTGCTTATCCTAGCGTATCCTCGGCGCGTATCCAAATACCTCCGGCTGCTGCTCAGGACCCTTACCCGGACACAGTCAACCAGAATGGGAAATGGTCGCCTCTGGTAACATAGGCCACAGTTGTGTGTTGCCTCATGTCATCTGTCCGTCTCAATTCACTCTCTTCAGCCGGGTACGCGATAGTGGTGCAGGGTTCACTCCAGCTTGGGCACGAGCACGAGCACGAGAACTGCTCTGAGGGGTGAGCATTGTATTGTGGCCCATCTCTATGACACAGTTTGGAATCAAATAGGCAGGAGCACGAGAGCTTAACACCCGCGCGGTTATGATTGCGAACACGGTCGTCAACTCAGGCTTATGCGGCTTCTACACATCGTGGACGCCTCTATGGCCTGGCAATGTGCGTCTTACTCAGGTTCTTCGAATATCTCAATTTCAGATGCGCTTAGGGCCGTGTGCATAAGGATGTCAGGTACTCGACTACGAGCTTGCGCATGTGGTAAGTGCGATCATAACAACGACTGCGGGCAGCATCGGGGTCAGCACGGATAAGGGCCCCATCAGGCTATAATCATGTTTGCGAGCGTGAATCTCGCTACAAGCGCGACAACGCAGACCACTTGGTTCACGTTTGGGCGCGGATCCTTGAATCTGGGCACAACTACTGCACCGGCGCTGCATGAACTACGATGATCTGGCTGACAACTGATGCAAGCATCGGGTCTTGCACGGCTACGAGCTTTGAGGGTCTGAAGGCCTACACGGGGGATATCTAATAGGTTCGTTCAGCCTCGAGATAGATGCAACTGACCTCAATGTTGTAGGAGCGAGTGCACGATGGCTACGAGCGTACATACTCATTAGCACGCACACGGACGAGACACGGTCTTCCCCTTACGCCTTATGTCCTATTATTCAGTTTTCGACACATATTCATTTATTACTTAGTTGTATATGCATAACTGTCATAAGCACTTGGTTCTTACACCGTGCGTAGCACGGGTTAGCCGCTAGTAATGTCTATAAATGTTAGATCAAAGTCCACCCCTCAGCTTGCCTTATATAGTAATAATGTTAGATCAAGCGCCCAAATAATCCACCCATATTTCGGCGAAAATTTCGATGTCAGATATTTTTTCCACCCCTTTTTGAGTTCCACACGCGAGGTCGGATCCTAAATCCACCCCTGAGAACCCTCCCGGATAGCAAAATGTTACTTGTGGTACGTTGCGGCCACAGCAAGTGCCAGAAAGTGTTGTCAAGTGGTATAAACTGGTCAGTACTGGATCCCATTCCCGCTCACAATAGCTGTTAGTGATTTGGTAGCGCCAAGACAAAATGGCCACATTGTTCAAGCCGTTGAGACTCCGCGGCGCACCCTGTGCACCCCCTGAACTCCCCTGAAACACTTCAACTGTTCGAGTTCAGTAACTCGTCCATGCAGAACAGCATATACTACCATATGCATGCAAGTATAGCGATAAAGTGATAGATAAGTACGCCATTGTATAAGTAGGATGCTCGACTGTGTAGATTAACCAGCACAATGTCAGCCCCCATTGATCTCACCTTATCACCCGAAGTCGTCGATCTAAGCCAATGGATTGGCGTTGGCAAGCTCTATAAGAACATCCCGGACACTATATCTCAAGAGCTCAAGGCTAGGACGTCACTGTCTGACGTATCTCGAGCTATGCTTCCCTCCCACAATTCCACTATTGCTGAACTTCTTGCTACCCAGTTACCACCTCTAACAACGACTCTCTTCTTTCCTAACCCACAGGATTCATTCTCGGACGTCCCCCCAAACACACCACTATCATATTTGCTCTCTACCGATCGTGCACTCCCCCCTCGAGAGTTTCTGACGCATCTACGAGCGGCTGCGGGTCAGGCAATGCTCGACGGATGTATCTCAATTAAATATTGGGGTGCACCCAACGTTTACCTTCCATTCGAAGTCTGCGGATTTTGGTACGAGCTAATCACCACGGTAGAAGCTAAATCAGGCTGGAACTCGGCGCTGAGATGGGCAAACAAAGCCCTCCTTCCAAACAGAGCCTCTTGCCATGCTCGCATCACCGCAATAACTCGATCCATCTCATGGAGCGGTTTAATCTCTAAACTTGGATGTTCTGCTCATGTTTCGCATATGGCGGAGCTTCTCTCGACCTCTTGGCTCTCCTCGTCTCATATCGATGCCATGCTACTGCGTCTTCGTGCTAGATACCACGACGAAGTAGGCTTCAAGTCTGAGAAACAAATCACATTGATTCCGACTTTGATATTCACTAGTCGCCTTCATTCGCTTGGATTAGAGCCTGGCCCCGTCGACCAGCTTCTGTGCAGCTCGGCACTCTCAGATATTGGGAATTTCATCGCGACTTCTCAGCAGGACCTGCTCATCGCTACAGTCGCGTACTGGCCCGAACACCATTGGGGATTCCTGATGATTACTATCTCAGGTGGTCGTGTACAAGCAAGATGGGGTGATGGTATGAAGAAAAAGGTTCCCCGGGCGCTGGAGAAAGGGATTAGATTGTGGAGCAAACATTACATGCCGCAGCGTTTTGTCAGTGTCGACAGTCACTTCCCCTGCGCATCGCAGCATGATTCCTACTCTTGTGGGATTGTCGCCGTGAATGCGCTCAAGCACGAAATCTTTGGCGACCCTTATTGGACAAAGAAGACGAGAGAGCAGTGTCGTGTCGACAAATTCTTGTCGTGCATGGAGTTCTGCATGGACATAAATGTAAGCGAACGGCTACCCAAGAGTTCATGCACTGACAATTATGTTTAGACTGTCGATGCGCCGTTAATTCCACCGTTGTCACTCCTACCAGTAACTGGACAATCAGCGACCACCCCTGTTTCTCCCCCGCACCCTGTATCGACCCCTGTTAGCCCCCCTCGCCCTCCCACTAAACGTCGCAATAGCAATTCAATTATGCTATCCGCCCCTGTTAGCCCTTCTCGTATCACAGTTAAACGTCCTCGTCGAGGCAGCCAATTGAACCTGAATGTGATCGTGGTACCAAACCTCGCTAGGCGTGATCCCTTGCCTGAAGACGATACCTCTATCGTTCCGATGGACGATCAGCCCGACGCAGCACCACTGAAGGAAATAAAGATCCGTAAATCGAAGTCTATGGTGTCGAAGGAGCAGAACAATAAGCTGGCAGCGAGTGGCTTGCTTGTCAAAAGCACTCAACGCTGGAACAACTATGTTGCAAAGCTTTGACAGCTGGATGCACACGTTGAGGTCTATGACGAGAGCCCGGAACATATTCGCCTGGCACGCTGCTCGTCGTGCGCAAAGATCGTCAAGCAATCGGAGCCATATAATACGTATCAATTCAAACAACATCTTTCCAGGTGTAAGGCGAAGGGCAGCCGCCTTCACATCCAATCCATCAATGGCTTCTTCAAGTTCAACCTTGACCGCTCAGCATCCGTGCCAAAAGTGGACAACTTCGTTGAGCGGCCTTGTCCTGGGCTTACCGAGGCAAACGACAGTCGTATTCCCATCTACACCTCTCGTACTGAGGTTCGGTACGCTGGAGGGACAAGTCGACCGTTATTAGCATCCCAACACTTTGGCAAGACGGTCCCATCCCTATCTAAACAAGAGAAAGACGAGCTAGACCTCCACTATCGTTCCAGCTGCGAGTGGGAACTGGATCACGACGAAGCACGAGTATTCTCTTGCAAATGCCTCAAGCTGGTACAATGCAAGAGCGACACTAATGAACTACAAGCCTGTGCAGAATGCCTGCGCATTCTCAAACTGCATAAGCTCCTGGTGGCGATCACAAAGCCAGTGACACCCGACGATACGAGGAAATATATACCATTTCGCTACCAAAGCATCGTAACAGGGAAGATGTACGCTAAGAATAAGGGACTGGGCAGGTTTGTTAAAGACGTACGTGCCCCTGCCCCCTATCCCCTATTGGACTTTGTTGAATGCACTTATTACAGACTATACGCAAAAAAGGCGACGTTCTCCTCAACTTCACCGTGGCACTGGCCTCAGGAGTGTTTGATGGTAACCCTTCATTCATCGAACTCCTCAAAGTGATGTTTGCGCGCCATGAACGTCAGGCCAGAGGCCATGGATTACAAAATATGCGGTACGCGGCAGACTTCGATCAATTCTGCCATGAACTCCAATGCATCCGCCCAGAGGCGTATCGACTCTTCTCATCGACATTTGGTGGTCGAACGGAGCAGAGCATGCTCAAAATTCGCTCATCCCATCCGAAACTGACACTTGGCATTAGCACAGCTACGCTCGACCGTGTGACGAAGTATCTCGAGGATTACAAGTACCCATCTACTGCCCCACTTGCTTGCGGGGTCGACGACACTAAGCTCCACCCCTCCCTACGCCCATACTACAACAGTTCAAGCAAGACTTGGTTCCTCCTTGGTGCAACAGGAGAGCCAATAGTAGTCGCTGATATCGAGCAGCTGAACGAACTCATTAAACATGTGTCAGGCTCTCTGGCCAAAAAGGTCCGCTTATGGTCTCTCTGGATCCCTCTCCCCGACATTCCACCTCTTATTATGGCAATAATGGCAATATCGGAGAGCAACACGGCCAATTATCTCGCAGAGATAGAAAAGCGGCTTCTCAAGCTGCTTCTCATCGACACCTCTCCTCCTGTCAACATTATCTCTCTTGGATCAGATGGTATGATCGTCGAGCGCAAGGCTCGTAGAATTCTAGTTCAATCGGGCTTTGCTGCAGTTGAGTATGCTCACATCTCGCACCCAAATCCAGCAGAGCAGAGGCCCTTGAAGATCGAACTCCTTTGCATCGGGACACGTCGCCTTGCCATCATCCAAGACTCAAAGCACTTCAGAAAGACCTGTCGCAATAATCTATTTACTGGCGCCAAGCAGATGGTACTAGGAAGGGAGCTAATCTACTACGAGCAGGTACGATCTATGGCATATAATTAAGATCGCTCTCCACTTTATATCCGCGACGTCGACAAGCTAGACCGCCAGGACGATCGTGCGGCAGCTAGACTCTTCTCAGCGGCAAGTATCCAGCACGCCATTGAATGCGGCCATTCTGGTCTGGCAATCTTTCTATTTATTTTCGGAGAAGCCTGTGATGCATACCAAAGCCGAACAATATCCCACACGCAGCGCATCCACATGGTTCTCCTCGCCTTCTTCTTCAAGTTGATTTGGAAACAGTTTCTTACAGAGAACAGATACCCCATTTCTCGCCACTTTCTCTCGCAAGATGCCGACAATATCCTCGATATTCTGGTAAACGGACTCCTTGCTTTAATCATCATCCACCGCGATCACCTCGATCCATTCCCATTACTGCCTTGGACGCATGGTACTGAGGTAAATGAACATATATTCGGCCTTCTTCGCAGCACATTACCAGAGTTCACAATCGTCGATGCCCTCCAAATGATTCCTAAACTCGACGTACGCCTACTAGCGGCCTGCAGGCGCAAGATCGACGCAGCAAGTCTTCAACGAGGCGGCGCTGGGTATGCTCACACCCATTTCGATAGCAGTGGAGCTGCTCTAGACACCCTTTCGTACTTTCCACCACAAGAAGTCATCGAACAAGTGGCTCATCTGGCATGGACGGAAGCCAACGCGATCTGGGAAGTATTAGGCTATTTCACAAGCTCGTCAATGACACCGTCTGCCTCACATGTCCCTGTTGCCACCGCCAATCTTGATCTCGATGTAGACGTAGACGATCTGGACGAACTGGATCCACAGGAGGAGTCAGCGATGGATGTACCATCTGATCGCGAACTCCTAGATGAAGCGTTACACATCGCCTCCTTCGCGACCTTGCCACCGTCAGAACGTCCAGACCTACCTGGGGGTGCCATTGAGATTATCAACGAGTGCGGACTAGCTGCAGCGGCACTCAACATGCGAGATATTGGATATCTGTGAGTTTTACGATGATTGCTTCGACCTTTCACTGAATATTCTATTGCGTTAGTGATCGCCTTCCAGATGACGATCCAGAGGCACTGGAAGTAATCCAAGCTGCACTGAAGCCCATCCTAGAAGCGATCTCAGCTCTAGGTCCCGTAGGTGAGGCCGCCGTCAAGAAACTTATAGATGAAGCGGCAGCTCCTCCATCTGCACACACGATCATCGAAGAAGAAGACTCAAGTTCAATTCTTTCCCGCATATCGCAGTACGACATCAGCATACTTGTGGACGAACGACGAGTGCATCAAAGCAAGGAGACAAGCGATGCATGCCGGCCGCTGAAGCAATCCCCTACCCCTGCCAAAGGAGGTCCTAAACCACACATTCCCACCCAAATTCCATTCATCGTCGAACAGTCCCCTCGCCAATTGCTCACAAGGAAGATACACGAAGTCCTGAGGCTCTCTGGTGTCAATATCAAAGGAGAAACATCCGGACTGGCACGACAAGTACAATGGACGAAACAAGTGAATGTGATGTCATTGGCGGACAAGGAGACATCTGGGAACTCAGCAAACGCCAAGAGGGCAGCGACCTCCCGTGCTAATGCTGTAAGCCGTCACAAACTCGTGTATCAAATGAGAAACTAACGGTTGAATAAATACTAGGCAATAAAATCCCGCCAGGCGATCTTCGCAGCACTGCCACATGCGGAGTCACTAGCAACCGCGAATATCAACTCGCTGTTTGAGCTTGTAAACGGTGTCTACTCAATTGCACTCTACGAGAAGAAGCTGATGATTGGGCGGGGTGAGTGTATTAGTATCAATATCACCTTGCTTCGTCTTTAACCTGTTCTTTAGTTATTACATTCTATGAACAGGGGGGGGAAAAGGCTAGTAAACACTCTTGGGTGTCGAACGCCGCATCAGTCGGCACGATTTCGTGGATTTCGATGCAGCTTTGGACGCCCCTTTCCTCCCCAAACTCATTCAAATCTTTGACTCAAGCTGGCCTTCCAAAGTACGGACTTGTGCACTCGAAGGCGTTTCTATATGCACTCATGGCGAAGACAATCACTTTACGGGAGGATAGCTCGATAAAACTCGACGTTACAATCTTCAACTCGGTATTTCGGCCCCTGAATATGCGGGAGGGGCTCGTCTCACAGGCTGTAAAGACTCTGATGGGGAGAAAGCATACAGAGGAGCTAGATAATAGCGAGAACTAGTATATATAATGCGAACGAACACTCTAGCATTTTTCTTTCATTTTTATCGATTTTATTAAGCCCTACAATGTTAGTTCTAGTTGTCCACCCCTCCGCTTCCTAATTGGGAGGTTTGTTCTTATCCACCCCTCCGTACTTCCTAATAAGGCAATTCTTAGTCCACCCCTTTTGGGTAAAAACCGGGCATTTTCGGATCTAACATTTATAGACATTATTGGGGGTCCTACTGCAAGTTTGTGAGCTTCTGGGCGCTTGCTGGCCACCCCCTAACTTAGAAGCCAAATAGGCAACAACAACGCGCTCGCTCTATTGTCTTTGTGAACAATAGGCAAGGCAACGGTCAGACCCCCGACAACGACATGCGAGCCACTCCTCGCTTCTTGCTTCTTCACCATCATCACCATGCTCCGTAATCTACACCTCTTGCCGCCAGGCATCCTAGCGTTTCTCTGCACATTTATCGGTATGTTTTCCATAATACTTCACGACGCCGAGAGCTAACCTCACTTCGCAGAACTCACAAATGCACAGTCGCAACCGGTAGTAGTCTGTGCGCCAGGACAGTGCCTTCAAGGGTACTCGAATATTACCAGTAAGTTCTTCTCTTCGAGGAAACGTATCACGGCTCACTTCTCAAAGTCGGCGCCACGATATCATCTTCGGAGACAACCTTACAGCTGCTGCCCGGACAATATACATCTACGACAAACCCCCAACTCCTCCATAACATCCTTACTTCTCGTTCATCATCCTTATCTTCGTCTCCTGGTTTCGGGGACGCCACCAACATCAACCTCCCGCTGGACCTTGCGCTGGATCCAGGCATCGCCGTCTTCCCTCAGCCTCTTTATGCAGGCCAATCTGCCTTTGCGCCACTCCCAATCTCCGCAAGCTCCTCCCTTTCGACGCCACTTTCCACGACCCAATCCATTGCGCTCTCATCTAACATATGGATCGCCCTTGACAACCGCGTCGTGCTCTGGGACTCGGTGCCCGACATGCGCGAGCTCCCGTTCGGCAACACTTCGTCCCTCTCGCTCGTCGCAATCCAATCAGCATCTTGCTCGCCTGCATGTTCGAGCACGGGTGGGCTGTGCTCGTCTTCGGGCACCTGCGCGTGCCTGCCTGGATTCACAGGCGCGTCATGCGAAACTTGCGCACCAGGGCATTTCGGTGCGACGTGTCAGAGCTGTGAGGCTGGGTGCACGTCGTGTGATGAGGGGATCGCGGGGTCGGGCAGGTGCCTGGACTCCCCAGTGAAGAATGCCCCCGCGACGTGCAACTGTCTCAACGGCGTCTGTGGCGCAAACGGCGAGTGCGCGTGCAACGCCGGGTTCGTGAAGGCGGACAACGGTACTGCGTGCGCCAAGTGCGACAACGGGTTCTTCCAGACGTCTACCGGCGATTGCAAACGTAAGTTCCCTCCTGTCTCTCATTGAATGTATCCGCTAATCCAGATCGTAGTCTGCCAACTCGGCTGCGATCGATGCGCCGACGGCACTGGCGTGTGTCTAGCATGCAAGTCGGGCTTCACACAAGATGCCAATGACCGCACCAAGTGCACACCGGTGCCCACATCGACGTCCAGCGGCACTATTTGTCCCCAAGGTATATCGTGCATTTCATTCCATGCCCATGGCCTATCACTGACTTTCGTGTATAGGCAGCTTCGCGAACGGGGCTACCTGCTCCCCCTGCTCTCCGTCGTGTCAATCATGTACGGGCGGGACGTCAAACGACTGTACCGTCTGCGCGCCCGACACGTTCGCGTTCAACGGCGGCTGCGTGCGCGCGAGCTCTGACGGCGTGTGTGAGGGCTCGACGCGCATTGCGGACAACAACAAGAGATCGTGCGATGGTACGTGTCTCGCCATCATCCACACCAGGTGGAGCTTCGCAGTGGTGGATTGAAGCTGATTGGTTCGTGTTTGTGTTGTTTAGCGTGCCCTGCCAAGTGTTCTGCCTGCCGGATCCCCAACTTCGACCAGGCATCGATCGCAAGCAAGCTCCAGTGCACAGCGTGCATACCGGGTTCATTCCTATCGAATGGACAGTGCGTCGACGCATGCCCAGCTGGGACAGTTGTCTCTTCGCAAGACAATTTCACGTGCACTCGTACGTCTCCTCATTCCCCTTCATCTTTGCTTCTGATGCTCACGATTTCTTCCGTATATAGCATGCGACTCTTCGTGCACCTCCTGCGCCGGCGACCCCAAGTTCTGTCTCTCCTGCGCGAACAACCAGTTCGCCACCTCAGACGGGAAGTGTGTGCAATCCTGCCCTTCAAACACCCTCTCCTCCCCGTCAAGCACATGCACGCCGTGCCACCCCGACTGCGCGTCGTGCTCCGGCGGCGCCTTCAACCAATGCACTGCTTGCCCGCCAGAGCGCCCCGTCCTCGCCAACGGCCGCTGCCTTCCCACCTGCGCGAAATCTCAGTTCCTCGATCCGACGTCCTCGACATGCCAGTCATGCGACTCCACATGCTCTAGTTGTTCCGCCGCGGGCCCGTCCTCCTGCCTCGCATGCTCCGACAATACACAGGTCCTGCGCGCAGGACGGTGCGTCGCTGCCAACTGCAGTGGTTCTTCGACGGTTCTCCCTGGATTAGGCGTCTGCCTCTCCGAGCTAGTGTCCGTGCCCCAGCCCTCTGGGACGGGCACCGCGCCCCCGCTGCCCACCATCACAGGCCTCAACACGCCCACCGTCGTCACGAACTCGGGCAAACGCACGCTCGAGTGGTGGCAGATCCTCCTCATGGCCTTGGGCTGCGCGTTCATCTTTCTTGTGATCGTATGGCTGTTCAGGCGGCGCGCGAGGAAGTCGCGCGCGAAGCGCACTGCGGCGTTCGCGTTCGCGCAGGGGACGCCGCCACCGGCTGGTACTGGTACGAGTTGGTGGTGGCGCCTCAAGCGCTCGATTGTTTGGGACCGCAGCACTTCGCCTTCGCCGGCGCGGCCGAACGTCCTCGTCCGCAATTCGCCCCCTCATCCTGTTACGGCACCGTTGGGAAGTAGAGGCGGAGGCGGCGGGTGGAAGTGGCGGTTGGTGAGATGGGGCGAGAAGTTATTCGGACATCGCAAGAGCCAGCGCGTGTTCTATGGCACTCAATCTCAACCACAGCGGACGTACAAGATCAGCGAGCCGTTCGGGATGACTCGTGACGCGGAGTCGATGAGGCTGCAAAGGTTGCGCGCAGCGGAGGAAGCTCGACGTGGTGAAGACGACTACGATATGCTGCTGGGGCAGTATGATTACCCACGGCCGGGCGATGGGGATGGGGCTCCTGCTGCGGCGAACGGATCCGTGACGCAGGCGATGAAGAAGGAGAATAATTGGAATCGGAGCAGGGACTCGCTGATGAGCGCCCCGTCGATTTACTCGCAGATGACGGGCATGCCGAGGAAGGGGCCGGACCCCAGGATTCCCGTTAAGAATTGAGGACTTGATCTAACTTCTCTACATCTTTGCATCTTTTTCCCCTCACGAAAGACGATCCTTCGTCCCATGATGACCTACGAACTCATTTACGAAGCTTGACGACCACGTATATATCATTATTCGTCCCGCCAGCAATTGTAGACTACCATCTTTGTTGTATTTTGAATATCGTATAGTCCTTTTGTTTTATATACGAACTATATCTATAATAATCTGTCTAATATATAGCTACAATTTCTCCCCCCCCAACGTGCGAGGGGGGCATGTAACGAGGAAACCGCCATGCTGATGAAGTTGGCCTTCCGCAAGAATCGACATTCGATCTTGACGTCGACCCATGAGGCGCAAAATCACCCTCAGCGTATCCCGCGCATCCGATACCTGGACAACCAGACTCTGTTTCTTCCCTCCGTTCTCAGGTACCCGCTTCAAGCAGTAGCAGCCACGGGGCGTAGTGAATGGTGGGAATGGTCTGATGACTAGTTTACAGCGTGCGCGAGACGCAGCGGGTAGGGCGTAGTGAGAATGGACCATCCATATGGAATACGCATCTTCAGTGTAGGGGAGACGGGCACGCTGTACCTGAAGACGAGGTCGGCTCAAGCTGGCCCGCAGAGCTTTCGCAGTACAGCACACATACGGTGATATGACTGTTACCATGGAATTGCTATTAGTTCATTATATTTCAGAATCATTGGCGCTGAGAATCTCCAATACAAGTGTGTGGTACAAGACATACACGATGTAGCACCTTTGAGCAATTTTGTCACCAATCGACCGAATCTCCGGCGAGCGTGAACACAAACGACTTACAGAGAGGTGTGGGGCTGCTTAGGTTGGGACGACATCGGGGAGCGGAGCAGCGGGAGAGATGCTCATGTCACCGCTGACTGGGGTCGGAACGCCGACAGCAGGAGCAGCACTGCCCTTAGTCTTCTTCAAAATGATTTGATCAGTTGCGGGTGGAGACGAGCGGATGGGATGCATGCGTACTGGTACTGCTAGTCAGGCGAGGTAGTGTGCTGAGGATAGGCTGAAATTCGCAGCAGATTTTATACGGTGTAAGTACCTGTGTGAACCTCCTGTACGTCAGAATTGCATGCTTCCTTCCCACTGCATGGTCTGTAACATAGACGATGTCGGTCGCTCCAACGATCCACGAACTAGAAGTAACGCTGGAGTGTCGAAGCATTCAAAGTTATTCATGGAATAGGGCTATCAGATCAGACAGACCATTGGCCCGGTACATCGATGATGATGATCCTCAGGTAGAAGAAACCCCCAAAACCTTACTGGAAGTAAGTGGTAAGTAGTAGGATGGTGACAGTTCGAGTCAAGCGGCAAGCGGCAAATCAGGGCCAAACTCAAACTTCGGACTCCGGAGTAGTTGACGTCCATGGAGCGCTTAAAGCTTCCCATATGGCATCTTCTCTTCTTTGGGGCCATATCCATATCGCTTCCATAGATCGCTCAAGAATACTGGCGTTACTTCCAGTATGGTTCTAATGCCCTATCATATAAGGTGATGAAGCTAACTTACTGATAGCGCACATTTTCCATGAATAACTCTGGATAGACTCCCTCCACCTGAGGCTTCTCGCGTATTGGATCCAGCAAGTGATATGTTGCGCGTCGTAGCACTGGGCCGCTGATGTGTGGTAACAACCTGATCGACACAAATAATCATCTTCCGCTACTAGTGTGCTTTGCGGAGTGAACGATCTCAGACGGGGAAAGGGTACTCCGGCATACAGGGTATTATGGCAAGCGACTCATGAGGTAGCTCAGCGTCGTTTGAAGATACATGAGGTGATGTTTTATTCGAGAGAATCGATCCAATTACATAACTGATCGACAATAACATGGGGGTGACGAGGACATGCGACGGAGAACCAGAAGTACCAAAGCTAGGCGCAGAGGTTACATGAGTGATGCATCCTCCCAACGAACTTCTATGAAAATATTTTTCTCCTCTGGGTCGTAGCCGGTGACTACCAACTGCTGGATATGAACATGCAGGAGCAGCTTGAAAAGATCCAGGTTCGAGAGTCCGGTGGTTTTTTCCTTGGGGCAAAGGTCAGGGCGAGACCTATAGCGACGACACTAGAAAAGGAAAAAGACAGCGACGTACATGGAGGGCGCAGACCATGTTCACTGCGATATGGCGCAGGAGGGAGCCCGTGGTCATCCCCTCGCCATGGCACTTGACTGCCACGGCCGCGCACACTTTGTCGCGAATCCATGGGCGCAGCTGTCCGTGGGCCACGCTCAAAATCGCCCGCGCGCACACACGACGAAGAGTCGACGCACCGTGAAATAGTAGGTACAGACATCGTATGTCTGGTTGAACGGCGCACTATGATAAGTAGGGGGTAAGACGTCGGGCCATCGCGCAATGAGCGCCGCGACGGAGATGCCCCAACCAGTGGGACTCTCAATTAGCGGGATCGAACGGTGCTCAGGCGGGACTTTGGCAAGCCCATGAGGGCACGGGCCAGGAGGCGCGCGAATGCGAGGAAAAGCCTGCACAAACGGACATTCAGCCATCCCACATCCGACGGTCGCCGGAGACGCGCGACTTACGGGCTGACTCAAGGCACGGACGTTGGAGTAACGCACATCGTCGAGGGAAAAAAGGCATTTCTGGCGGGCGATGCGTTAAGTGGAATGGAAGTAAAAGTGCACTAGGCGCGACACGCACATTCCCTCGGTGTCCGTATGAGCAGCCTGATTCTGCGCACAGCTGCTTCAGCTTTTGATAGGCCTCTCGATAGATGCTCTACGGATCATTCAGTGAGTGAGTGCCGCTTCGGGGAAGGGGACGAAAACATACAATCTTCTGAGCTTCAGCGAATATAGGGTCTCTGCATACAAGGGCCATGGCGTGCTAGTAGGAGTGAGTTCAAAAAGGTGTGGCTGTTTGATGAGGGCCTTCGTAATTGTGCTGCCTTTATATATGCCCCGCGGTGGCCTGTGGCACAGTGGCCAGTGGGTCAAGTGGACTTCCCAAAAGAAGGTATTGGTGGCCATTTCAGATGGCAGACAGTGGGGAACAATGGGATGGCTCGCCCGCCCACAACGCGCGTGGCTGTCTATGGGTAGGATTGCCACCGAGCGATTATCTGCAGATGATTGTGCAGAAGCGCGAGCCCGTAGAACAGAAACCAGCCCATAACTGACGTCGAACTCACACCCCATGTAGAACCTCCGAATCGAGTTGCAGCGCTTACATGGAACCTCTTATTGAACCGGAAAAACGGACCTGGTGCTAGACTCGCAGGGTAGTTATATCTTCCACAGTGCCAGGCCGTGACTTCTCACTCTCTGGCTGGGTGCGTAGTGAGGTGGTTGTACGGCGCGTGGGATAGATAGTAACATAGCGGTGGAACTCGCCAAGAGCTGGAGGTGATTCAAAACAGCGGGGGGGCGAGGTAATGAAGCAGAGCGGCTCAGCGCCATGTTCTGAGAACGTCGGACACGTCGGGAGACGGTCAATGATTGATGCTCAGGATGCTGCTGGACAACGGCGAGGAACGTGACGGCTGTCGGCGAGGCGTGCAAACAACGGGTCTTCTTCCGCGATGGCTGGTCTTCCGAATCTCCCACCCGCAAACGTCCACACGCACTTCTACCCCGGACTCCCCATATCTCAAGATTTCTAGGCGACGAAACTGTCAAAATCGCTCCCCGGACCGTTGTTGAGGTGTGCCCACTTCGGCACCTCGTTGGGTTGAAGTGGTTGTGCAGCAGCATCGCGTCCCTTCTACTCAAGATAACCTATCGTCTGCCATCCATCGACAACCCGTAAGTACCCCCCCTCTCGAACGCAGCAGAACGGGCACTCACCTGCCTATTTTCGCCTGAGTATGTTCGTACGCTGACGAGACGGCTGGCGGGACAGCGTTGAAGCACAGCAAGTAAGTGCACTAAGAAACGTCCCGATGTCCTCGAACGAAGCAACGCGCCCAGCATAGATAAGTCGCTTCTAGTAATGCGCAATGGCGAGGTGGTGAATCTTGTGTAATGAGACAGCAGTAACAGAGGAACGAGAACCAATCCGGACATGTATTTCTTGGACGAGATGTGCGTTACTTTCGAAGCAAAGACTATCATCCAGGATTGTAAACGCCTATGTGAATAACGTAACCGTGCTTCGATACGGATAACGACAAAGGCTAAGTCGGTTGCCTGTGACATAGATACGAATGGTGAGCGGGGGCATCTGGAGAAGCGAAAAATAAAATAAGACGAGCGCTCCCAGTTATATTTTGGCAACCTTGTACCACGCAGGCTGCACATCGCCCATGCCCAAAAACTGGACGAAATTCTCCAAAGCCTCCGTGGAGCTCTTCGTAACCGCCGCTTCTAACTCTCCAGAGCCATTGTCGGCTAACACCAGCAGATATCGCAGCCCATTCTTGGTGTTGACGAGGTGGGTTTTCCAACGGGAGAGGAACAAGCCGTCAATTGCGGTCATGCAAAGAAGGGGAAGTTTTCGAGTGGCGATGGCGAGGGCGACCTCGCGCTGAGATTTGTTATCATGGTCGAAGTCTGGGTTGACAGTCGCGTATCACGAGGCCGAAACGGGCGAGACACTCGTATGTGAGTATGAGGCCATACGCTTGCGTAGGAGGGGGAGCGAGAGCAGGTCGCCGGGACATGACGCATTTGTATAGGCGATTGCCTTGGCTTTGAGCTCGGGGTCCATACTATCACGTGTACCATAGTGCAAACATACATAGATATGCAAAATGATTTTTAGGATCCTGTAGACTTAATGTGTTACCTTCGGACTTGTTCTACATTCAAGATATAGACATTATTGACCTACTATAAAAGTTTGGGGAGAATTGGGGGGCTACAAGGTAGTTTCCGCATGCCAAAAGTGACGTGCAAATTGGCATTTCAGGATTTACTTGAATGCCATGAAGGCTCCACAGGTCCTGCCGGCTCAGGATTTTTTTTGTTGGTAGCATATTAGTATGAGACTCATATACGTTCACCGCTTGTCCATTCAATTGCTAGTTCATGTACAGGAAAATCAACAATATCTTGCGTGACAAGGGAGCCCCTGTTTGCAAGTCAAGTTCAGACTCCGATATGTGGTGCTTCACGCGTCTCTGATTGGCCTGAGAAAGACGCGCCAGTATTGCAAGTCGACGCGCTGCATGCCCGCTAGCCGCAAGCGAGATGGATCACAAGACACGTCCAAGATGGAAGACTTGTACGCGGAAGGTTGTCGACGACTTGCGGCTATGGCTGCTGCGGGCCAGAAGCTCAATTACACTGAAGTCTACAATGATCTCAAGAAGCTCCCCCATGGAAAGCACATTTCTTACGACACCCTTCGCCGACGTCACCTTGGTCAATCACACACATACAGGGGCTCACATGGTCACCAGCAACTTCTTTCTGACGCGCAAGAACAGGTCCTTATTGATTGGATTAACCTATTTGCGGAATGTGGGGACCCCGTTGGACGACAAGAAATCCTCGTCATGGCAGGGAAAATCTGCGGCCGGCAGCCTAGCGCAAGTTGGATTCCCCTCTTCCTCAGGCGACACCCCGACATCAAGCTTAGCAGACCATCTGGCTTGGATCCGAAGCGCGCACAGGCTTTCAATCGCCCGACTGGAGAAATACTTTGAAGAAGTCAGGAAGATCATTGAGAGATATCAGATACCCTGGGAGAATATTTACAATATGGATGAGAAGGGCTGTCAAAGGGGAGGTGGTCGTAGATGCTCACCGAAGAAATACTTTTGTCAGTGTATTCTTCGGACGGTGTATCAGAAGCGAAGTGATTGTCTCGAGCTCATATCAATCATTGACTGTGTATGCGCTGATGGATCATGTATCTTGCCTGGGTTTATCTTCGCTGGTAATAGTATCTTCTGCCAACGATGGTTCACCTACGATAAAGACATCGTGTAAGTCCCTACATTTAACAAGAACTATAGATTAATGACGGTCACTTATCTAGTATCGCAACATCGGAGAACGGGTGGACAAATGACTTTATTTGTCTCAAATGGTTCGAAGAATGCTTCATCCCCCAAGCGACGAAAAGAAATACATCAGGGCGACCCATTCTTCTTATTCTTGACGGCCACCAATCTCACGAGAAGCTTCAAATGCTGCTTCTAGCTCGTCAGCATAATATCATTATTCTCTCACTACCTCCGCATACTACACATAAGCTTCAGCCCCTTGATGTTGGTGTCTTTGGTCCGTTCGCGCGAGCATGGCTTGATCGGTGTGTACAGATCGTTAAGGAGACAGGATCGGAAATGCCCCGCGAGGATTTTGTTCATGAGTACATGGCCATTCGGGAAAAGACATTCACAGAAGGGACAATTCTCACCGCATGGAGAAAGAGTGGCCTTTGTCCCCTCAACCCAGATATCTTCACTGACGCTGACTATGCACCAAGTATTGCGACCTCATATTCAGCTCGGCCAGTTCCTCGCAGTTATCCCTGTGATCCTCAGGATTCAAATAGTCCCATGCCGCATGCAGAAGAAGACGATAGCTCGTCCGACGAAAGCTGCTTGGATGCATGTGAGGATGGACAATGTAAGGGCAACCTCAAGATGGCCGCACAGTGCAAGCCCAGCAGAGGGAGAATCCAAAGATAATGAATAAGACTAACTACAGTACATGAGAGGGCTGCTCACCTAGCAGAGGGAGAATCCAAAGAGAACAGGATGGGGATTCTCCATGCTAGGAAGCGAAGTATATACTGTAGTAGCGTGAGAGGAATGCAGGATAACTGTACAGTACACCAGCCACAAGTCCGAACAGATATCACAAGGTACAAGGAAACATGTGATAATGAAGTGGAGGGTAAATGCACAGAAGTCATGCCAGCGACTTGGGGAAGTAAGGGCGAAGAGTAATGAAGTGGGGGGAAAGGATAGAGGTAACCCGGACGAGCCCCGAGGAGTATAGACGAGTCCGAGCGAGTCCGAAGTGTCCGAAGTGCGGGAAGACTCCGGAGTCACCGGACACGGCTCGGATGCGAAAGGAGTGGGTGGAAAGGAAGTGGAAAGGAAAGGGAGCAAAAAGGAACGAAGGGGAATGAAGGGAATGTAGGTAAGAGTCCATGGAATGAAGGAAAGGAGAGAAAATAGGAGTGTCCCCTTACAGACAAGGCGAGTTATTGCAGCAGGAACCTACTGCAGAGCCATCAATACGATCCATGCCGCCAAATCCAGCCGCGCGATCAACACTGTCCCGATTGACAGCACCAACAGCTGCCAGCATACCATCTCAAGTCTTGACATTCCCCCCGCTTCCGCCACCGACATTCTATCAATTGCCACCAATGAGCCATTCTCTCCGAGGCGCCATCCCTCGACATCGGTACAACGAGCTGGCAAATCACTACACGCAGGCCATCCTCCAGATTGAAGCAATGTCGGCGCACTGTGCAATGGCTGAAATGGAGATACAACGGCTAAAACGAAAAGAGAACTTGAAGGACAACCGCGCAACCAAGAGACAGAAACTCAACGCGGATGCGAGGGTTGTAAGGGCAACCTCAAGATAGCTGCACAGTGCAAGCCTAGCAGAGGGAGAATCCAAAGAAATGAATAAGACTAACTACAATACATGAGAGAGCTGCTCACCTAGCAGAGGGAGAATCCAAAGAGAACAGGATGGGGATTCTCCATGCTAGGAAGCGAAGTATATACTGTAGTAGCGTGGGAGGAATGAAGGGTAACTGTACAGTACACCAGCCACAGGTACGAACAAATATCACAAGGTACGAGGGGGCATGTGATAATGAAGTGGAAGGGGAATGTACAGGAGTCGTGCCAGCGACCTGGGGAAGTGGGGACAAGGAGTAATGAAGTGGGAAAGGAGGATAGAGGTAGCCCGGACGAGCCCCGAAGTGTATCTACGAGTCCGAGGCGAGTCCGAAGTGCGGGAAGACTTCGGAGTCACCGGACGGGGCTCGGATGCGAAGGGAGTGAACAGAAGGGAAGCGGAAAGGTAAGGGGACAAAAGGAAAGGAAAGGGGATGAAGGAAAGGGGAAAGGAACGAGGAGGAAGGGGGCGGGACAGGGGGAATAGGAGAAAATGGGAGTGTCCCCTTACAAGGGTGTTGACATCCCAGAAAGGCATAGAACTCGCGAGGCAGAAGGAAGCAGAGCAGAGAGAGAAGCAGCAGGCGAAGGATGCAGCTCGGGAGGCTCGCGCAGCAAAGGAGAACGAGGAAGAACAACACCGTGTGTCCCGAGATCCAAACGAACCCTTTTACGGCTCCCTCTCGTCGAAGAATAAATCTGATTTGAAGGATGTTGCACACGCTCTCAAGCTGTCAAAGGAGGGAACCAAAGAAGTGTTGCTCAAGCGAATCCAGGATCATTTTGATGACCATCCTCACCTTCGGGTCGATCAACGCTTCCATGGTTTATTTAACCGCGGACGACCTCGAGCTTCGGAACCCAATCCCGCACCTCCTAGCTTCGAGCCCAATCCTCCGCCCTTAACCCCTCAGCCGCTTCGACTAGCTCCCTTTGCCTTACATCCCACTCTCGCACTTTACAATATCAACGGTCATAATATTCAGTATCAAGGAAATGATGTGCATAATTCATACCTCACCGTTCACGATGTTCATCCAAGACTCCCTTACATTATCCACCCACCTACTTTTAATCCATTGGCAACTTCTAGTTATACCGTAAATATCTGATTTTATTAGTACATAGTCATTTACTAGTACATATTAAATACATACCTTAGTCTTCGTGGCCGTGTGTCCGACACCACGTTGATCTTTGCGTACTCTGCGGTTTGCAGATCTACGAAGGTTTGATCGCTGCCGCGCTGCCGAACTCATGACGGCATGCACGGCTCGGCAACGGAGTCTGAATTACGCGTGACACACTGTGACGAAAAGTTTGCAAATCTATGTTTTTGGGTACTCGTCGTACCGGCATCGTTATTGCTCTACTACTCTGCAAGGGATTGACTCAAAAAGTTTATAGGGCTTTAGACAAGATGCGCGACAACCTCTCGTAGCGTGCCGGGAATCGTCGGGGCATTCAATCTGGAGCACAACGTCGAAATGTCCGAAATTTTGCAAATCCGTCTGAGTGATAGTAGTGAGTGGATGTGGAGAAACTGGTCGAAACGCCATATTTATCGACGGAGGAGTTCTCACAGTCAGTAACGGATCAATCGATCACTTCTTCCTTACTTCAAGTCAATAACCTCCACATAATAAAGATCTTGACTCTAGAGGACCTTGCCGCCCCTTGACCACTCTCCTTTCTCGTGTCTTTGACTTCGAAAACTCAGAGACACAACCTACCCTCTCGCGTTTCTTTCTTCGGGTTGCATTAGATCTATGTGGAGCGTGGCGCACTCGGATCCATACCTGGGTCGTATATGCATATTTCGGGGTGAAAGCTATAGAACGACACAAGTGTCTGCCATGCGAACCAAGTGAGAGGCGCCACGGAGGGGGTGACGGGTATGACAGAACGCTACGTCAGGTTCGCGGAGGCCCATCCCGTGGTGGATCGTGAGTACTTGAGTGCTGCTTCTTTTTTTTCTCGTTCAATCCAAACTTATGCGTCCATAGACTTGGTCTCGACGACACAATGCACATCCCTTTGGAAGATTCCAAAGATAGCCCGTAGATCATTCATCATGTGTGGAATAGTTTGGGCCGCGTTTGGCAGAGACAATCGTGGTAGATGAGGTACGAGCTGATGAACAACTTTTTATCACCGACATGTGCTAATTCCATGTCACCCTAATCGCAGTCGGGCTGACAATCAGTGTGCTTCCGTATCACCGAGAGTGTACGACCGCGATTCCTTCCAGCCGTGATACGATCATAACACGTCCTGTCGCACGCAGGCCTCCCACCCAGCTGTCCTTCGGTGACGGCTCAGATTCATATCAAACTCAGCATCTTTATATGAAGTTTACCGCGCTGTCGTGATGCTGGTCTTTCATTGCAAGTTGCAACAACGAAAACGGCCCCTCCGCTTTGGGACCCTCGGAATCGTACCTCATTGCATCACATACAGCGCGCGCCTTGAGCTTGAACGGCATCCCTTGTCCACCCCCATCCCGGAGGAAAACATTCGGGGATGTGTCGAGCATATACAGCCGCCTTCCGCCCGCCCCAAACGCCTGTTCCTTGACGGTTCCTCGACTTCTTCGACAGCCGACTTTTGTCATGGATGAAAGGCGGGCAAGCATGGTTCTGGCCGTGCTGATGGCCTGTGATTGCTGAGAATCGCGGAGGGAGGCGCATTATTTAATGCCCTGTTGTGCATGGCGCAAGGCAGCACACCGAGGCCGCAATGATCACCTTCAAAGCAATTGTCTTTGCTCTTCTAGTTCTCCTTGTCGAACTCAACACCGCATCTCCCAATGTAAGCGTACCATATCGCACTCAACCAACATGGACTTTACTCACACCCGCTGCTTTCGCAGGTATCTCGTCGCTCGGCACTCACATGCCTATCGTCGAACATCCCCCGCTTCAATCCTGTCGCAGTATTCAGGGATCCCCCTGCATCAGGACCCCCCTCGGCCGCCCTCGGCATGATCAACGTCGCCACAATCCCCGGCCTCAGCTGGGGCATCTTCTCGGCGGGCGGCGGCACAGGCGGCTGGCTCTTCTACAACCTGCAGAGCGGCGCGATATTCCCCGTCGGCTCCGCCCCGTTCCCCGCGCCCGTGTCAGTAGCTCTGGTCGCCGGGGAATCGCCCTTGTTCGTGTCCATCCGGAACCCGCCCACGCCATTCGCGGGGTACTGTTCGGCGGTTCGTCTTCGTGCGCCTTTCTTGGTATGGCGATTGACTGATACGCGGGAGTAGATTAATCCTGCAGGGGGCCCGGACATTCTATCTGTGGGAGGGCAGTCGCTGTGGTCCCTCTGTTCCAACACGACCGCCGGGGGGCGGAACGACCTCGTATGGTCTCCCATCGCCAACCACGCCCACTATTCGCTCCCAAGTTGCCAGGAAGTTGATATTCAGATGATCCCAGCGTAAGCGGCTGCTGTTCACCGAGCTGTTGACGAGCGCCATGAGTATATTCGTCTTCCATGCTACGAATCGCCGTGCTACTGCCGTATGTTCTACATTTGAGTTGCTCCAATTACTATGCTTTTCTTATCAGCCAGACGGACTGGTTAACGATGTGGCAACTGGCATTACTTGGCCACCTTGGACGACACAAGCCATGGACACCCGCCTCCTCGATGCTATCAGCGTCGCAAAGCAAATTATATACGACGCGCCGGTATGTATTTCTTCCCATTCCACAATGCCTACTCCGTATCTGGGGATTCTGCGCAAGCATAGCCTCGCACGGCGATCTGCTGGAACGCCTTCGACCCAGAATCTGTCTCGTCCTTGTTCCGAGCTAAGGCAAGTACAACAAGAGGCCTTGGGGAAGACCGGCGATGTCGGACAAGTCGCGTGCCAGCATTGCTCAACGTTCTCCGAGTCTTTTGAGTAACTCAAGAGTGCGGCTGCACGTTTCGCTAGTACGTGCTGATAACTAGATTTGTAGCACTTATATGGCATTGAATTCGGCTATTGGCACTTCGGAGGGAGCGCACTACCGACGCGTCCCGAGGATCCTTATTTATGATAGCGCCAGAGGATTTGCACTGGCAACGTAATGAGGATCCAACAGTGTTACAACGTATTCGTATTCGGTTACGGGCCATTGCCACAAATATCCTCCGCACTACGAGAACTGATACTATGGCCCTCTGGACAAGTTACTCGACCTCATCTTTGCAGGCCCACATTTCATCATCAAGCCTCAAGCGCTTCTCCATAAGGAGGAAGAAACTGAAGCTACACAGGCCCAATTCATCATAACGTAGAGGCCGTCGACGATGAATACATTGATGGCCAACCACCTTTGATCCACAGACGCCACAAGCCACGACCTCTACATGGGCCATCTCCTTCGACGTTGACCACAATCGCCACTCACATTCTGCTTAAATAGCGTCTGGCTGAGTGAGTCTCCTGGTCAAACGTATACTACCCCACAATGCTCCCAGTCGAACTGCTCCTCCAGATCTTCGAACAACTCCACGATGACCGGCCAACACTGCTGAATCTTCTCCTCGTCTCGCATCATTTCTCCCAGTTGTCCGAGTCGATTTTGTACGCCGACGTCACCTTGAAGCCCGCCCGCCTCTCCAGCTATTCTGGATCAAGACGTACAATACTCGCTTGCTTTGCGGAGTCGCTCAGCGGCCCGCCGTCTTCTGAGTCTCTGAGGCCTCACCGGACCCGCCGGCGCTCTGCGGTCAAGCGCCTCTTCATCGATGGCTCCGACATCCCATGCATTCCGCACACCGAATACGCACAGCTCGACCTCATCCTGACCAAGCTACCCCATCTCCAGTCATTCCACTTCACCCATCTCGGGAGCGCCGTCAGGTGGTCGCCTTTCGCGTCCTCCAGAATCACTGTTGCCCCGCCTTTCCAGCTGACGCGTCTCATCTTCAACGGCGCCATGCACCCTTCGCACGCCTCGAAGATGGTACACGGCTTCCTTGCATCGCAAACCAAGCTCGAACACCTGGAAATCGGGAGCGTCATTGAGGAAGCCCTCGGGAGCACCGATAGTGATAGTGATGGTGCCGTCGCCGCGGTCCACCCGACGCTAGTAGCCTCTTCTTCCCTGCGTATCTTGGAGACGTCGGCGCTCGATTTCTTCCTTGATGCCGGGAAGACCCCCAACCTCACCCACCTCAAGCTCTCCTCGAGCACCGCTTTACGCCTGGACACACTCACACTCATCGACTCCCCACCCCCAGGTCCCCTCTCAAACCTCCGCGTCCTCTCGACATCGCGGACGCCGCATCTCTCTTCAACGGCATCTGCAGGCTCCCCTTCCGCTATGGCCACTACCCCCCTCCCGAATTTAGAGTACTGGGAGCTCCGCTCAGAATGGGTCGACCTCGGTGCCTTCCTCCAAGATCCTTGCGTTCGTCGGTTCCTTGTGTCCCTCCCTCGACTCAGAGGGATTCGGTTTTCCGCGGACGTAGCAGTGCATTCGAGGGAGGGTGTTGCACAGACGTTCGAGAGTGTATTGGGGCTAGAGTTTATTGAGGTGAGGGTGAGGAGGAAGGGAGGGTTGTTCGAACGGTATTACCGGGGCGAAGAGAAGCCCAGATTAGTGCAACGGCGATGTGAAGAAGAAATCGAGTGGTGCCAGACATGGGAACACGATGCCTCCGCATCATAGCACCTTCCACTTTTACTGTACATTAGACGCGAATAGCCAGCAATACAGTTCAATCTCCTGCGCGGTAATCTTCATAGTTAGTGCTAAAACATTTGAAGATGAAAATAGATGGCATCTCCGTGGCTTGAACACGGGACCTTCAGATCTTCAGTCTGCTGCTCTCCCAGCTGAGCTAAGACGCCTGTTGAAATGTCGTTCGGCGGTGCTGATGCGATTGTTTGCACTTTGTTGGGTAACTACGAAGACTTAAGGCTGAGTTCAACTGGTGTTCAAGAGCGGCCTGGCACGTGATAGACTGGTCCTTCATGGAACTCTACCGCTGCATTGTAGCTGATGATGCTACTGGTGCCTTCTTAGACCTGTTCAGTGCAGCTTATGATCAAGATTCCCCTGCTAGCTCGTTAATTGAGGATATAGAACGTTCTCACCGCGCTGTAAAAGGCGGTCTCCTCCTCGTAAAAGTTTTCACTCTGCGTCTTTTCCTACACCAATCTCGCCATAGATAGATTTCTCAGAACCTCCCTTTCCCCCGGAGAACAACCCTCGTAAGTTGCGAGATCTCAAGTTGGACTGGCGGGAGGTTCGTAAAGCGTGCTCCGGATATGCCACCAGCGCCCCGCTGTCTTTCATTAAGAAATTCTACAATTACCCTGAGAATTCAGTTCGTTTGCTCGTTTTCTGTGGTCAGTCTCTATTCTCATCTCATTTCTCGCTCTCTGATATAATACACATAGTCGCACACGAACAACCAAGCCTTCATACTATCCCAGAGGAACCAGATGGAACCCGGAGGTATGCCATTAGTATGTTGACTCCATATCTTCCCTAAGTTAATCATACTGACTATTAACTCTAGGAGCGGACCGTCCTTCCGTTGCTGCCGCTATTCAGGTGCACATGAAATCTCCTTCAACAAGTGCCAAAAACGAGCAGTTGATGATGACGGAGCATGAAAATGTACCCGAAGCCGTCTACGATGGCCGTCCCGCAAACCTCATCGGGCCCAGCATCACGATCTACCACCCCATATTCTCCGAATTCAAGCACAAACTGAACCAGCTCCCCGCTGTGGGCGAAATACCTCCCTCAGACCTCCAGATGGCGCTTTTGTTTGTCGACACAAGTGCACGATACTTTAGCGATGAAGGGGAACGTCATCGCGCTCTGCGTCCCTTCGTGGTGCACTTCTTGGGCGGCAGCTTCGACGAAACGACCATCGTATGCTGGAAAACCACCATGAGGCTGGACGGTCACAGGAGAGCCAGGTGTGGCCTCCTTTCGTTAGGAAACCAAGGTCGCGATGCCATGCTTGTCTGCCTTGAAGAACTGAATAACGGGATAGGCCTGGGTAACGTGGACCCCGTAGAACAGGCGGCGAAGGGGTATGTCCTCATGAGTACCCAACCAGAGGTATGTTCCACTTCCCATTTCCGCTGTTCTTGCCACTCACATTTAGAGCAGCTAGCTGAGCTCCGAAGGATCTCGTGTATGCCCTCGTTCCTCTTGGGAATAGCCGGTCCATTCATCACGGTCTCTGGCGCGATTTACGTTAACGGGGTCATCTCTCAGCGGCTCACAGACATGATCTGCGTCGTGGCAGATTCCTCCTCCTCGATCCCCCCCGAGGGCTTCGTCAGCGAACGCGAAAAGCACATCTACAAAATCGCCCACTTGTTCAGGACGCTCCGCTGGTGTCTGGATAAGCTCAGCGAGGAGTACGAAAAGCTGTCCTCAACAAGAAGCGATCATACCGTTGTGCCTGCGCCGCATTTTACCGCCTTCCGCGCCCTGGACTCGCGCGATTTTACGCTGACTTACCAAGAACGTTTCTTCGACAGTCGGAGCCATCGCGCCATCTTTCTCGCGCAGGCAAAGTCCGACGATGGAGCGAGTTTGCTGTGTGTCGTCAAGTTCACATCGCGCTACTGCCGAGAAGCACACGAGCTTGTGCAAGCCGTGGGCGGAGCGCCGAAGCTGCTGTACTGTACGTTCGAGCCGAGCGTCGGGAAATTCTGCGTCGTCACGGAGTACATCGAAGAGTCGCGTAAACCGTCGGCAGCTGATAAGGACAAAGTCGTCGACGCGATGAAGAACGCGATGAAAACACTACATGATAATGCGTATGTCTTTGGCGACTTGCGCAGCGCCAATATCATCATCGACAGAAGTGGACATCCGTACCTGATTGACTTTGACTGGTGTGGGAAGGAAGGCGCCGTTTTTTATCCGACTGATCTCAATACAAACGGCATCGAATGGGCGGCCGGCGTTGAAGGGGGAGGGAAAATCAGAAAAGCGCACGACGAGTGGATGCTGCAGGCATACATTGACGAGCTACAGTCCTTGATGGACGTAACATGATTCCTTGCATATATTCCTGCCGTTGTACGCCCTCTTATGAACCGGATGCACGAATACTACATACCAGTGGTGTCTCCTTAGTGAGAATCGTAACGTCGACACCCTCTATGTTCTATCGCGTAGGCGCCGCGCCATTGTGCCAAACCTATAGCGTCTTCGCATGCTTCCATCAGAAGGAGATTAAGAGAGAAAGATTTACTGTACCTGGCTATTTCAGGAATTACGATTCAGAGGTCTATTTGGCGGATCCTTGTAGGCGGCAATGTCCTGTTCAGCCTAGCAAGCTGGAAACTTGCCAGTGAAGTATGGCGGAGCTCGGAGGGCGATCAAATTCAGTAAGAAGCAGAAGTTCAGAGACGCACACAAAGCCCGGTTTGAGTTGCGTTCATATTCATGAGATTGGAGGAGCTTCAACCAAGCTTCAGAACAGGCAGTGGGCGCTAGAGAAAACTGCAACCATCATGGTCTTGTTGCATTGGTCCCTTCCAACTTGAAAGTGATGTTCCTGGATAGCGGACACCCTGTAAAAACAAAAAGACCTTCGAACGTAATGCGGTTTGTGAGTATTTCGTAGGTTCTATCTATGGTTATGGTCCCTGGCAATGTCCTAACAACGGTACTTCTTTTTCAGCAGTATGTAGACTTAGCCATTAGCTTAATCCATAAATGTATACCAACGTCCCAGCTGTCGGTATAGCATTCCGAACTTTGGATGCGTGCGGTGAGGTCGGAGTCTTGCAATTGTCAAATGTCGATATAGGTACGAAGCTGCAAGCATACTCCAGGCTTACGACGTAACGCGCCCGCTCTCTAACGCCGTTCTGCACTGAAATAGTGTCCCGGATGGTGGAAGGAACCCAAATATTATTTGCGAATACTGGTGGGTACTACATAGTCGTTTGTCAGCGCACCTCGAGCTAACCCATCTCTAGGCCTTTACTTCCACCACTTACGCATTCGCTCGACCGCGTTGCCTCCACAAAGGCTAATACGGTGACCTTCTCCTCCCTTGTTCAGCCGATAGATGTCCCCAATGCGGGAGATCCAGCCATCCGGCGAAGGGTCGAGTATATCATTTGGCCTATGAACTCGGCCCGTCGCAACGCCGTCGCATTCGCGCAGGCCAGCTTCGTCGCATTCTGAAGTAGGCCTGATTCCCCGATGACGTCGTACCACAGCCTTAGAAGACGTCGAAAGTGCTGGGAACGTTGGAGGAGAGATCGAGCTGGCACACATCCTCGGTATGTCGCTCCCATCACTCTGCTCGTCGCCGTCTCACTGCCATCGCCTTCCAGGTTCGTAGGCATTTAGTCTCCATCCCAATCAACAATCCTCACCTCATCCGCCCGTCACACGAGGCCACTCATAAACAATGGCGTTACTAGTCCAATCCGCCCGAACGATACCAACTCCAAAATCCATATTCTATTTCGCAGTACTGATTTATCAGTCCAAATTGAGTTAAGGCTAGCAGTGTCCAGTGGCGGTCTGGTGCGCATATCCGCCAACGTCTCAACGCATCATGGTCTGACGAACAAAGCGACGACTATCATGACCCCAGGTAGCGCGACCATCGACCAGAACGACGCCGCATACCCCTCGAACCGTGACATCGTGTCGTCCGCACGTCCAGAGTTGACGCCCTCTGTAATTGAAGTCACAACTACATCATGATCAGTCAGCCACACTTTCCCCGCGCAAACGCAACGACAAGAGAACGCAGAAGTGCTCACTAGCAAAACCGAGCGTCGACCCAACCTGGTACGCCGTGTACATCACCGCGCCCACGACGCCCTCCTCCCCCTTCCTCGCGCCGCCCATGACCACCGCTGTACACGCAACATATCCGGCTGCCAGCCCCAGCATGCCGACGATCATACCAGGGAAAACGTACGGCCAGTACTTATCTCGGGTGTCTGCGAGCGCGAAGAGGACGGAGCCGACGGCCATGAGGACTTGGCTACCGACGAGGATGTAGTTGGGCGGCAGTCTGGGGACGAATCGCCCGGATAGGTAGGAAGCGATGCCGCCAGCGACGCCCATTGGGATGCAGCGGACGGCAGCGATGAGGGCAGAGTCGCCCCAGAGGTTCTGCGGAGTGCATGAGCGGTTGGTTAAGTAGTAATGGGAATTTGGATGGGAGTGGAAGGAGAGGAAAAGGTGGTGAGTGTACGCACCATGAACACGCTGACGAGCTGGAGCTCGCAGCTGAGGCACCACCAGTACGGGCTCCACGCGTAGAAAAAGAGCGGAATGAAGTTCTTGTTCGTCCACGTCTTTGGCGGGAGGGCCGGGTTCGAGACGTATTGCTCGATGCCGAAGAATGCACCGACGACGAATACAGAGAGAACAAGCGTTGTTATAACTTGTGGTGAGCCCCAACCTAGATATCAGAATGCGCAGGCTTGACATGAATAATGGCCATGCTGTGTATATCGGTAGACACGCACCGACTTCCGCGCCATCGGAGATGGCATACACGAAGAGTATGAGGCCCGCAGTGAGCGTCAGCACCCCCGGTATGTCGATCGACCGGCGCTCAGATTTTGGTGGAGCCTTGTGCGGAGGCAACAGGAACCAACCCGCAATAGCCATGGGAATGACGAGAATGGCTACCAGGTAATGCACTGTCCAAGATTAAAATTACGCAGTGAGTATGAGTTCTCCTCGGCGTATCTGAGGCATTTAAATTAATGAGTACACGCACCCCAGCGCCAAGAAGTACGTGCGGTGAGGACGCCACCTATGACAAACCCTGCGACGTTGCCCACTGTTCCAGCGATAGCGTACGCTGCGTAGGCGCCGCTGCGTTCGATGGGATCTGTAAATGTTATTCGTATCATTGCGATCGCCGAGGGGACGTTCATAGCCGCGCCTATCAATCAAAGCGCAGCATCAGAAACACGAGTAGGGCATTAAGGACATGTAGCAAGCGACGCAAAGAGAATCATATAACACGTACCTATTCCTTGCAATGCTCGAAACACGATGGCCATAATTGGGTGGACGCTCGCAGCTACGGGGATGCTGAATAGCCCCAAGAAAGCGAAGCCCAGACAGAATATCGGTTTCGGGTGATATATATCGGAAAGCGTGCCGGATATCAACATGAAGGAGGCGAAAGTGAGGGTGTAGGCTGAGAGGATCCATTGCAGGGCTCCTGGCGTGAAGTTGAGATCCGCTCCGAGCTACAGAATGCATTAGTCGTGGAGTGTGGACGGATTTGAGATACTGACCGATGGTAATGAGACGATGACGGCGTTCGCATTGAAGAGGTCAAAGAACTGCGCAGAACAGAAGACGCCCAGAATGATGATCTTTCGAAGTTTAGAAAGCGGGGCGTGGTCGTCAGTGATGCCGGCGAGGGTTTCGATATCGGAAGATGAGGGGGAGGACGAGGTCTTTTCCTTCGACGCCCCCTCGTTTTCACCAAGTCTACTTTCACCTTCCGTGCTGGAGCTTCTACTACGGCTCAATGCACTCTGAGTTGCCTCGTCGACGGAGGAAGTTGAAAAGGGAGTCGTCGACATCGCGGGGTAATTTCGAGGAACCTGCAAGGTTCAAATTGTAGCGACGGTTCTTATACATCGCTACTTGCAATTGAAGCGGCACGAAGTGGGTTCCAACTTGGCAATGCGTCGCGATCGAGAAATGCGACATCAATATCTGACCATCACTTGGCGTCTGTATTGAACGCTTGCGGCTGAAGCACACTAAAGTGTTACCTGGATCGTGATCCTCGCTGGTTCAGTACATCCTGGCATTGTGTGTATGTACCCTGGACGAGCAATTAGCCCTCGGCGATTACATCCTAACTTCAAGGAAAGAGCTAGTCACCTCGTAGAAAGCTCAGTCCGAGTCTGATATGACAAGCCGCCGGTCGTCATTGATTTAGGCGACATATTCGGATCCGGCATCAATCCGGCACACCAAGCGAGACCGACGTTGACGGAAAAATAGCCTTCGAATTTCGCGTGCTCTACTCAATCCAGTAGCCGGCCCCGGCAAACCACATGAGCCCTCGACATGCTGTCAAATCCACAGTCGTAGCACGCAAGTTGAACAAGACTTACCATGGTCTGTGCTCATTTGGTAGCCCCGCCGCGATGATCGGGTCAAGATCGGGTTCTGGTTGATTGTGTAAGTTGGATTGATTAGTTGACCCGATCCTATGAACTTGAGGGCGTCCATTCATCACCAGTATCAATATTGATAGAAGGCGTTCATGGGCTCGTAGCAATGATAGCTTGGTGTACTCGGGTCCTTCAAGGCAAGGCCGAACAATACGCCTATAGTACGTACTACCATGGATGAAGCGAGCGGGCGACCACACGGCGGTAGGGTTTTCTGTCCGCTAAAACGGTGGATTGACCCCGATTCCCAGCAGGAAGAAGTACCGTCATTTCGCTGCATCGTAGCTCTACCTCTGTGTCGCCCATAGTTCAGCAGTAAATTTGATCTCTCTGGCCAAGCCAATTGAACGTAGGGTATCAATGACGATACACAAATTTGCAAGCGGTATTGAGGGGCATGAAGGAATGTACTGTGCGAGTCTCGAGATTGATGGCCTTCGAGGAATCCTAGATGTTCGTTTCGGATCGTCCTGGCACCTCAAGAACGTCGTCCTCGACGCTCGGACCATCCGTGTACCCCAAAGATAGCCGGCAGGAGTGCTGAGCCGCGAACGTTTGAATAGTTGCCATATGGTGAGTATAGCGAGCTAGACGTCCTTATGGTCGGCCGCCGTTCGAAGGCTGATTGTTGGCCGCAGCTTTGCCGTAGGTACGGATACGATACCCAAAAGTCGGACAGTAGAGACAGTGTGCGGAAATCGCCGTCAGTCGGCATGCGCGCGTGGTGGTCTTTGGTTTGTTAGTTTGTGGTGCGCAATGTACAGTCGAGTATACATACACATATCAAAGCTACTGTAGCAGTGGTTCGAATGGTCCGGCCAGTACGGGCCGGAAGGGAAGATAGGGGTGGGCGCCAAAGCGCTGATACCCTTATTGCGACCGTCTTATTGATGAACATGAGAAATTCATTTTCCCAGCTTCTCCGTGGCAGCAAGGTTTATAACGCTGGTACAAAAGTCTTGGTGACCCATTCACGAAGAAATGGGTAGCTCGTTCCGAGTCCAAGTAACGGATGAAGAAATCGAGGCGTTGACGGGCCTTGAGGTCCGGGTTGCCTGTAGAGAAATAGGTGAGACCGATATCTGCTTGGAAGTTCTCCTCGCCGTAGAGAATGCAGAGGCTCGGTCCATGTTTTCAACAATCGTATCCATTTGATTGCGCGACCTGTCCTTCTTAGTGAGGGATGGGCTGGAATCATTGAACTCCATTGAACTAACAGGTCCTCGTTCCACATATTGGATATGTAATGTTAGCAACAATATGTTATCCTGCACGCTGTGTGAACTCCACCTAACAGGTTCTCTACGGTAATCGGAGCTAGCCGACAGTGGTCCACCAACACCGCACATGATCACTGTGGGAAATATTTTCATCGGCGAGATGGCCGAGCGGTCCAAGGCGCCAGACTAAGGTAGACCAGCTCATTAGGTGAGCAACCCCATCTGGTCTCTTCGGGGGCGCGAGTTCGAATCTCGCTCTCGTCAAATCTTTTTGCCTTGACGACCAGCGACTTGATCTTGGGCTTGCTTCGTCTCGTAGATGCCTTCATTCAGTCTTCAAAATCCCACCAAACTTCGCGTCTCTTGTGGAAGTTCGCCATGGCATGTTTGTACTACTACAAACTAGCTGGTGGAGGTTTCCCTTGGAGTCGTACACGGCTACCCAAAGACGCGCTGTTCAATGTACTCGTATTCCTTCATCTTGCCCAGTCTTGATCCACGACGGCTAGTCCATCGTCTCGAAGACGCCGCAAACCCTGGGTGCACAGCGACGAACAACGACTAGCCCAAGAATGTCAAACTTCCAGCGAATGCCTTTGTCGAGCCCATGTTCTGAAGTCTTACTGTGTCCAGTCGGGGCGAATCTCCGACAAGAAGCGTTATGATCGTGAGGCTTGCCCATACTCCGAGCTCTTCGGCTCGACTTTCTTCCCATGCCCTCTAACATTTGGCGCTGCGAAGGACCCAAGAATTCGTATAAGTATAGCATCTTTCCGTCTGCACCCATCAATAACCTCGGCGTCACGGCTGTCACGCCCATGTGCAAGATCAACACCCTTCCTCGCGAACTCTTGACTGACATCTTCGAATATGCCGTGTGTCCCAGGCTGAGTGAGTGGGACACATTGTGGCAATCCACTCCAGTTCTACACAGGACGCTCTCCCTCGCTCGGGTTTGCCTGGCATGGCATGCGATCGTGATTAGCACGCCTTCATTGTGGACGATCATCAATGGCCACCCAACCCCATCCACTCTCCGTCGTGCATGGAACTTATCCTCCGAGTCGAACACTCCTCTTCGTATCGGCTTGAATCCCTTCTGGAGATCACCGAGAGAAAGACAAGAGTACCACGAAGCCGTGAAAGATTTCTGCCTACAAATCCATCGTACCGCATTTCTCGACATACATATTCACGCCCACGATCTTGCTTTATTCTTTGACCATCTCTCCGAGCTTGGAGACGCGCCTGTTCTCGAATATTTCAGAGTCAAACCGTCTTACCCCACGACATATTTGATCCCCGAAAGCATATTCGGCGGCAAGCCCCTACCTCCACTGCGGTATATCGAACTCGAATTCTGCACGATCTCGTGGAGATCGCCGCTGCTACAAGGTCCTAAGCTATCCACATTGAAGCTGGGTTATCAGCCGCGTCTATCCTACACCCTGATGCTCGACGTCTTCCAAAACATGCAGGCCCTCGAAGTGCTGTCCCTGACACATTGCTTACCCAACCCACCGCCCGAAGTAATCCACGACGGCGCCGTTTATTTACCAAGGCTAAAGCATCTGGAGCTCCTAGAAGATGATATAGAATCCTACGAGAGTTTCTTACGAACGGCGAACTGCGCACCAACCACAATGCGAATAATCACCAGTCCCCGAAGCCCGAACCGCCGGGTTCCCCAGTTTTTCAATGTGCTCGGAAGGAGAGTGTCGGCCCGTAGGGCAATCAAGATACTGAAGATAGACGAAGATGGGGGACTGCAGCTCGAAGGGTGGACATCCTCATCTTCAGCTACCCCGCCCAACTTCACCATCGCCATTCCCTCATCGTCAAGGCATGGCCAAATGCTCACCACCGCTCTCACCAAGCTCCCCTTCCACGCTCTTCGCACACTGTACTTCTACTCCCCCTTCGTGTCGTCATTAGGCGTAGCCGCTTTATCAAGGAGGCTCCCGAAATTGACAAAAGTGGAGCTGTCCAGACGGTCTACTCTCCCTCTGTGCCAGGTATTCTCGCAGCATCTGAGCTGTAGCGTTATACCGTTCTGGGGCGCGGCGCAGGTGGGAATATGGAGCCCGTCGAGGATAAGAGATTACGGTCGGCTTTCGGTGCATATTGAGCAAGTGGAGGAAGCAAGAAGGGCAGGCGGGCGGCCTATCTTTTTCGTCGAGAGAGGCAATGATCCTCTGCGACATCGCCGGCTGTAAAATGCCCATTGCTTCTACTTTGACAAGCTCTCTTGTAGTCGATGTAACAAGGCTTTGTCGCTGTATACGGGACTTCTCACTGTCGAGGAGCAATCATTAACCTGACTCCCGTATGCGCCTTGACCTCGCGCGTTGATCGGCTTCCAATCTGATGTATCCTTCGGTAGTCCTGCTCAAAGTTCACACAGCCGCCCTCGATACGCTCGTCTTGGATATCCTATTTTCTGGCTAGCATCGGCCAGCAACTTTCCTTCCTCCGAGTACTCAAATTGCACTCTTTTCAACGTACCTACCACGTAGCGCAATATACAGCCTTCTGACTAGTCACAGTTTTTTGCTATGGGAGTCGTGCTGATTGATTAATTCTAAAGGCGGCTCACGTCGGATCCAACCACTGCCCATCAACAACGCATTAATCATGCACGGAACCCCATCTCAACTATATCCCGAGCAATGAAAGGAACTTCAGGTTGCTCCCTCGTCGTCGCCAGCGTATCCTACGTGGAAGTCGGACGCATCCAACTGACTAAGATACCGTGCGTTGGTGGACACTATAGAAATAATGCACTACGGAACGGGGTCAACCTCCCATCGTTTTATTCTCCGTTTCTTGAGCAGGTTCCAAAGGTTCTGTGTATCCCGCCCATCCATGTTCATCCGTTTCAAGCTGTACTCGAAAAGCCGGCAATGATTACCTTCGCTACAGCACACCATTTCCTCCTAGGTTGTTATATATTTGATTTAACGGCGGGTGTAGGTCGTGTTAACGGGTTTACCTTCATCGGGGAAGTAAATATGATTACTATCATGGCCGGGGCTGAGACAGCGTCGGCCACCCCTTGCATAGGCCTCGCTACCGCCCTCTTTACCGTCATGTCCATCCCCGCTATGTATGTGCACCGATCAACCTCATCATTGATATTCCTCATTTACGCGATTTCCATTCCGAAATTAGTACATTTCTAGGTTAGCTTCGCCGCTGAATTCTTTTATGTAGACGGTTGTGCTCGGACTATCTGGCTTTGTACGTACCACCAACACTCATCCGGATCATGACAGGCCCTTATCTTCTTCTCGAGCCATTCTCTTGGTGCTGTGGCTGGTGACTGCCGCGCTTACACCCGGCATGACAAAAATACTGGGCCCAAACGCGTGTAAGGTCCATATCGGCACACCGTTGCACTCGCACTGGCCCGGTATCATCTCAAGAATTGACCAGGTGGCTGGAGACTCTCGTGCGACATTGGGGCGGATTCCTACAGAAACTGTACTGCCCGTACGTCGTATCTCTTCTTCCAGAACCGCCCGCGAGGTGGCCTCTACATATCTTGATGGAATATCCACTCCGTTCCGCGTGCCCTGTCAATTATGGTGATTCAACCTAACATCTTTTCCTTTAGTCGTATTTTATGGTGCCGTCCTCTCGATACTCACGGTGAAGGCCATAATCGAAGGGCATCTCAATGCGTGGATGACGTCGTCCATGGAACTTCTTGCCTATCCCAAGGACAGGATATGGAATCCTCATCTACTGGCGACACGTTCGGCGACAAGCCCGCCCATGAGCCTCGCCTCCTTTGATATCTTCATCAATTTCGAATGACACTGGAGACGTTCACTCCTGTGACATTGGAGATTAGTAAACTGCGACATATGTTCTTCGGCGGCTCAAGTCATAGAATGAGCTAATGATCAAGTACTCCATACGACTCGGAATTTCAACACTCGGTGAATGAGCGGTCCCAATCGTGCCTGGCTTGCTTGTCTTACGGAACAGGGAATGGGGTAGGGCATTCTACACTAGATATACTTAGCCATCTCCGAGTTATAAAGTTTGGTACAGGGTAGTTGTTACCCGAATTAATGTACCCCTCAATCCACTTGTCAGAATGCCACCCCGAAACTTAAGATCGGTACGCAGAAGAGCTCAATAATACAGCATTTCGACCTAGATAACGGAAATATCTGCCTAGGGGTGTGCTGCCAAGATTCACATAATACAAAGTTCGAAGACATGACATCACTGAAGAGAACCTAGTCTCTCAGGTTTGGGAATACCAAAGAGAGCAACGAATGAGGAGATGGTATCTACTGACTACATTCCGTTGCGTGGGTTTGAGCATTCCCATGCTTTTTCGACTTGAGCTGGTGCCGCTTGAGGTCTGACTTAGTCGTGAAGGCTGAGCCGCATTCACAACCAAACGGCCGCACATCGTTGTGGGCCCCAAGGTGACCTTGAAGTCAAGGGATAGATCAATGAGACAGTGTTAGCAATTCAGCGGCGTTTACGACCCACGGGTATAATTGTGCCTCGCTGTGAAACCTCTGTCGCAATATTGACAAAAGAACCTGTGGGGATTGACACGTCTCTTCTCAGCAGCATCGGACACGGCATCAGTGGCCAGCTGCCTCGTGACGGACGGGGAAGTCGTAGAAGGTTGAGGCTCCAGGCTTCCATGCTGAACGAACGGCACTACCGTAATGATGCAGTCAGCGAGTGCCTGGAAAAGGCAGGAAGAAACTTACGACTATTGATCCACTGACAGTCAACCGGAGGACGGTTATCAATGCCACCCGGAGGGTTGAAGTACGATTGTACCTCTGGATGATAGTGGTGGTGAACCGCTGTGACTACGTAGGGAGGTAAGTCCTATAGAATCAAAGGGTTGCTGAATTCGCGCACAATCATCCGTTGGAAGGAAGTTTGAACCCTGAGATTGTATACCCGGAGACGTCATATAGAACTGCTGGTCGTAGGGTTGCGCGTGGTGGTAACTGGGCGTCGTTGGTAGATAAGAGGGATAGTGCTGAATTTGACCCATGTTATAAAGACTGCTAGGCATCGTTGGCGAAATCGGCGACTGGGACCAGGGGTCCGGACATCCTGAATCAGGAAGATTACCTGTGGGTGGCGGTGAGCCCAAGGTCGGAGAACATGATCGCGCGCGAACGTACTCGATGTAGACGAATCAGAGGCTTGGTAGGCGTGTAAATGGTTGTGGTTGTTATAGAGTTCGTATTGTGAGTTATAATCAGGTTTCATATGGTTCATCACGTTTATGGTGTCGAGTATCAGTTACACTAGGGTCTCTTTATATCTCAAGTTCCATGATATTTAGGGAGCCCTCCGAATACCATAGCTGAGACGCTGAACAGCTTTCATTGAGCAGTTTTCTTCGCTCAGGCTGACGGCCCATCAATAGCCATAGACCTTGTCCTACATGCAGACATGCGGAGCCGGTCCGTGTCGTATGTTGAGGTTGTTCGCCTCGAACCACAGCTTGGACGAAACGCGATCAAGACCGGAGAATATCGACGCCGAGGGCAAAGCGTAAAGTGGAAAGAGAAAAAATAGTAGATTAGCCGATAAACTCCCGAAAGAAAGGCACTCGAATTTCAGAGCCCTGGGTTGTGAGTGGGTGCCGAAGTTGGAGGGACCATGGCGTTGGCTTAGACTTGATGGTCGTGGGTAGTCGGAGGTTGCTAGAATTGTTCAGGTAATGTAGAACACGAGGGAGTCATCTGGCTTCCATAGGTTATAGCTGGTTATAGTGCATCAGAGTTCCCACGACTTGGTCATTTGTGTCGACAAATTGCTAGAAGCAAGCTAGAAGAACGCGTACCGCAAGTCACACCTGTGTCGAGTGCTAATAGGAACGCAAACTCCGTAACATACAGCGATCGTCATACAGAGATGTGGCAGTGAAGACGAGTCTTGAGTCTGTGCTATGATCTCGTCTTTGATCCGCTTCCAACGAATGCGGCCAAGTCGACCAATGTTCAATTTGAATCTATTTCCCCATGAGAAGTGTCTATATTCTGTTCCGTCCTGAGAAATCGTCGCGCGTAAACCTTATTCCACTCACTCTGAGACCGAGAGTGTTCACCAAATCAAAGAAATGTGCAGTGAAAAATGAGAAAACTGACTTTATGCGCGCATGAAACCAAGGCTTGGAACGGGATACTCGTGACTGACGAGCCAGGCCGCTATGAAGGCACCATTGCCTGCGTACTGGTAAAGGTAGGGTCCATGTCGTGGGCAAGGTTGGTGACTACAGATTCCGATGCTCGCGAAGGCCAATGACTGGTACCAAAACTGGTACCAAAGACACCGACTTCAAGGGTTTGAAAGAGTGTTTGATGAGAACATCACACGCCCTCTTGTTCGTTAGGAGTGATGGTCGACACTAGGGTCGGGTGCTTGGTCATGGTGTTCAGAGGCCTATCGTAGTCAAATTCTAGTGCAGTCGCACAACGAAAATTGTTGAAAGGTTCGTTCGGACACCCCTTATCGACGAAGGGCTTCACTTTATAAGTTGGGGTATATTCAATAGCTGTCCCAAGTGATAATGACCTGCACTTACTTCCATAGATCTCCTTGAGCTTGAGCAACGATTAATGATTCATGAGCGCTGCGGCGCTGAGTATGCATAAATAAAAACCGTCATATTGACCGTGAGAAGTCCAGTAAAATCTATAAACATGTACAACTCTCCAACTCCTGAGTCTGTTTGCTGCGATCGGCGTCGCTCTAGAGTCGCGAGGCACTCGGGGAGGCGTCAACTGGAGTTAGAGAGATCCAAGACGATTGGAAAGCCGAGATCCAAAAGAGAGCGCACGATTAGCAAAAGAGGGGCAAATGCTTCATCCAGCAAAAGAGCAGAAAAATCGTGAATTTGCTTAATTCTACAGAACGACAGTAAATGAGTTTAGAATTTTAACGAAGCTTTGGGCATTCCGTTCATAAGTAATCACGCCACGTACTCCGCTACGAGCATCGTCTGGGATCCACTGTCTATAAGAAGCTCACGTTCTCGATAGGGAGGAATCTAGGGAAGGGGATTTGAGACCCAGCCATTATGCTGACCTGGCCGGGAGCAGCGCTTTGTGCGCTCTGATTGTCCTGCGACTCTTTCGATCTGTCGATCTCAGATGCCGCTACTCCGGTGGCTATGTCCACAGCTGGACCGACAAGGTTGGTTCCAAGCTCGATGAGAAGTTTGGTGGGGTTGAATTTGGTCGCGACTTTGGCAACAGGAGTAACGTTGTAGCTGCCTTTCTGTTGCCAGAACTTGTTGACTGCTGTCTTTTCACCCTTGAGCCCAATACCGAAGTCGAAGGCTAATCCAAGTGTCAGTTGATGCAGGATCAGTTCAACATAAGGGCGTACCAGAGGCAACGGCACCTTGCCAAGCACCAGTCGCTGCAGACTGAGCGACACCTTCACCTAAAGGACGACCATATATTGCGTTCTCCATGACCGTCCCCAAAGCACTGAGCCCACTGCCTAGGGCTGTCTGTATGCCCATCCGGATGGTCGTCCTGAGAACAAACGTGCCCACGATCTTTGCTCCGTTCGCGCCAGTTGCGCCAGCGAGATTCGCGAAAGAAGCAGCAGGCAGCGTAGCATCAAGGATTCCTGACGCCGCGCCGCCAATAGCGCCTATCGCAGCTCCAATTCCAAGCTGTATTCCCCAATCTTTATCATTGTTCTCCCCGGATATGGACGCCTGGATGTCGTAGCCGAATCCATTCACGCCTGCTCCAATTAAGGCGCCGCCGATGATTGACCCGACCACTGGTATGAACAAGCACGCGATTCCAACCGCAACAAGAACCGCGTCGACCAGCCTGTTACAAGTATGACATCAAGTGTGATTAGAACACCAGGAAGAACGTACCAGTGCCACCAAGGTACGTTGCCATTGAGATCGATGAAATTTATGGGGTCATTGCGTGAGAACAGATACATATTGAACGTCGAAGGCTTGATCCCTTCCATTGATAATGGATAGTTATCTATCGTCAGGAATCGACCAATCTAAATCATGCAATGAGTGTGTGATCTAGCGGAAATAGCTGAGTGGGCGTACTTCTGGGTCATAAAACCTTGCTCCGAAGTAATACAAGTCACCAAACTTCTCTTTGCCCGAAAACTTGTACCGCGAAACATCTGCGCCTTTGATAATGCTGACTTGTCCATAAGGGTCGTAGTCGTATTGCGTGATTATGTCCCCAGATTCGTCGGAGACGGCGGTGATGCTTCCCAGATGATCGGTGTGGAAGTAATTGACAGAAAACGATTCGCTCGACGACTTGAAAGCAGCACGTCTGTAGCCTTGAACGATATATGAGGTATGTACCGCCTCTCCACAGGACGGAATGTCAACCTCATAGGACTGAGTTGGATAGATCGTGACGTCTCCGTTCGGGAGTGTCGCCTTGATGAGTCGGCTCGAGAAGTCATACACAAACGTACTTCCATCGACTTCTGAGAGTCGCCCTTCTGAGTCGTATTTCATGACCCGTGTTTCCTTCCCTGAGGCGTCCAGCTTTGCGGTCATTTTGCCATCATCGGAGTATTTGAAGCTGAACTGAGTGGCCCCAGACTGGTCGCGTATTTCGGAGAGTTGCCAGCCGTTATTCACAAACAATGATTCCCCTATCTGCGTGAGATTCCCACTTTGGTCGTATGAAAATGCTTCAACAGGCTGCGCATCGCTCGAGGTAGTAGCAAGGGAACGACTAGTAAGCTGGCCTAAAGATAGTAGTTTAACGTGAGGAAAACAGGCGGTGTTTTAGCAACTCACCGGCGGAGTTATAAGCGTATGAACTATTTCCACTGCCTAGGTCGAGCGATCCGGACTTGACATCGTGTTGGCGAATACGGCTGAAGGCATCTATCTTCCATGATTGAGAGTGGAGTGAAGAGCCACCCTTGGCAAGGGAGAGCGAAGCGACAGTGCCATTATCAGCCAGCGCCGAAGTCGCAACGATGCCGTTCCCAAATGTGCATTTGAGTGGTCGAGAGAATACGTCACTATAGTCGTCCAGCGCCACCGAAGCGCGCTTGCTGCCGCTTGCATCGAGGAGCTCGATATTACTGATAGATTTTCCATCAGTGAGCAGTGCACGGTTGACGACACTACCGTCAGGATTGGTCATCTGCAGCAGCGCGCCCGATAGCGACCAAGTGTAACTAGATGCGTAGGACTCCCCGTCAATAGTGAGCGTGTCGGAGGTAAGATGGCCATGAATGTCGTAGTCGTAAGTACGCTGGATGTTCTTCGAGGACGAAACAGATACAAGACGTTCCTTCGGGTAATGACCACCAACATCGTATGTGAACGTGAGCGTCTCGTCTGCAGTCTTCTTCTCAAGTGGACGCTGGACCCAATCCAGTTTCATGATTGACGTAGTCCCTGCAAGATTGTTGATCGCCGTCATCTGGCATATGTCGTCCTCGTATACGGATGATGTATGTAAAATGAGCTTCGGTGTACCTCCAACTGGTTGTGATATCTTCTTTTCTGTGATCCGGGATGTACCGTCCCACTGAACAGCGAGCTCTACTCCTCCTGCGTCAGAAACGGCGATAGGTCGTCCCAAACCATCGTAAGCCGTATCGACAGGATTTCCTACTTCATCTACGACCTTCACAACAAAATTCCGCACGAGGTTTTGCGAAGAAGGCTGGGGATTTGGTAGAGCTTGAACATATTGGGTAGTGATTGCATCGTTGGGGGATTGCCCATCAGAGCGTGTCTGGGTAACCTTGGTACTTCCGCCAGAGAAGGAATACTCATACGTCACAGTGAGAGGCGCTACATCCGAACTAGCTGCTGGGTTGGTTCTCTTGATGACTCGAGACAACGCATCGTAAGTTGTGGTAGAATATGTTGGCGTGCTTCCCGAGAAGTAGTCGCGGCTGCTACGTACGAGACGACCGGCCCCATCATACTCCATCTCTGAGAAAATAAGCGTGTTCGGATTGTCTGGCCTTGGTCTTTCCGTCTTCCACGCCCTGTTCATCCCATCAATGTGGCTCACGGTCTTATACATCGTCTGTTGCAATGGGTCGAGAAGCCCATATTCGACTTTTCGGAAGTCATTCCCAGCCACCTCGTACGATTGCTTGGTGACGACGATGCCTCCTAGGCTTGTCTCTATCATCCGCCCTAGCACATCGTACTTGACGCTCGTCACTTCTCCGTTCGGCGTCGTGGTTGTGATAGGCTGTTCGAAGGCAAGATCGTACGTGGCAGATTCGGTTAGGCTGTCGGTAGCGGAGGTGTAGACAGTGGAAGATGTGCAGTGCGAGTACGTGGAGTCGTAAGACAACCTACGGAGTGCTGGTCCTGGTCCGTGGATGGTAATTTCGTTCCCAGCAGCGTCGAGGTCTGCAGTTTGGGTGGACCAATCGTCACCCTGGACCCATTGGCTATTCTTCGTGACTACAGATGTTCCAGGATGGTAGGAGTATTTCGTCTGCTTCAGGGTATCCCCTGCTTGCTTGACGATATCAATTGTCTTGTTACCGAGGACCCACGAAGAGGTGTCGTTCGCATACTCTGAGAGGATGATGAGGGGGGATTTGGTGTTCTGCGTCTGAATGGTCGTAGTCGTTATGTTCCCATACGCGTCATTCTCGTACGAAACATTGACATCGTAAGTAGGGACTCCTCCCTCGTAAAAGCTTTCCTTGACCGCGGACAGAGCAATATATTGGTTCTTACCCCCATTGCCGGCAACGGGTTTCCAGGAGTTCGTGGTGGTTTGCAATAGGGTGCTTGTATTCGCCAGGACGCATGTCACTGACTTTATCTGGCCGAGAAGAGGGAAGTCCTGGTAGTACGCCGTAGTCACTTGTGAACCCAAACTCCTGCTGATCTTGTCTACGCTTTCGAACCCCTGCCAGCCACGCCCATCATAGGAGTAACGAGCATTTTTGTAGGTGTATACCGTCTCGTCAACAAGACTGGGTTTCGCAGCGTATGGCGCATGAGCAAGTTGCTTGACGACGTAGGAAGGGAAGTAGACGATCTGAGATCGCGCTTGAGCAGCCACGGGCGAGATAGCGGAAGTCGAGTTGAGTGTTGCCGTGAACGAGACATTACGAGCCAGTCCATTGACGGCTGGCAGTGGGGACCCGATCCCAATTGCGCTCAACCGAGAAGTCGCGTCTGTAGTGTACGTAGTGCGATCGCTGAGTGGTGCGTATGTAACGCTGACCTTCGCGCCAAGCCCGTTCTCGTAACCAGTGATATAGTCGATAGGCTGGAGCGTCGAACAGGGCATGGCCGCGATGCTCAGTTTACCCGAGAAATCCAGGCTCGAAAGAACACAGTCCGCTCTGCCTATTCCACGAAGATCCGCCCATGACACGATAGAGGAGTGCACCCCAGGCTGAGTTACACCAACGACTTTGACGAAGCTGTCGTTGGCGAACCGGAGGACGTCTACATTAGTGGATCCGCCTACTGTGGCGAACGTGTTGACGAGATCGACAGCGAATGGCGTGGTGGTCCTAGCGAGTGTTAGATTTCCGCTGTAGGCGATGTCGGTCACGATAGGCGCAGTGGGTGGTAGAAGCGAAGGGCCTGTGCTTCGAAGCATTTGTACCTGCAAGTTTCCAGACAGGTTCTTGGTGGCGACCAGTAAACTTGTTTTGCCATCTTCGTCTGCGCCGAATGGTAGGAACGAGATGGTGGATAGCCAAGTGATGGTCTTGCCTGCATCAGCAAGGGGTTGGTCGCTCCTGTAAACGAGGTTTCCATCCTGGGATTCGAGGAGGTCGATATTTACAATTGTGTTATTATCGATGAGCTTGGACGACATGAGGAACACATCCTCGGCGCTGATATCGTCTTAGAAAGAGCGGAAGATGAAAGGGGTAAAACTTACTGGTTACCGTTCAGATCACCGACGACTACCTTTACAGAATCCACAGAAGCACCAAGCGGTCCATCGACGGGGGCCTTAGGCGTAAAGGTGGCGCTGTCATCTGATGTAAACTGTATAAATCTAATTTGCGGCGTCCCGGATTTGAGAACTTGATATATGTAGACGAGGCCAATATGACCATTCCCCTGAAACCGTAGAGCATAAATTCAACAGCTACTTAGAGAGCCGAAGCAGCAATTACTTACCTCGAAATCCCCAGCGTAGAAGTAGCCTCCTATGTACTCAGGTTTAAACAAATAACCTTGCTGCGTCTTGTAGCCTCCTGACGTCGACATCAAAACCGTAAGGGTATACGAATCCAACGACTTGAAGATGTGCAAGAAATCATTTCGGCCATCACCATTGATATCTATGGGAATCAGCTGTGTAGGATAACCAATCCCGTCTTGGAACTCTGAGCTCGGAGTAGTGGATATGGTGCCGTTAGCATCCGTCTCATGGACAGCGAGGTGAAGCTGTGGGGCGTTGTTGACCAGGCGCCTGGCCGCGATGACAAGATCGCTTTTCCCCTTCGCCGAAACATCCAAAGGGAATATCTGCGCGTTACTATCGTTGGGGTTGAGCTCCACGGGGGCCTTAACACCGTCGAATATCGCTGGATTACCATTGACCCAAGAGAACTTCAGCGGCCGAACGCTAGCACCCGTCTCCGCATCCACAAGGGTCACTTGAATCAATCTACTCCCTCCCGTGGATGGCGCTTGGTCATATGTCAGTTTGTGCGTATGGATAAGTTTCCCGTTGACTTTCGCGTCGATTGAGACCAGGCGTTGATCCGTAGCTACCTTCGCTCCCCCGACGTACTTGATGCGCACGTCAGATCGCGTCTCGTAGTTGAACTTGATGACGCGCTGATGAGCCATGTTGAGGTTGCGATTGCCGCCGTAGGAGATCTCGGCGATATAGAAGGCTCCAGAACTGGAAGCCAGGGCCGTATCACTGTCATAGGAGTATGAAACGTAGTTCGAGAAGGCGTCGGTGAACTCCGTGGCAGCCCATACACGGGTCGCTCCCTTGCCTATTGCTTTGATGTTGGAATCCTATAAGTCGTCGCCGAAGTCGGTAGTTAGGGCCGAAATCAACCTAGGTCAATGGGAGTATACTCACAGTCGAGGCACCGTAAGTTCGGCGAGAGCCATTGGGTAAGTACTCGATCCACGAATCGGGATTCGAAGGGTCGCTTCCTTGCGCAACGACTTTGGACCATTGCTCGAGTTCATAACGATATTCGTTACCGCCGATGTTGATGAGCCGTTGACCGTTCAAGGAGAAACAGTCCTTGTTATCGTAATTGATGACGCCTACGCACACGAATAGACACGTCAGTCGACATCAAACCTCTGACGAGATGAAAGGTCCCTTACCTCGATAACCATCCTGAGCAATCGTCGCTTGGACGCGTTCGACGTACGACACGCCCTTAAGCACCCAACCCATGCCAATAGCAGATGCATAGTTTGCAGCGGAGTGGTATGAGAGCGAGAGGTCTGGGGCCATCTTCGCAGATGGTACTCGCACAGGGACAGTGCAGATGAGAGATCCGCTCGGATCGACGCCATGGTCAATCTTGAGCGTGCCTACGATTTCGTTCGACATTGCAAGTTCGAATGATGTTTATTGAGCATGTGTAGTGTTTATATACCATGGTTCATGCAGATATGTTCGGTTCCGGTGGAGCTGATGACCTGGGACCCTGGAGAAGAGTTGTAGAAGCCGTAGTGGAATGTGGGATGAAATGGAAACTCGGGCTCTATTGACGCGTCGTGAGTACGGAAAGAAGAGAGTACCGAACATAGCCATATGTTCTCGAAGCAGGCAAAGCGAGCAACGTCCAACTCGCGAAGGGTTCACTGAATACATTGTCTACTTCAACAATCAGTGAACAAGGCACCACTGACCGGCTTTGGTCAGGTCGGGCTTTAATTGATTGCGAATGATGCAGTGTTGCCACACTGATGTAGAGAAGATCGAATCAGATAAAGAAAGATCGAGAGCGTATGGATCGGCTTACCACGTTGTCTTATCTTGTTATAGAACTACTGGCACGGACATACAAGTATTGCGTTCTTACTCATGTATCGTATGGGAAATTCAAGTAGACGGGAAAGTAGAAGAACACATCGAGAGAATCGGTGGCGAAGAGGATGGGGAGACCACTATAAGAACCGAAGCCACAAGGAAACGATACGGTGTGCCGGTGGTTCGCGAGCGTTGTTGCGACGGCACAGGCGGTGGCCCAGACTCTGGAAACCAACTATGTGATAATAGTGTGTAGGGACTATGGTGTCTACCAACGCTTGGGAGCGTATTACATCAGTGTCCCTCCTGAGAATGAATGACGAGAAACCGGCAAACTCACAGAAAGAGACAAATGTATAATGAAGGTATGACATACGTCAAGGTTCCTTACGACAAGACATCCGGATAACACAAATGCCGATTCATGAGACAAGGGGGCTACAGGTGAGCAAGAACGACCAGCGATTCGCCTTCGCGGAGAATACGTAGCCGATGAAGAGGCTGCGAACCATGAAATTTTGAAAGGCGAATTTGTCGAGGGTTCCCCGAAAGGATTGGCAAATCTGCCACCTGAAGATGGATTGGAAAAGAATATTTGGATTCAACGGGATCGCTCGCCGCCTGCTGCCCACTGGTGTCGTCCGTCGCGGCATTCATTTGTCATGGACATCGAACTGAACGTTGAGCAAGAAAATCAGTGAGTTGTCCGGGGTCCCGGAAGTTCATTCGTGGCCAACAGTTGGCCAAGCGGTGATATGTTTCATGCTGAAATTAACACAGCACGTACAATATGTGGCGAGGAGAGCACGGCGAGTGCTGAGTGCAACTGCAACGGTAGAATACAACAGCGACAGGCGCCAATCAGACGCTCATTTATCCAGCGACACAGGGGCGGGCAGGGACGACAGGGGTGGCAAAGGTTACAAGGTTCCTTCCTCCCTGTCAAAAAGCCCAGCGGTCGCTACCCAACAACCTGACCTTCCATATAGCTTTCTACTATTTGAACTGCCTCGTATACATTAAACACTTCGCTGATGCTTTCTCCGTTTCAACTCCTCATTACTGCGAGAACGGTAGCAGTTCGAGCTCCCATGGTAGGCGAGCTGATTATGATGATGTACATTGTTTCATTGATCCGCAGCACCATGGGGCTAATTGATTCCGCAATGATCAGTCCGGAATCAAGCAGCGTCCACGTATCAGAAGATTCATTCGTGATCATTCATCAGTGTATCACCCACATATCACGAAGAACGCTCACTAGCGGCGCCCAATATACTGATATACGCCACGCCGCCGCTGGACTTTGTATCAATGGGTCCTGGATCACGAATCCTGATGCACGTTCGCTGCCTTCGCCTGTTCTTGATGATGATGGTCTGATCGTTCCAGGACCACGCGACCGCAAGTCCATGATGAGTATCCCTCGGAAAGACTTTTTCCCAATGGCAGCGTTTCAAGTGCATACGCCAATCAACGAATCACCTCCTCTGACTGCTAATCTGACTGCGGAACCCTCAACTGACGGAGAGCATCAGTGAGAGCTTCTAATCGAACGTGAGGAGCGTGAGTTGTTTCAAGCCAAGGATGTCGGATTCACAAGTGTTGCGGTGAAACTGAGCCCTGGGACAGACAAACTTGCCTGGCACCTACACATCAGCAGGCCGCGGGGTAAAGTAACCAGGTAAAGGCGCATTCTACGTGCATTACATATAGATAGATAACCACAAGGAAATCGATGAGTACATCATACAAGTGAGTGTTGCTGTTTGATGAGGATATACGCGAAATGAACGTAAAAGGCGAAACGATGTCCCCGGAGCGAGTCCGCCTGAACCAACGAAAGGTGTAGCTGCCAACTGGTAAGTACAGAGTAAAAGATTTAACGCTAGAAGAAAGTTGAATAAATACGGTACAAGATATAGGACGAGCACTTCAGAATCGGAAAACAAGTTGAACGATAATGAATGAATACGTGGAGAAGTATGGTACGGGCTGTAAACCAAATGACTGCGTGTAGAATCATATCCACGAATAACAGAGCGAAGAAGAGCAAAGAGGGTCCTTGTACATGAGTGATAATATATACGGAGCAGTTGAAAAGAGACGTTATGCGGGGCTCAAGAAAGCGGAAATGCGAAGATGCTGCGGTCTGCGGTCTGGAGGCGAGTGTTTAGCCGGTGCTATAACGCTACCGGGCCAGACCACGCCTCTTCCTTCTTCGTGACACCGGTAGTCCTACCTCCGGCACCCCCTTTAGCTTGAGCCCCGTCGAGATTCGGCAGGTTCCCCGTCGCCTCTAGCTGGCGCTGGCATTCCGTCCCGCCTTCTGAGCGCACTGCATAACGATACAACATCAGCGAATGATTGGAATTCGAAGAGGGCTGGCGGAGACTCACGATGTCTATTCAACGCATCCATCCTAGCGAACTGCTTACTGCAACCCTCGCATGTAAACGGCCGGTAATTCGTATGCAGCTGTTCATGGCGCTTGCAATCGTGTTGTCGCGCGAAGCCCTTGCCACACCCAGGCCAATGACACTGGAACGGTTTCTCTTCGTTGTGAGATCGGATATGACCTAAATTCGCTCGGTCAATTCATAGTTCTCCGTCAGGAACAGAGTGAAATATACCTTTCAGATTAAAGCTTCGAGTGAACGTGCTCCCGCAACCAGGGACCGGACAAACGAATGTAGCTTCCTGTTTCCTTCTCTTATGTGAAGCATTCGCCGTCCGGCCCGTAGTCACATTCGGCTTCGAAACCACCACAGGCACCTGTACGCCTGACGGAACCGAGGGGGCCATGACACCGTTCACCGTCGCGACACCTACCATAGGGGTATTCATCCCAGGCAAACCCGAATTATCATAGTTCCCGGATCGATTCGACCCGACGCCGCCCATCGCAGGAGAGCCAATGTCCATATTACTAGGCAAGTCCCCGTAATGCACTCTGGGGCTGACGTTGGGACTAGGGTAAGGGCTAGCGCGGGCGGAGGAATTGCCGGACCAAGCACCCTCAACTCCTCCGCCGAGGGAGGCGTTGAAGCCTTGGCCTGAGTTGGAGTACGAAGAGATACCTCGCTCTGAACGAGTACCGCTGGAGGCGCGGCGATAGTGCCGTTGTCCGCCTATCGAAGGAACATTCCCGTCTAGGGGGCCGCCCAAGTTACCGCCCATGCCAACCATGCCAGAGGGGGTGAGGTACTGATGTTGCCGCGAGAGGAAGTCTTGCTGGGACGAAGGGGGGAACAGGAAGCCAGCGGAATCAGACGATTGGCGAATATGAGAGTAGGATTGAGAATGTCCATGCCCAAGAGGCGGCGAGCCCATTCCTAAGCTCTGATTCACCGACGGCAGCATCCCGGTATTCATTCCGTTTGTACCAGGCCCTATAGTTGACCCAATCCCTCTCAAGTCCTCCGAGCGCGACTGCCTGATGTGCCCAGGTCGAGCGCCGGGATGTTCAGATCGCGACCGACGGAGCGAGAGATCCGGAGATAGGAAATCGTTTGAAGCTGAGTGATGATGGTTGGTGTTATCATTATTGGTATTGGCATGCGGCTGTTGGTGGGGTAAGGGCGCAAAGTTGTTGAAGTTGTTGCCAGTCAAGTGGCCTTGCCCTTGCTGTCTGACACTTTGATCGTCAAATGCACTCGTTTCGCGGGCGAACGCTGCAACGTTCGAGGTATCCCAGTTTGGTGGCTCCGCAGATGTGTCGCTCTTACTGCGTGATCGCGACCCGTTGGCTCCAGAAAGTGTGTTATTCGGAAATAGGAATCCGTTAGACATTAAGCCCTTGGAATTGGCGCCGTCGGGATTTGCCGCGTTGTCGTTGTCAGGAGGAAGGTCGACAGAGTGATGGGCAGGAGACGGGGAAGCGGAGGATGGGTTGAGTATGCCTTGGCTATGAAGACCCGTACGACGTTGTTGAGGGAAGGTAAAGTTCGATTGACGATCGTCTTCCCATGTGTTGCCTGACTCTGCCCGGCGGTGCGGGGAAGGGCAGTGCAAGTGAGGCGAGGCGAAGTGAGGTGGACAGCATTAGCGAAAATGACGATTACGATCGATCGAAGTTGCCGGTATGCGACACGGATGCCATAATTCAGGATTTGTGGGTGAGAGTGGAAGAGACAAACGGAAGCGATAAGCATCTGCATAGCATCAATGGAGAGAATCAACGCACCTTGTGAGACAGTCTCGAGCGTGTTCTGAAACGGAACCTGTGAAGCATTCATCCCACCTATCGGCGTCGCTGGAACGATGTTCAAACTCGGACCATGCCCTTGACCATCATCATCAGGCGCGTTTATCGTTGGAGGCGGCTGAGACTGCATGTGTGGCGATGAGTCTGGCATGAGAAGCCGAGGCGGAGATTGCGTCTTATTATTGTCTTGATTGTTGGGGAGCTGGGGAAGGGGGCTAGTCCCCCAGCTTGGAGAATGGAACGAGAGATTTTCGAGGTTCTGGGCAACCCCAAGTCGTGGTGATGGGGAGAGATTGGGTGGCGGGCTAGATAAATGATTCCCATTCCCATTGCCCTGGTGCATCGTATTGTGTGGATTATGGTTCGACGACACCGAGGATGCTCTGCTCCTGATATCCTCGTTTCCACTATCTCCCCCATTCGAAGATGGCGAAGAGTAGTCGTACGTCCCGCGATGGTAGTCTTGGCTGGTGTGGCCGTGGTGAGAAAGCGAGGAGATATGTGTCTCGTAGGGGGTCATGTACTCTGTATCAAACATCAGCAATGAGGATCCCGTGTTTGGAGCGTCGAAATCAGATGGATCGTAGTCGCGCAAGCCCAGCGCGCCGCTGTTAAGAGGATTTAAGCCCTGTACGCCAGAGACGCTGTCGTCGAAGACTGTGTAGTTGTTGGGGTTGTTGAGGGCGTTGAGGTTGTCCTCTACGGCGTAGGAGAGCTCTGAGTGATTCGAATAGGGCGATCCGTTGAAGGAGCCGTTGTATGAGGGGCTCTGCTGTGCGTAGGAGGAGGGGTTGTTTGCAAAGTCGAAGGAGTCGAAAGTTGCGTGGGCGTCGGAGGGAGAGGGAGGTTGGAGGCCGATGTCGTTTATATAGGGAGAGTCGTTGTCCATGGTCAATTCGACGACAGCCTGGTACGGAGGTAGGAGTGATTGTTTAGGGATTCCAAGCGTGTGGCGGTATTTGCTCAAGGCGATGGTGATCAGCGTTGGGCGGTGTCTCGTATCGACCTTTTCAACCTCCGCAGCTCTCGGCGAATCGGCATCCAATCTTATCATGTCGGCGCCTCCCATAATCTCATCTCCCGATCCAATTCTCTCGGGTGGCATGGCCAACGGAACACTTTCTCCCGGTGCATTGAACGGGCAGAAAAATACAGACGCACTTGCTCTACCTCCAGCTCTGCCTTCCGCTTCATTCGACCGAACGAAAAGACTCGACGAAAGGTTACCAAGGTTACTGTCTTTTACTCTGGGCCCCACTTCTTGGTTTACAAGTCGACGTGCTGAATCGTGGAATGTATAACTCAACTCAACCGATGGATTTCTTCATTCTCGCGTATTAAATTCTTACCTTTCGGTTTCAGATTCTCTCATCGCGTGCTTATTCGCTACAATTATGGACCTGGCCGGGACATGAAGCGCCTGGCAGTCGTGAATCGTGATATGATCAGATGGCCACAAGAGCATCATCATCCACCGTATAGCGAAGCCAAACAGATCCATCCAAAATAGTCCAAGTCCCTTGCTATGGATCTCGTTATCGGTCAGCTTTACGCGAAACACCTAGCGGAACACTCCCGTGGCTTGCAATGAGGTGCCATGCACGTCCAACACTGGCATCGACTGTCTTTCCCATCTTCCCCGAGACTCCAACTCGCGTCGCGATGCAGTCTTAGAAACGCGACATGGAGACGAGAGAACAGTCACACCGTCGACTGGTGATTTCATCATCTGTAAGTCCGTTGCTGCGCGAGCCTGCCTATGCATCGCGCGAAATCAACCAGATCTAGTTCCAGACGCCCAAAACACGCCCACTGGGCGTCAATATGCCCATGTCTTCGACGACCGTAACATAGGACGTCAAGCGGAGGCTAAGGCGTCGTCCTTACCGACTCGATGGTGAAATGTCATAGTGAGTGTTTCGTATCCTAGGGCGTGTCTCCCTTCGCCGTCGCCGATGCGTCTCTATCGGTGGCGGAGCCCTGCGCAATTTCTGTAACAATTATGACTTCGGTGATAGCTTCCCCACCCCGGGGCTCGCCTTTCAATTAAGCTACACGCTAAGCTTAACCGCCCCATTCTACGGCGATGTTTGCATATTTAAGAGTAGGTTTGATTGCCCACTGATTGTATCGTAAACGCTTGGAATTATCAGACTCAGGTAACTGGCAAATCTGAAATCTCGGCAAGTGGTTTAGTCAAAGTACGCAGAACGATTCACTTTGGGGGAGATAAAATGGCTGAAACCACACTGATGGTGATGCGCAGAAATACAGTCCCCGGCGAGCTGCCACCACCATGCATCCAATTTACCCCCGCATAAGTATCCAAACGATTGATAGAGCACTCGCGAAACTCATGGTGCAACACCCGTCGACTCGACTCCCTTTTACGCACGCATATTAATCATATACGGGAACACGTCTATCTCAACCGACGCTCCCCTCCCGAACTGAGTTGCCACCGACATTTCGTGCAGTCAACCCGTCATGTGCTCCCCATCAATAGATCGAACGCGGGACCTAAAATAAGCAGGCCCCTGGTCAAGTATGCTCCTGATCGTTCAATCGCATGCGAAGGCGAACATAAATACATTCGTTGCACGCTTCACGAGCGTACCGTCCAATTTGGTCGCCGATCACGACTCCCGTACGGCCCATCTGTTTCAATGGGTTAGCATTCACGGCAACGTCAATGCTTACTACTCAGTCATTCGACGAATATAGCTATATTCTCGATTGTCGCTGTTGTTTTTGACATCGACAATGTATTTACCATCGAACTGACATTCTTAGACATATCATATCCAACCCGCTGTATCGATACGACCGATATCTCCCTTACATCATGCATCATTCGTCTGTTTTGACTGCCATGGACCTCCGACGGCATTTCAGTTCTCCCACGAAGTAAAGAGAAGCACCATAGTGGGCCTCAAACAAAGGCCCTCGGAGGGGGGAAACGGAGTTACTGATCACAAAAAAGTTCAACAACCCAGGTGGCGGCACAAGGAACTGCGCTGTCAGAGGGCAAATTAGTGACACCGTTGCGAGCAGCGACCTACTCGTTTACTTCCCGGTTGAACCGGGCAAAAGGCTGTAGCCCGTGATAACGGCACCACCACCGTACTTCCGCAGTATATGAGAAGGTGTGCAGTAAACCTGGTTGCGAATTTGAAATTTGGATCAAGGTCTTCATTTTGCTTGAAACGCTTCGGTCTCGAAGAAGCTTGAATACTTGAACCCCCAGCTAAATGATGATACGGTAATAATAGAGCCACTCCTGTACCTTGCTGTCTGGGATTTTATCTGATTGCTGAGAGGCCTTGCAAGAAATCAAAATAGTAGCCGAGGAGATATCGACGATTACCCCCGAGGGACGGCGTCGAGAGGTACATAATGAAAAAGTGATGAGAACAAAAATTAAGGCGGTGATATGGATGCAAATACCTGTAAGTGGTCTTACAAATGCGCATTGTAATTGGACGCACCGTACACGGATTCTCATGGCGGGAAGGGGCGACCTATACAAACCAGGCTGGCAGAGGCTACCGCACGGCGGAGCACATGGTGGACTCCTATCAGATATGCACAAGTGGGTTAGTATGCACATACACGAGCATCATCATTATGCACAGAGATCCAATGTCAGGCAAAGAAGACCTGGAAGAACAAAAGAAGGAGCCTAGATGAGCACCGCTTGATTTTCTGCAATTGTCCCAAGTTGGTTTTGAAGTTTGCATGTCTTTCTGAATTGGCTAAACTCATCCAACCGCGTTAGGACTTGAAGAAAACACACCTCCGGGTCCCGGGCATCTATTCAACGGCGGAAGTATTTTCTTCAGGCTCCCCGAGGGCTCCCCGAGGGCTCCCTCGTCATTGTGGCACTGCACCTTCTAATAATTAGCGCCGAAAAACACAGCCTACCCGGGATAAGGAAAAAATCGGGTGGCTGCGTACTGTGCTTCTCCTCCATCGACATCGTCGACATCAACATGCATCAAACGTGACCCCACCGACACTCTTCGAGCAAGGCTCTTGGGGATCGGCTATCGGGGTACTTGGGCATCAGGGCTACTCTGCCCTATCCTATGCTACTATCACCTCCTTAACGCGGTGCATTGTGGATCTCTTCCATAATCCGACCACGTCGTTCTCGACGTCCGGTGTCCAGCGTCCAGGCGCCCTCCAACACACTGCGAGGAGTACAAGTGGCGCATCGGCCATTTGTAGCTAGTCGACCTCGTTATGTCCTTTTTTGAAGCCTGGCTTCGCGCCATCTTCGCGCCTTCAAATCCCAGGGTCGTACTTGATGGACGGAATGGTTCGAATTCGTCAACCACCCCGTCCGATTCTCCCAGCCCGAACTGGCGGTGCGCGCGCGTGTCGATAAACAACCCCACTCAAACCACGCTTTCTTGAATTCAGAAACAAATTGAATGAGGTTACTCGAAGTAAATATGGGTGGCCTAGCCTCTTCGCACCGAGGGCCGAAGTCGTCAGCACTGGATCCCGCCAATCTCATTCTCTCCATATCTTATATTCCTGAACCATATGGATTCCCGAATGCCGACGTGACAGGCTTGATATACCCTGGTGCCCATTTCTCGAGGAACCATCTAACGATGCATACGCACATCGATGAGCTACGATGCTCACGATTCTGCTCTATTTGGGGTTCATGCCGCGTTGATACCCGCGTCTTACTAACAGACCTTCTCCAATGGCATAGCGACCCGATGATGGAGGAAGAATGAGGAAGACTTTCGTTCCGCTTCGCCCTCGGCACGTTTTGGTGCATGGTCATATCGAATGTCACAACGACTTGGAACCATGCCGCATCAAACGCAAGCTGACCTCCTGAATTCTCATACTCACTACCCGTTCTACTTCCTTGTTCACCGACGATGTACACGGCGAACTATGGTGGGTCCGACCTCTTCTCTTTCAAACAAGATCCCAGCACACCACGAAATCGTTCCATCAGAAACCCAAACGCCACAATAACATCCATTTTTGATGCGAACCGGCGATTTCTACATACCATATACAACAATGTAGGAAATCCACATAGCCGCTTGTGCTTGCGTGAACCTTCCAGGAACCACCACAACTTCCTGTTGGATCAATCTCCCGTGTCTGCATCCGAGTCCCGACCGTCAGCTACTTACCTTGTCGAGCATTTTCTGGACATCTGCCCCAAATACTCATTATTGACGAATACACCTGACAAGTCCGCTGATAACGATCTCGTATCTCCAGCTTCTCCAGCGTCTTTAGTTCTTCGTCTTCTCCGGCGGAGGCGCCAAAATTGCCTGATTACTTCTGGCCGTCACTCCCTACCTCATTCCATGCTTCTGATTTTCCTGATCATTATTCTCCTAGCACCTACTACTGTGCCGTACTCAGTGTCTCCGTGGCCTAGCACATGCTCAATATCCGACATGAACGCTTGGTTTCGCCCGTTCCATACCTGCAAAATGACGCTACCATCCGGTCTGACCGAATCTGGGTTTATTGTAATCTAAGCCAACGCCGAATCAAGTTCCAAATTCGTTAGAGCATCGCTGAGCGGTACTACCATCTCAGTGGCCCTTCTCCCTACCTTTGCCTCACTGGCTCTACCTGAAGTACAGCACTATCACCAGCCCATCGGAGTCTACCTCTCGAAGCCTCACCCCAGCAGTGCTACCCACGCTGGGATAACAGTCCCCCGAAGTGTGTGTCGGCAACACCGCCAGCTACTAGACTCTCGCGCGTTCGTCGGATGACTAGTATCTTAATTCTCAGCATCCTGCTCCTCTCGCTGGAAGGGAAGTGCAAGCGTCTTATCTTCATGCCTCTCGTTGTTTCCATAGTCTCGGTGATTTTTTTAATCGTCCCGCTTCAACATTTTGTCTGAACAAGATTGGACCAATGCACAGCTCTCCCCGACAGAGATTTTAGACGGCTACATGTCTTGTATCGGCCAAGACGAGACGAGCGTGCCTTCTACCAGTATATACTGGGACAAGCACGATGTATACATCAACTGATAGAAACCGAATACAATGTGTCAGTGTTGCGGTCAATTCTACTTATATTTCATGGATTGAACCTCGTAAGGGG